CAAAATCTAGGTCAAAGACAAAATGGGGTAAATTGTTAATTTCCACTCGTTACAGTCTGTCACTGCCATTTTCCACATTGGATTAAATGTTATCTGGGAGAAAATTGCATTTCACACAATTTAACCCCTTTTTACAAAATACAACAATCTACACACACAACCGCACAACCACAAACTCCACATCTACTACCTTCGGAATCACAATAAATTATTCATTATTATACGCTTCTCTTAAGTTTTCCAAACTATCGATTTTTCTCCATGATATAATATGTATTAAAAATTCACAATTAAAACAAAAAAACACACACACAGAAAATTACCCTCGCATTTCTGTATATAATTTTCTCTTTCATACACCCTCAATCTAATTACGTCAATTAATGATATTCAAAAGATCAATAAGGATATCCCGTGAAGTGTGCATTACTCAAAAGCACAGCATGAAATTCAATACGATTTAACATTTAAACACTCCCAACGTGTCCCTAATTTATCCAAGGATTTAATTGCCAAATTGTTCCTGGAAATCTGGCTCTGATTTAATTTCGAATGGTATTTCTCATTAGCGCACCGTCAGAATATTATTATCATTGATAATGAGATGAAAGTCTGATAAAGATGAATAGAATATTGAAATTCTGACTCACTAATTACAGATCTGATATTCTAAATACTGAAATCTTGCATAAATCAAAAGGTGGTTACGAATTTATCAAACTCTATACCACAAAAGCAGCAAGTTATTGAAATATTGCTAAATTGGTGCAGCAATTTGTTATCAAGCTGCTCAATAGATTCATATAATCACTGAATATTGACAAGTATTGGCAATATGTATTAACATTTGCTCAGACGTGAAGAGTTCAAATTCCCAAACAAGTATCATAAACCACAACCAACATCCTTCTTGAAACTTCAAGTAAACTCAAGGCTTACAAATTATATGCACAGATGATTGGAAATTCTAACTAAATAGTTTCAAGAGGTTGGAACATTTAAAATACCATTGAAATGTGGCAATATATAATAAAATAAGACACGATATTCTTACATTTCCCCCATTTTAGATGTCAATTCGTAATATTTTCTGCATTACTCCTTAAGCCATGAGCCATAAGCAGAGAATAAATATTCAATGACTTTGTCATAAAGTTGACCCAGGCTTTGCCCAGGAGGTGGAGCTAAACACCACCCCCCCCCCCCAACCCCGCACGGAAATTAAATTTTCATTTCTTTATAACTCCCAACAAAAGTCGAAAGTAAAGTCGCAGCAGCGGCAAAAAGACACGCGTGTGCTTTCGTTCTTAAAATACAATATAAACATTTATTGTGTTTAGTGTCCATTTTCAGCCAAAATACCCAATAAAATTGCAGGAGGTTAATAAAAACGGAAATCCCGAGAAATCTTTAACATCACATTTCCATTTCATGGAGCAAAAAAAAAAGATAGAGTAATATTTTGTGGTGAAATGTCACCAAGAGGAAAAGATGTTACACCACAAATTATCTTCATTTCTTCCACATAATTCACCTGCTCGCAGTTGAATGGTTGCTCTCATTGTCCTTCCACCCCATTGAGAATATAATCATTAAGTGACTCCCTTGTGTGGAGACAAAAGGCGCTGCAATGAGGAAAATGAGGAAATTTCGTAGGAAAGTGACATTTTTATTCCATTCGCACACACACAGAAAATTACACCAATTTCCCATCCAAGTATATAATCATCACAAAAATCTCTCATCTGCCATTTCACGTCATTTCAAACATGAAAATCACACAAGAAACAATCTCACACTTTAACGTGAATAAATATTTGTGTTAAAATCTGTATTTTCAAGATATTCTCTCAAGTGCCATAGTTATAAGGAGACTCAAGTGGAATTCTTACTGCAATATTTCTCAGTTATATTCACAAACTATTCGGAAATTCCCATTTCCTCTCTCTCTCTCTCTCTCACCGTCTCTTTTTCGCATGACACAGAAATGTCAATATACATACATATATCGTATCATCGAGAAGGAAAAAGGATATCTAATAAAATATTCAATCAAGAAGCATCACAATTACAGAACAAATAGTCACATCGAATGCACTTCTGCACACGATGTAAGAATCTTTATAAGTGCGTTTTGAAGGGTTTTGTGCATCTTTTCAATATCACACACTTCAATCTTTATTGGCGTTTAGAAATTTGCAATATTGCTATTACGATTGCGAAATGATTGTCGTATTATTCAAACGTCCCTAAATGGAAAGCTATTAAATAGCCGAAGAGCGGTAATTTCTGTTGGAGTCTTTGAAAAGAATCTTTATATAAATGACAAGGAAACAGATAACAAATTAGTTTCCAACAAGAATTTCTGCTAAGAAAGAATCTTTCTATCACTTGCAGTTATTAGAAATCAAACAGAATATAATTATCATACTTTATTTTCACTTTTCACAAATTTCTCTATTAAAAAATAACAAATGGCGATTTTAACTTCAATTCACCCGTCAAAATGGAATTAAACAACTAAGTAATATGTCGAGCTTAATTCTAAACTTGATTTTTCTGATATTACGAATGAATCGATGACATGATATTCTCTGTGGAATTTCCCTCACTATGTGAGATTACGAACAGTTTTTTTTTCAGTCATATCTAATTACATAGCTAATTATACATCTGATTTTTCCCACTCTTTCAATTCTCTCAACGATCAAAGATTCCCCCTCGAGAATGTAGTGGAAATGCAGGCTGTAGAAATGTTGAAAGGAATCCCAGCAGAGGTCACATTCCATCCGGAGGGAAATCAATATTGTGGAAAAGTCAGACATGAAAAATCCTCGACAATGAAACACTCACCTAAAATCCAACCGAAAAAACCCTTCTTTTTGGCTTCTTTTACCTTGAGAAGCCCTCGCTCGACCCCATTAAAATCAATTCTAATTGCCTTTGTCTGGGGGGTTGGCTGAGAAATGGGGCTGAAGAGGCGGGTTCACGAGACTCTTCGTCGACATTGCATGTGTGATGATGTTATATTTAGCACGCTATAAAAATGTATATTGCATAGTATTCTTCTATTTTTTGCAAAAATACACACACACACACACACACACACTTGAGATTGCAACGCGACAAAATGAGAATGAAATGGTGAAAAATTCAAAAATAATTTCCACCTGTTACACACTGCCATCGACCACCTCCCGCAGGAAAATCCATTAAAAATTCATTGAAAACATTTCACGTGCACATACGTGCAGGTGCGAAATGCCACAGAGGCAATATAGAGGCGAAATTGTGGGGTGACAAACGTAAATTGGCCAGAAAGGCATTTAGACGAGATCGATTGTGTCTCTGTCACCACTTTTTCCTATTTGTCAAAAACACCTTTTCTCTCTCACTCACTCTCTCTCGCGGTCGTCTCCAAAATTCTCTGTAATGTTTGCTCAATGAAAAGGGTGTGAATAAATTTCTGCACGTTTCGACAAAAGGAATTTTTGGCAGAGAGAGAAAGGCGAAAATATCCCACAGTACAAATACACACATTTATTAAGGAAGGGAAAATTGTATAGAGAGGAAAACACATGCCCGAAATCCCCTTTTCAAATTAGTTCAATACCACACACACACTTTTCCCTCTTTCACTTTTCTTCCACCAACCAAGTGAAGAACACACAGTGAAACAGAGAGAAATTGTGTACATAATGAAAATAAGAGTTCTCCTTTCTCAACACTCCCAAAAATTCTCGAGCACACATCATGGCTAAAAGGCATGTGAAATAGGAAAAATTCCACGGAAACTCTGGCGAAAAACGTGGTAGAATTTATTATTGGTGTTGAGTTAAACATATCGATAGTGACTGTTTTTGTAAATAAAACACTCTACGGTATTTTGGGTGGATGGAGAGAAAATTGCGGAAAATCAAGTGGAAAAGCGGCATAAGCGAGGGGTTCATCAGTTTGTACCACACGCGACAGCCTGTTGACAGGCGTCCGCGGTCATATCTGCCACTGACTCCTGTCATGTGACTCGCCAGGCCGCGATCTTTGTGAATGAAATTGCGTTCGTGCATCTTATCAGCACAGCGCGATACCCAGAGTGGCTGAAAAGAACCATGGACAAGCGATAAGAGAGCAATATTTGCCAACTATTTCACGCTTCGACCAAACCTCAATTTTTCCACATCGCAATTTTACCGCGAACACAGAGAACAAATACTTTGCTTGCTATAAAATTACTGATCTGCGGGGATTTTGTCAAAAATAGCAAATAAGAAAGGATCAGTGCAAAATAATATATCTCATAAAATCCAACCTCAAAATGTTATTTCAACTTTTTAATTTATTGCAAGTTATGGAAACACTTTCCTTTATAAGTTTATTTGTGCTAAAAACTGATAAAATAGTGATAAGTTTTATATGTAACCATAATATTGTGTCACTTATTTTTTATATATCATTTGACATCTTATCTAATAAGATAAGAATGCAAAGTTGAAACGCTGAGTTATCTTAGGTGATCTTTGAGAAACGCTTGGTCTAAATAGCCCCGTTCTCACCTCAATTATCTCTTTCCAAATTGACTTTTTTTGCAGGAAAGAAGCTGCCAGATAAGACGTGCGATGTGGAGTCGTAAGAAAGATTGGTATAGGCTGATTATTTTTATTAGGACTCTGTGCCAAAGCTAGCCTCGCAGACCCCTAAATATAGGCTCACATGCACGAGCGATTGAATCACGGATAAGCACCACAAATGCCGAGTCCTCTAGTCGGCTAATTGACCCAGAAAGGAGGTGTTTGTCACCCGATTGATTAATTGCAGGCGCGACATGAGCAGGAAGGGAAGGGGTGGACGGGGAGTGCGTCCGGCTGACCGCCTGGAAGCCCCTCGGCCACAATTGCGCCGCTGCCACAGAGGTCAACGATGAGTGCTCGCGGGGGACGGCAAGGGTCAAGAGGTTGAATTACTCAGAGCAAAAGAAGCTGCGTGTATGTGAGGCGACTCACCCAATCCAGATTGTTCTTGACTGTCGTCACCTTCACGGGTGGAATCTCGCTGCGGCGAGGAAAAGCTCTGCTCCACTCTCTGAGAAACTGGAGAAGTCCACAAGTATCGGGATGTTACAAAAAATCACCGCACTCCACGACGTACTTTTTCATTCACGCCAACTCAGAACGCATTCACAGGTGCGAGCAGATGTACACCGTTGATGGATGATGCTCAACGCACAGTGACTGTCGGTGCAGCTTTGCTGAGCGCAGCAATTGATTTTCCCATAGAAAATCGCAGAGAAAAGTCGTAAAGATACCGAGGAGGAAAATACACAAATTCACCACTGAACTTTTTCACCATCACACTGTCATTGTGGCGCTGCTGGCTGAAAGTGGGTCGGATTTCGTGCTCTGACAGAGCCACGCCGCGGGAAAAGCCTGAAGTTGGAATTGTCGTTCATTTTAGTGCTGGTGGTGTTAATTTGGAGAAAATCGAGGAAATTCCCTTTCCCAGGCAACATATTACGGGATTGAGTGTATTTAAAGGGCGGGAGATGGATTTGCGGAATTTCTGCAGTTAAAATCCATGTTAATTAAATGATTTTCAAAGGTAAACGACATAATTTTGACACCTTCGACATGTTTTTGCATTTCCTCAATGTTTTCTTTTCTTGCTTTTGCAAATAGTTTACACGCATGGATCCTTGCATACCGCATCCAATCAAGATTGAACCGCCTGACAGTCCAGAAATCACTGCCGAAAACGATGAATCTATCCTGGGCGATGTGCAGCCAGACTTCTCATCTGTGGCTCTTGAGATCAAAGCCGAGGAGTATCTCGAAGAGGAAAATAGTCCATCTTCCTCCAAATCTCGTGGGAAGAGGGATCGCAAGAAGAAAAAATGGAAGCGCGAAAAGACCGGCCTCACGTACAGTTGTGCCGTGTGCGAGAAGAAGTTCCAGTACATGGCCAGCCTCCGGATTCACATGCGCTTTCACTCTGGCGAGAATCTGAGACAGTGTTCGCAGTGTGGAAAACGCTATGCCACACAATACGCACTGAAGAGACACTCCCGGACGCACAAGCAAACAAAACCGAGCGTGTGCAAGATCTGCAGTGCCACATTCGCGGATCCCAATGACTTCAGGCGCCACAAGCGCTTCCATGCCACCGGAGAGCCGGCGTACGCGTGCAAGGAGTGCGATGAGACCTTTGACACATACAATGCCATAAAGCTGCACCGCTCGAAGAGGCACAAGAAGAGCTGGCACTGTCGCCACTGCTGGGAAACCTTCCTCACGGACAAGGAGTATCAGGAACACCGCGTCGTGCACGAGCATCCCGTTTGCCCAAAGTGTCACGTGAAGTTCATGACGCAGGAACTACTGGAAATGCACATGGCAGAAGCCGCAGACCACGAATCGCTTCCGAAAACAGCTTCGGTGAGTTATTTCCTGATGCTGTCTTGATTTCCCATTTCACATTTTTGAGCGTCGAATTGTGTGTAAATTGTATAAATTTCTTGTCGTTCTTGGAACTGATTTGATTCTCCTTCATATCTGCCCATAAATTTACAAGAACTTGTAAATCTGATGAATGTTTCGGTCCTTTTCAGCCTGTCGGCGCTGCCAAAGACTCCGCCGGCGCCACAGTGTACGACTGCGATCTCTGTCCGAAGCGTTTCTCGCGGCGCGACAACTTGCTGGAACACCGGCGGCTGCACACCGGCGTGGGCCTGGTGTCCTGCGAGTACTGCCCCATGAAGTTCACCACGCACGCCCGCTTCCGAAAGCATGTTGTGAAGCACACAGAGCGCAAGACCTTCCCCTGTCCGCACTGTGAGAAGGAGTTCGCGTCACAGCACTATTTGGGCATTCACTTGCTCACGCACTCGGAGGATCAGCTGCCGTATCCCTGTGAGCTGTGCAGCAAGGCCTTCTCGCGCAGCAACGCGCTGCGGAATCACATGTACAGCCACATGAAGCAGTTCCCATGCTCGAAGTGCGCGCTTGTCTTTCCATCGGATCGACAGCTGAAGAGGCATCGCAGGATGCACAAGCTGATGTGCAGTCGATGCGGCACGAGCTTTGAGACAATGGAATTGGTGCACATGCACTTCGAGGAGTATCATCCGGGCGAAGAGGCGCAGATTCTGCGCGAGCAAGAGCCAGGACAGGGTGAGATTGAGGAAGTGTCCCTTCATCAAGACGGCAATGATCTGTCGCAGGCGATTGGTGTGCAAAAAGTGCATTCGTGTGAATTCTGTGGGAAGGAATTCAACCATAAGTCACACTTGGTCTCTCACAGAAACACACACACGAAAATCTTCAAGTGCTCGAAGTGCCCTGAAGTCTGTGCATCTGAGAGGCAACTCAAGAAGCACAGATTGATTCATAAATTTCCAAAAGAGGCGACAAGCGATGAGATTCTTGAGACGAAGCCCAATGTGAAGCAGTTACAAGAAGAAAGTAAATCTTACTCGTGCAAATTCTGTGAGAAAGAATTTGCAAAACCCTCGGCATTAGGGATTCATGTGAAGACTCATTTAAAGTCCCTTTCTTGCCCGAAGTGTTCCGCAATCTTCCCATCGGCGAGACAACTCCAGAATCACGTGAGAGACAATCACACGACAGAAGACGACGAGGACTCAGAGGAAGTGGAAGAAGATGAGGAGGAGGAAGAAATGCCTGATCTGCACGATGGTGATTCGTCAGAAGATAGTGATAAAGTTATAATTAAGAAAGAGCCTCTGGATGAACCAGAATTTTGGCCTTGTGACATCTGCGGAAAGGGCTTCTCGCGCAGTCGCTCTCTGCACATCCACATAAAAAGCCATTCGGAGTTTCCCTGCAGAAAATGCTCGCAGATCTGCTATTCTGAGCGCGAGTTGAAGAAGCACAGGAAAGTGCACAAAACCACGTGCAAAGTGTGCAGGATGGAATTTGAGACGGCGGATCTGCTGAAGCTACACTATCAGGAATGTCATCCAGAGGACAGAAGGGCGAAGAGAAAGGTTCAACCCGCTGAAGTTTTCCAAGATCCATTGATGCTGACTGAAAATGACTTTCTGGATCCCTTGGTAGATTGAAATTCTATTCTTATTCTTATCATCTCTGTAAGTCGCATGTTTTGCTGAGAATAAAAATTACTATACAAGGAAAAATTGCTTGAAAATGCCCGGGAAATGGAATGACACGTAAGTCTTCTGCGCGTCTTCTGTCTTTTTTTTTGATAAGGTGTGGAAATTTTTGGAAATCTCGTGGCAGCAGTTAAGCTTAATGGCGCGAATCAAGCACGAGTCCACGCAAAAGAGGACAATTCGTCCGCCTTCCGGTGCTTTAGATCGTCTTTCATCGATATTGCACCCGCGGAATTGTATATAAGTCAATGGCAATGGAGCTCCGATCATCAGTAAAGCTCAAGCTTAACTTCAAATCACTGTGAAGTCCAAGTGAAGTCAGTCAAGGATGCAGTTCTTCTCCCACTTCTTTACTCTCCTCGTCATTGTCAATCTCGTGGCGTTCTCCCTGGCGGGACACGAGTGTCAACCAGGAGATCACAGCCATCGTAGATGTGGCGACGGAATAATTGATTTGGAACTATTTTGGACGGCCGTGTGTGGAAATCCGCGCTTCTGCATAAGCCCACTGCTCCCGATTCCCATCTTCGGATGCTACGATGTGTGCTGCCTCTGGCAAAATTGCGCCTGCCTCGACGATCTCTTTACAGACGATTGCATGATAGCAGTCGGGTGCTCGATCACCGTTGAACTTCTAGGCCTCTTGGGTCTCTTAGATGATTAGACGAGCACGCAGGACGACCAGAAAAGGAAAAGCGGACAAAAGACCACCCATGATGATCACAATATAAACAATATATTGCACATAAACCAATTGAGCTCAATAAAGCGCGATTTTTCACACAGAAGTTCATAGATTTGTTTCAAATTGAGTAATTCGATCTTGGGCATTATGCCTTTCGAACATCCAAAAGACAAGTAAAACGGGGATAACTTTTGCTCAACGAAGCTAAAATGTAATTAAATCCTGACGTGATGAAGCAAAACCAGTGCATTTGTACAAAATCATCGTTGGATTTGGGCGCAAAACGTAAGAATATAAACAAGGTTTGATTAAAAGCCTTCAAAAATCTTTTATTCAGTTTATGTTCAAATAGTTTTCATCTTTTTTAATTGTTAATAAATTTATAAATTGATTTCATTATTACACATTAAATGTTTTTTTTTTTTCTTTGATGGTATTTTTTCCCGCGAAATTAAGTGTCTTCTTCAATCTGGCAAAAATTACAAAACCGAATCAATTTCCTTTTAAGAATTTCACGAAAAGGTGCATAAAATTGTCGGCATTTATTCAATATTAATTACTCCTTCATAATTTATTTTGTGCTATACAAAAAACATCCTGAGCCACATATAAAAGCATTTTTCTCTCAGTGTTTTCAATTCATCTTCACAAAATATTATACGTTTTTTTTCTTCTTCTTTTTCATGTTTTTGGCAAAAGAAAGCGCACGTGGAACTTCCATTTATGAACCTGAATATCGATTTGATGTTTGATGATAATGCTACTATTTTTTCCTTATTGTTCCCCTCAGAATTCTCCAACCCTTTCACGCCTATTTCTAACTATTGTAGTGTTGTGTTGTTTTTTTTTCTCATATTCAATGATTAAATCTTGTGGGTTAAATTCCATCGCGATGTGTCTTTTGATTCTCGAGAGATCCACCGTGAGAGAAGGAAATATTGTTTAGGATACCCTATCACAACGTAAAAGTCGTCTAAAAAGTCCTCGCCATTGCCACTGATGAGTGTCTCAAGCCAGCAGTATTGCATCCCTTCGGCTTCAGTGCGTCGCGCGTCGTGAGATGAAAGATGCCCTCGTGCGGATTAACACATGCAACCACCCTCGGAATCGTGCTGGTCGCCATTGCACGACGGCTGCGTCTGCAGATCCACGGCTGTGCGTGCATTTTCCGGCAATCAAGGAAAATTCAGCACTTTCACACACTCGCTTTTCCTCCCGCACAAAAGATCGCAAAACTGTTGTAAATACAGTCAATGTTATAAGATTATAAGAACAAAGGGAAGAATGTGGATATCTAATTATCTTCAATTCAAAGCTAATTTTCTAATAAATCTTCTCTCGAAAATATACACGCTCAGTCTTAGGCAATCGAGAAACCGATAATTTAAAAAAAAATCCGTTGGGAAAGGCGTTTCACTTGCCGATTAACGATAAATGCGCACATCTAAGTTAAATTTACTTGCTTTTCCATTTAATTTCAATACTCTTGACCAAAATAACAACCTTTTAGGCACTATTTTGCCAATATTTCATCATTTTATCACTCAAGTTTCCCATTCTCAGGTTCACTTGAATGATAAACTGAAATTGCATGATTTATTTACAACAGTTTTGCGACATTTCTCTAGATTTCTCCACAAAGTCAATCTCTTTGAAAAGTCTCTTCATAAGTAAAAATTAAAAATAACGTGCAAACTTAATCCAGTAAAACGTGTGAAAATGCACGGAAAAATACTCACTGGAAGTATAAAATGAAGCTATCTAAAGAATTTTCAACTTTTATATGCAAAATCATGACTTAAGTTAGGGAAGATAAAATGTGTAAACATTTTAGAATTTAAACTTATACGACAAAATATAATACAGTTTTAAATTATAAATAATTTAATTATAGCTGTTAGTGTTTATCGTACTTTTCGTGTGCTGGTATTATTAATGTATAAATTAAAAATACAGATTTAATATATATATTTATATAGTAATCATACTCGTTTCGCCTTATGTAAAAAATAGAACCTTTTAAATTATATAAAATGCTCTTTTCTGATGGTAAATCATTTGCTCTCCCCCCTTTCTTTTGATTCACAACAAGTAATAATAATAATGATAGAAAAAAGTGTGTAGCAAAAAGGCACTCAACAGGCGCATCCTCCCTCTGGATCTTTTTGTTCATTTGGCGAATCCTTGAGAACGACTTCTTGCACTGCATCGCAAAGAAACAAACAAGATTGAAAAGAAATCAAAGGTTAAGGAAAATATTGCAACTCAACATAACGAAATCAAGAGAAAAAAAACAAGAGAGAGAGAAAAAGACACGAAGAAGCGAAGAGAGCCTGCAAAGAGAGGTTTTTTTTGGGGTAAAAGGATACTGTCTTCTGGCGGTTTGTTCTCAGTGGAATCCATGCCGGGCAAGGCGGCGGCCACTCGCCGGAAGAGCTGCTTCACATTGTAGCCCGCCTTGGCGCTCGTCTCGATGAACATCACGTTGAGCTCCTTCGCCTTGCGATCGCCCTCCTCCGTGGACACTTGGCGCTTGTCCGACAAGTCCGTCTTGTTGCCCACCAGCATGATAATCACATCGCTGCCGCGCTCCGTTCGCACATCGTCGATCCACTTTGAGGTCTGGTGAAAAGAGTTTGCATCTGGAAGGCAAACAATCCGACACAAACTCGTCAAATCAATTGTGTTTGCTCAGAAAACAAAGAGACACGCTGATGTCTTAGCAATTTTTGAAGCAAACCCAACACAACATTCAAACTCAGATCATACTTTTCTGCACAACATCTCTCTATCTCTCTCTCTCTCTCTCTTTCAAATTCACACTGGAAAACTAATACTCCTGAATTATTAATAAAGCCACTCTCATGGAGTCATGAGAAAGTAATTGTGCTCAAGAGACTCCCAAACCAGAAGCATCACAGATGAGATGAACGGGAAAATGTGCCATTTTTCCAGCACTTGAGCAAATTTTCTCTCCCCCCCCCCACTTTGCTTATCATCATTCCTTCCTCTGCACTGCATAATTTCACAATTAAACCAACTTTGCAATTATGGTGGAGGTGCTTTTCATAGCTAATTGCTCGACATTGTGTCGAATGAAAATAATTAAACTCGACAGTAATCGCAAAAGAGCACGAATAAGGCTTCTTCATTCGTCAAAATGCAATTTGATTTTTTTTTTCTACTTCACAGTATTGATTTTTATCCACCCTTAAGCATTCTGCGAATTTCGAGGTGTCGTGAAAATTATTTAGTAATTTTATATAGAAAAAGGAAAGAAATATTCTGTAGTTTTTCGATTATAAACATTTCTCTTAATATTTTCAAATGACATTTTTTCCATATTATTTTTCAAATAATAAATTTTGCTTTCTCGTATCAGAATCGTTCTGTTTCTACAAGAATAACTTAAAAAGTAATGTTTATAACAGGATTTTTCTTTCCACGTCTTTGCTTACGCTAATTATAGTGAAACTCCGCCCATTCAGATGCCACGCCTACTTTTCTGCATTCTTTTCTCGCAGTAAAGAGTATTTTAAAGAAGAATGAACACAAAGAATAACTTCATTTCGTCTGACCTCAAATTTCGCTGTTTTCCCGCAAAATTCCCACTTCTTCTCAAAACCTCAATATGCCGGAAAAATTACAAATAAGGCTAGACCGAACATTGCGCTTTCCACGCCCTGAATTCTCATCATTCTTGCTTGACATTAAAACCACCCACGAACATTGGCGGTGACTCTGCAATCGCACAAACCAATCTCACTTCCAGAAGCGAAAAAGAAATCTACCCCAGATAAAAGTGCAATAAAGTTTTTGTGATCTTGGGAGAAGTTTTGCCGGATGAAGAAACTCCTCAATGGTTGTGTAATGATGTTTGGGAGTTGAGAGAGAGAAGGTCGTAAACTCACTCGTAATATCATACACCACGACAGCCACTGTTGAGTCTCGAATGTAGGAAGGAATGAGGGATCTGAAACGCTCCTGGCCGGCCGTATCCCACAGCTGCAGCCGTACAGTTCGGTCCTCTAAGTACATCGTCTTGGACAGAAAGTCAATCCCGATGGTTGCCTGTGGAGATGATTTTACAGTCAGTCTTCTCGTTGCTTCTGACCTACTTCTCGGCCGTAAAAATTGTCTGTGGCACGAGTGCAATTTATGGAGACTTTTCTCATCTTGGGACACAAATTGAATTATTGAGGATTGACAAAGGGAGGAAAATCAATAGCTGATGCTTGTCGCATGATTTATGCACGCGACTCCGATTGCGTCTCTCCTGGGCAGAGAGAATTGCACCGGGAGTCTGCTGTGCAACTCACCTGATACGTGTTATCGAAACTGTCGTACATGAATCGTGTAATTAGAGACGTTTTTCCAACTGGAAAGAGAGAAAGAGGAGGAATGAAAAATACCCGGAAATCACCTTTCGTGGGTGTGAAAATGCCATTTGTAAATCAATTGCGGGGGCGCGCCTCTGAAGGCTCATGGCAAAAGACAATCTTCTCGACAATCTGTCTCACTTTCCCAGACACTTCTGCCCTCAGAACGTCTAGAAAGCAACCTGGAGCTGCAAAAGCGCCCCACAAATTCACCCAAAAGTGCTGAGAAGACTCAAAAAGCGGGTTTGAACACGTCACAAGAAATGTTTCACGCCGGCTTGTGACACTCATTCATTTCTCAGCCCCGCAACTACACTGTCCGCAGGAGGAGCACCCCAAAGGGGTGAGCTTCCTCCGGCCAGGAGCCCCAACTCACCGCTCTGCTCGCCCAAGAAGACCAACTTGAACTTCCTGAGCGGATTCCCGAAGTCGCCGGACGATGTCATCGCGCTACGCTGGCTATAAATGCACTTGAGAGGGTATTTGGGATGTTGGGGGGAGACAATGCACTGTCCTAATTGATAATTGTTAGCTTTTGTGCCTCTTGAGAGGGTGAAAATTCACTTTTCCACCAGCAAAAATACCAGAACACCGATTTTCGTGAATCACCCAGACACCAATGGCGGCGTTGACACGCGAACAGTTGCAGCGCCGCGCTGGACAATCTGACAAACAACGAGAGGGTGAGAAGAACTGCCCAATTCAGTGGATTTTACACGATAAAATTCATCTCTGTGGCTTGAGATCCTCTCAGAAAACATCAAACATGAAATTTTCTTTTGCGTGTCAACACAAAAACATACAACAATGGATTTTTAGGGAGAAATACTGCAGAGAAAATTTGTACTAAATTCACTTTCATTTGCCGCCGTTGCGGCTCTCAGCTTGTTTGTTTTGACAGCTCTTTAATTGTGAATTTTCACAAAAATACATTTTATTGCATTTTCCTGTGGATTTGTCGAGTGATTGCTTCCTGTAGCGATAGAAACTGCTGCCACAAGCCATGACGGACACGACTCAGTCACAGGATGAAGTGAGAAATCGGGGGACGCAGGAAAAATTCAGTGTTCCGCTGGATGATGTCTCGCCCAAGGAAGCGTACTTTGCAGCACTCAGAATTTGGGTGAACCAGGCGAATCAGAGTCACAATGCCATGGCCTACTTCCCGTATTACCTCATGTCCAACTACCCGCAGCTGTTCCCGCAGCAAACATCCGCGACAGCCACGCAAGAGCCCCGGAATTTATTTGGGAACCAGCCAGATTCTTACGACAGTCCGACGGAAAATGAAGAGACCATCCCCGGAAGCTATGAGTTCGTTATCGCGCCCTTCTGGAAGAGAGTACTGGCCGAGATGGTAGACGTAATGATAGTCTTGTTGATCAAGCTTCTCATCACTTTTGGCATCGTTGATCTTCTGGACATCGATATCAATATTGAATTTAACTTCGACACCATCAGGAGCTCCATCGAGGATGACTACTCCGGGTTACTGTCTCTCACCACCGAGCTGTTGATCCTGGAGATCGTCACAAAGCTGGCGGTGTGCGTGTACGAAGCCGCTTGGACGGCTCAAGGCCATGGAATTCTGGGCGGAGCGACGCCCGGAAAGATCATCTTCGGCCTCAGGGTCCTGTATGTGGACGACGTAATGCCCCTCGAGCCACCGCCGCCAATAGGCCTCAACATGGGCGCATCCATGAAGGCTCTCATCTATCCAGCCACGAATCCTGGCTTCCGGCGCGCGTTGTTCCGCGCCGTGACCAAGAACGCCATGATGGCCCTGCTGTTCCCCATGTGCATCATCATGTTCTTCTTCAGGAACAACCGCACCGGCTACGATATACTCACGAGCACGATCGTGGTGGAGGAGAACCCCGCGCCGGTGTTCCGGCGACGTTAATTCAGTTCGACCACTTTCGCAACTGCATGATTGATAGACCCCAGCAAATGTCCCGCGAGTCTTCTTCACCCGCATCACGGGCACTTTCTCCCGGGTTCGCACCTGCCGCTGGTCTGCAGTCCACTCTTGTGATTGCCACCGAGCATTATCCAGTCAATGTAATAAACATAATTTACCAAAAATATAGTAAAGAAAGATTTTTTTTTTGAATCTCCCTATACTAAACACTCATAAAAATTAAAACCAAAATATCTACAAAATTTCCAAAACAAAGAAGAACTGTGTAGAAATTCAGTCGGTTTCAATGTGGGTGCGAACTCTAGTAAACTTTCCCAGGTAATTGGAGAAAATGGGTAAAACCCTGGAAATTAGTACCATTTCATTCGCGCTATTTGTTGAAAATGCACTCAAAATTACCAGTTCTTCCTCTCCTCATCTCAATTCTATTTATTCTTGGCATTTTTGCCCAGGATGTGAAATCCCGTGTTAACTTTTCCAAAGACATTAAACTACAAAGTGCCGAACGCGATGAGCAATTGAAGAATTCGCGTCAAGGAAGATTCTTCGGCCTCTTGAGTCTTCTGGCGGGATTGTCTCTCTACGATTCAGACTGGACAGATTCTCACGAAACGGGCGGGATTAACATCAAAACGAAGTTTCAGGCAACACCATACGGAATAGGTGAGAAAATATCCCTGATTTTCTTAACTTCCTAATCAATTTCCACCTCTCCAGGATGGCCTTACGGTCCGAGATACGTCCCAGTTCTCATTCCGGCATCATATCTCAGCACTTTGAAGTTCGTTCCTGACCAGAAACCCACTGGCAATCAACAGATCGTCAATGTGGATTCACCAATGAAAAAGGAAAGCTACAATGAAGTGTCTAAAAGCGCCAGTCAGATAACGCCTGAGAGATTCACTAGACAAGCGGTCGAGTTGGAAACCAATGCCACAGTTGAGGAGATTCATGAAAATATGATGAATCAATCCGAAAGTTCCACGGAAGCGATGCAGAAAGTCACTGAGGCTCCGCAGACACAGTCTGAAGCGCAGGAAACGCCTCAGAGTGTTCAAAATACCACCCCAATGGCAATGACATCTGGAAACATCACGGTGAATGAGGTACAGAAGCCTCCAAATTTGCCTCCCAATGGAACCTCATCATACTATAGGAAGTTCCCGCCCAAGGGAACATACAACGTTGATTCCGTCAGCTTCACCACTCTCTATCCGCCTCTGGGCACTCCTCCGCCTGATTATGGAGCCTTCCAGGCGAGCCCGGAGGACGAAAGTTCCCTCCGGAGAGCACCAGGAAGCTTCCAGCCACTCATCCAAGTGCCCATCTTCTGGCGGAATCGCTGACGAAGAGTGTGGATTTTGTTCGGAAAATTAAGGAAGGATTTGAAGAATCTAATAAAGCAGAATTAGAATTATAATTGTTGTTGTAGATTCTAAAGCTCCTGCGTAGATCCTGAAAAAATCGAGGCTAACTTTGAGGCTTAATCTATCGTTTATTTCAGGATACTTTTAACCAATGATCTTCCAAAGCAACTTCTACGCTTCATAATTATTTTATTCATTGTTTTCCATTAAAATGTTCAATTTTTTTGCAATGTTTTTATTGAATATTCATTAATCTAATTTCTGACAAAGCTCTGCAAATAGTGTTACGAATTCTGGTGAGTCTAGGACGCACAGAATGTGGGAAACACAGCATGGACTTGGCAAAACTGGAAAAACCTCAACTATTGCCGTTTCACAGCAATATTTCACGGCGTCACAGCAACAATTCGGTGGAATTATGTTCAAATCGATGAAAATGCATCAAAGTTGATACACAGGTTCAAATATGGGTCCAATAATACATGCTTCAGAGCAGATTTCATAGTATTTTGCACATTTTTCGCTCACTGATATCGATCCATTTCCGTTGGCCAAAGACACAACAGCAAAAGTTATGAGCAAAATTAACAGCTTCATCTTGATGTGATCGCGAGGACGGAAAAATGACAACAAGAAAACTGTTTAAAAGCTCTTAGCTTCTTATATATATATACTCTTTTTTCTCTCTGTGAGCAATCACATTCAGACTGTCTCGTCCAGTGAAGATTTTACACGTCAGTTTTAGGCAAAAATTTCTGTGCATACGATTATATTCGGTATATAAAGTCACCCAAAAAATTGTCATTCTTGCAATTTAGATTGTACACTTGGATGGATTTTGTCAGGTTCAAGCGAATAAAAAAAGCTGAGATATTTTGGCTTTAGTTAAAGTGCTTTAGACACCGTGATTTCACGCAAAAAAAAACATAGAGATGACGACTTCACCAGAAAACTAGTATTTCTTGACAAATTCTTTTCAGACACTTCCTCACGACACTCCACTCAAAGATTATGATGTTTAAAAGCCTGATTTATGAAGGGTTTAATTGTAAATTTTCTAGATTTTGTAGCTTATCGTCTTTTTTTTTCAAGATAGTGCAAGAAACCACAAAACCACGGAGCACGGAATATGGTTTTCATTTGTAACTTCTAAAAGTTTCGAGATTCGCTTATGAGGTTTTATGTATTGATTTTTTGACAGGTTTTTTTTTTAAAGATTTAAATACTAGGCAAAATTGTATCTTAACTCTTCATAACTATTTTATTCGTCGTTTTCCCCTTCACATACTTCATTAGCAGGTTAAGTTATAAGTTTTTTTTTTTACATCTAATTATCTACTACATGACAAAGCGTTGCCCAAAGGTTTAGGTATTGCGGTGAGTCTAGGATGCACGCCAACTGGGAAAGACAGCACGGGGTTGGTAAAGCCTCAAGTATTGCCGTTCCACAGCAAAATCTCGCGGCGTCACAGCAACAATCCGGTGGAACCAAGCCCAAATCGATGAAAATGCAGCAAAGTTGGTACATAGGTTCATATACAGATCCAAAAGGACATCCTTCAGGGGGAAAACAGTTTTCAAAATGATTTGCACACTTTTCGCTCACTGATATCGATCCATTTCCGTTGGCCAAAGATAAAACAGCAAAGGTTGTGAACAAAATCACCAGCTTCATATCGATGTGATCGTTAATATTGAGAAAATGCAACAAAACTGATGGCTAAGCTTTCATCTTCTTATATATACTCCTTCGCACTACCAGGAATTACATTCAAACTTCTTAGTCCAATAATGATTTTACACGTCAGTTTTTACCCTCGATAATGAATGTCACAAGCTATCAAAAAAACCCAGACGTTTTACTATCCTTCCGGTAATTAAGGCTTTTCACTTCTAAAGTCATCCAAAATTTGTCACTCCTGCAATTAAGATTGAACGCTTGGATAGATTTTGTCTAGTTGCGGAGAATATAAAATGCACAGAGAAGTTCGTGCTTTAGTTAAAATATATTCAACACCGTGAGTCTTTACGCACAGCGTAGAAATGAAGCTGTTACTCTTTGTCGTGGTTCTGGCTATCTATTTTGCATCGCTAGTCATGGGACAGGATGGACAGGATTTAATGGAACAATTTCTAAATCTACCTTTGATCAATTCAACTTGTCCTACTGCTGTTTTAGCAATGCTGTGCAATATTTATCCAGCCGCATTTCAACCAGAATGCTGTGTACAAGCTGTTACCACATGCTGCGGAAATCTGTTTGCGACAGTTTGTTGCTGGACCACCTATAAGTGCATCTTCGAATCCGATATGTTTATTGGTCTATGTCCAGCCGAAGAGTGAGGAAAGAAAGTGTATTTTGCGCTTGTGAATAAAATTTTGATGTCCAAATAATTTTCGTTTTTTATTCTTGAATTTTTGAGAAAGTTGTGGCGGATTATTCTTCATGATTTCCCACATCCAGATTTTGTAGCTTATTCCTTTTCAAGATAGCGCAAGAAACGCCGAAAAACACGTCTGTTGCACATGATTTTTTTATTCAACATAATATATTTCATTAGAATTTCGTTTATTCCTTGTAGACATGTTGATTCTCAGTAAATTTGCGTAACTGGACAGAGGTTCTCATATTGCTGCGAACGAAGGATGCACTTGATCTTCGATAGACAGCACGGAGTTGGAATCATATTCTGCTTTTCCACCGAACAGCAAAACTCGATGGCATCACAGCAACAATCCGGCGGAGCAATACCAAGATCGACAGCAGGAAAACATATTTGATATAGGGGTGAAGGAAGACATTCAAAAATTGGAGGATTGCAGTAATTATCATTTTCATTTCCGTTGCCTTTGGCCAGAGACACGAGAACAGCCAAAACCGTAAGCAAAGTAAGTGGCTTCATTTCGAAGTTCGCGAACACCACTCAGAATTCAAGTCACACAAAACTGATGATTGAGCAAATAGGACTTGGTCTCTTATATACTCTTGATCATTAGTTATAACAAAGCAAATGTCATGTAGATTTTCTTGTCCAGTAAAGTCTTTACACGTCAGTTTGAGGAAAATTTCCAGTGCATCTTATTATAAGGAAACGAGCTCTTAATTTTATCTATTCTTCCAGTGATTGCGACTTTTCACTTCCGTTTCACGAATGATAGTGAATATAATTCATCCTCAATTGCTTCAAAAATTAAAATTACACACTTGAATGCATTTTGTCTGAGTAAAGCTAAATAATATAAAAAGCTCAAAACTTCTTGCTTCAGCCAAAACCTTTCTCAATACAATATTCCCAACTACTCCGAGTCAGGGATACAGTATGAGTAGAAAAACACGTTTTTTTTTTGTTGTTCAATGTTCACAAATCTTTATTGCAAATAGTATTCCAAAAAGAATCTAATTCGCTCTTGATATCCGTCGTTAGCCTTCAATGCAGAGGTTTTCGTATTGTTCCGAACGCAGAATGCATTTGATCTGCGAGAGACAGCATGGACTCGGAATTATATCAGCGCAGCAAATTTCGATGGCATCACAGCAACAATCCGGCGGAATTATGCCAATGCCCATTAAAGGGAAACACAGCTGATACAGAGGTGCAAAGAGACATTCTGTAACTGGAGGAAGACAATAGGTAGATTTCGCAGATCCATCTCCATTGCCTTTGGCCGAAAACAGTATAGCCAAAGCCGTGAGCAAAGTCAAGAGCTTCATATCGATGTTCGCGAAGACTTTACGGAATTCAAGTCACACAAAAGTGAAAGATTTTACTTTCTTATATACTCTTGATATCTTATTAGAACATATAGGCGGGTATATTCTGGCTTTCCCATCCACTAAAGATTTTACACGTCAGTTTTTAAGGAGTATTTTTAATGGACTCGGTTTATATTCAACGAGAGCTAAAAAAAAAACCCCAGACGTTTTAATATCTTTCCGGTGTTTGAGACTTTTCACTTCAGTAAAATGGTCTTCCTGTCATTTAGATTGTTCATTTGGTTACACTTTGAGTGAAAATGGAGAATATAAGAAGTCTAAAGCTCTTTCCAGTACTAAATTCCATTCAGCACTGTGAGTTTACGTGTGAAACTTAGTGATGAAGCTATTATTCTTTGCTGCGGTTCTGGCTGTAGGTTTTACAGCACTGGTCAAAGGACAGGAGGACTTGATAGATCTCTTGATCGAGGGTTGTCCCTTTACTCCCGTAGCTGTCCTGTGCACCATCTACGCTGCAGTTACTCCGCCAGAATGCTGCGTAGCCGCCATTGCCGAGTGCTGCGAAAACGTAGTCGTAACCACGTGCTGCTTGTCACATGTGGATTGCCTCCTGAGATCATCGTTCTTTGACAACTTGTGCTAACCATCCTCTTTCCAAAGCCTCCTTTGAGTCCGAGAATAAAAGCTTGATCTCAAAATAATTGTGTAATTATTCTTTATTTTCTTCTCAAGTCATTTTTCTTTATAAAAACTTTGGTGATGAAATCCATTTTGGAGAGTTTGCGCTTCTCTTCCAATATATATCCTTCCTGGGAAATTATGAGTTCTCAACAACACTACACATTACACTTTTTTCTCCTTCTCAGCCTTATTTGGTTTTTTTTTTGATAAACTTTATAATATTTTTGATACAATTACAAATGATTTTCTACAATTTTTTTTCACTATATTTCAATTCTTTTCTTTTGTATTGCCATTTCATCATATTATTATATTATCCGAAGTTATAATATTCAAACAGTGTGGAAATTTGGCAATTAATAGCGGAGCCTGATGGATTTTTTCGTACACCCAAAGCTTTGATAGAAACAATTACAGCTGCAGAATGATTACTTTATTGAGCTCAATTGATTATATAAAATATTAAAGACATTATATGTCGTCGGTTGTCCTTCTTGAAAGTTTATTCCAATGGGAGGCCAAGTGCGCACAAGATTGCGTTCACGCAGAGGAGATCCGTTAAGTTCTCTATGCAAGCGCAGTGGATTAAAATATCGCACCCTCCACACAAGAAGAGTGGAACCAGAGGCGTAGCGAGCGGATCACGGCAGAAGACAGTATTGTCGCACAGGAGAGTCCACAAGGGTGCCAGGAAACACGTGCTTGCTTCACAGTCGCCCGCCTTGGAGTGCGTCAAGAGACCGACGATGAGCAGAAGAGCGAAGAAGAACTTCATCTTTGGCTTGGGTTGGATGATTTTCACTGAAACTCTGCAAAAGCTTTGAGACAGCTTACAGTTGACTGATGATTGCAACTCAGTGCTTTTGGCTTTTTATACGAAATTCTGACTATTTTGAAGTGTTGAATATCAAGTGTAGACGATCTTAAGCACCGGGAAGCAGAAAATCACTCTCTTTTTTGAACTTGTGGGAGATTCACGCCATTAAGTAATGATTTAAGAAATTTTGCAAGAACAAAGTGCAAGAAGATAAGGATTTCAATTGCACTTTTGTTAACACAGCAAAGTCAAATGAAGAACTTTTACCATGTAAAAGCTACTGCATAATTTTCTTTCTTCAATTGGGCCACAAATTTAACACATAAACGCATTTATGTAAACTGGATTTTGTTAATCTGGCAATTTTTTCATTCCTTCCTTTCCTATGTTTCTTGTTTTCTTCTGGAATTCAAACATAAGCAAGGCTTTTCAATGAAAGAAACCCAAAAAAATATTGCTCGAAAAGCTGTAGGTAAATTTTCCTATTTTGAAGACATTATTTGAAATGCTGAAGATAGTGCTTAACCCCTCGGCGATCGCGGTTTTCTCACTTTCTCTCTTGCGTGGGTGTAGGAAATGACGATGAGGATGAGTCTTCGTCGGATGGATCATCTGAATTCCCTTCTTCGTCACTCTTCAGCACGGGAGAGGAGAGAGAGTAAAAAATCACCCGCCAAGAAGATGAATATGCGCTGAAAAGAGTGGAAAAAACACCAAACTTATTTATACACCGTGAGTGTGGAAATAATTCTGTCGTGAGTGGCGTTTGGACACTTCAGGGATTTCTGCGGGGCGCAGTAGACAAAAAAAAGGGGGAGACAGCTGCGAACGCCCCCCATTTTTGTGCGACGATTGAGGGAAAAAGTTAAGTGACACCACGTGGACTATTTTTAGTGTGTGTGAATGATAAAAAAAATAATAATTCAGAGAGCATGAAACATGGCCCGAAGGAGGAATAAAACACTTAGGCACACTTTTCTTTCCTATTTTTAATAATTTCTTTATTTTCTTCTCTTCGAGCGAACTTCACTTCCTCTCACTTCCATACAGTATTTTGGATTACTAAAGAATCTTAATAGTAAAATTTACGCTTCTCAATAATTCATAGTTTTTTTCTTTTCCTTTCCCGCTTCTGCATTTTCTCTTCACTTTGTCAAATATTGTTAAGTAACTAATCATCGCGATCTCGCTTGAGAGATTCATCTCAATCTTAAGTGATATGATTGTTTTTCATGCATTCTTCCATCTAAATAAATTATTAACTTAACAAATATAATATCTCTAGAGAATATTCATCATTGTTTTTTTCATTTATTGTATTTCTTTTCTTTTTCAATAAAATAGAAGGGTTTTTTTTCTCTGTTTCTTGTTTTCATCATGTTTATTCCTTATGCTTTTCCTTAAAAACTAATTCATCTCTGTCTTCTCCCGTAATGAATTTTCTCTGTTTCTTCCCTTTTAAGTACTGCAAAAAACATTAGAAAAGGTCTCTTCCATCAGGACGGAATCTATTGTCCGTAATTTGCCTTGAAAACAAAGTGTTAGAAATTGTCACTCGAATTCAGTCGTTTTTTTTTCTTGTAACTCTACTGTGATGTTGTTAGGTTTAAGTCGTACATTTACAAATGTATGACTTGCCATAAAAATAAATAATCTAGAAAAGACGTTTGACTAGATTAATAAAGAACTATATATCTTTTTAAAAATATAATGCGCGACTTCTCAGCGACTCTGCAGGTTAGCCATCTGCAAAACCACGGATTAATCACCTTCAATCCCACAAAATTTACTCTATTGTATTCTTTTTTTTTCATTTTGAATTTGACAATAAATCTGCATGACACTGAACAAGTTTTTCAGAGTTACTTCTCAGCCATCTTGCCATGTGCAAAGGAATACCAATTTTATATATATATACTTTCCTCCGTTAAAATGTCTGTCGGTGTGTCTATAAATAAAAGATAAGATAGAATTTCTATATCACTAACATGTTTATTACTCGTAACTCTAAGATCTTCTCCTTCTTCCATGGTATTTTCTCCCTTAAAAAACTACTGAGATAATTAAACTATGATTCTCTTTTGGTAATAAATTACATATTCTCTCTACTACGATAGTGAATATAATAGTAACTAAAATATTTTGTAGCATATGTTATTTGCTTAGAAATCAGTACTCCTCTATCCTCGTGATCTCTCATCAAAATATACTCTCCTCCCTTTCACATTGAATCCCTTTTATTGGCGTAAATTGGCGAATTTCGAGCATGAATTCGCCTTCAAGTGCTTTTTTGGTAAATTTCATTATTGAGCGGCGCCAGGAGCTTGGGGGCCAGAAATCATTGAAGTCGCGCCTCCTGCAGAGACGTCTGGCCAGCACCCTGGTATGGTGCTAGTCCGGGAAAGCCTCCAGCCGCCGCAGCAGCTGCAGCGGCGCCTGTCTGTGGCAATGTGGCATAAGTGTAGGGAGCAATGTATCCGGCGGCGGCTGCATTGGCTACAAAGACACACGATTAATCATCTGCCAAACACTCTTGGCCACCAACTCACCTGCAGCAGTTCCAGAATACGGATACGCCTCGAATCCCGTGTACTGACTTGGATACGGAGCGGCCGCGGCGGCAGCAACCGCGTTCTTCAGTTGAGAGGAAAGGAAGAGAAAGGTTTGGAGTTACTCGCAACGTGTCAAAAAATTTGAATATTAAATATATCTGAGGTCAATATTGTAATATGAAGAGCCAAATGAAAAGCTTAAATGGTTGGAATTGAATGAATATTATATTTTGTCAACCAAACTATTCAAAAATACTTCGTTTAGGAATACATTATAGGAAAATTAAAAAAAAAAAACAGAGGCAATTCGCCAATTTTGCACGTTTTAGGGTTTCAATTCGAGGCCTGAGACTTACTTGGTACTCATAGAACTGACTAGTGGCGGCTGCAATGGCGGCCGCGTGGGACAGCTGCGTGGCCGGAAGTGGCATTAGTCCGGCAGTCGTGGCACTGGTGCCCAAGTACGGCGCCCCGTAGACGTAAGACGGCGGAACCCTGTCGAAGACACGAGGCGGACGATTAGGAGGGACATCTTAGGCTCATGAGCCAACAATTTGAGAGCAAAGATCTCAAAAGGTGGAAGAAAAACCAAATAAAAATTAGACAATTTCAGGCTTTGGCTGGCCTCTTCTTCAATATATCAAAAAAGGAACACCTCATTAACCACTCAAGTTTGGTAAAGAGCCAAAAAAGAAAGAAAGAAAATCCAACTGTGTCAATTAAACTTCTACGAAATCCACAAAAATCTCTCAATGGCACGTTAATTGTCGTGTATTTGGTGTTACAAACTAAAACACAGAGGCATTCTCAGTCTTTAATCCTCTTTTCTGTGTCGACAGAGAGGAATGATCTTGTTGATTGTGAAGAAATTTCTTACTTTTTCCATCGATTTTCATATTATCTCCCTCTTTTTTCCGCGTGTGTCGTTTGCGCGTCAATGGAAAAACATTGGGGAAAATTACTGACACGAATAATTTTCATATCTGTCGATTGATTCACTTTCACAACACATTGTGGCTCAGTTGTTCGCGTTGCGGCTGTCCTGGCGCACAAAACGCCATCAGGGACGAATGATCTGCAATTAACTGACAAGTGGAACAACCCATTTTGTGGCTTCAATTCACCGACAATAATTGTTGCAGGAAAAGGTAGTCGGAAAAACAGATAATCAACAGGATGACCACGAAAAGAGTCACCATTGTGCAACTTTATCGGAAAATTGGGCCAATTGGTCAAGTTCTCTGGAACTCCTGGGCACTCACATTAACCCATTGATATCATCACAAATTTACTAATTGATTTATAATGAGAAGAGTGATAGGAAAACACCCTGTGGCAGCATTTTTCAAATATACCTGTCGCATTGAGCCAATTATTTATTCATGGAGTAATGAAGCTCACGTTCTGTGAGCATTTTAGCACTTAGATTTCCAACAATGATAATTCTCTGTCTCTCCACCATTTTTCATAGTTCACCTCCCCCAACAAAACCACCCACTCAATTTGGAAAAAATTGATTCTCGCGTCACTGTATTTACTGATTTTCTCACGAAAGTGAATTTCCCGCACAACTCCACGTCGGTCAATAAGTGAGCCATTAGAAATGGAAGAAAATGATCAAAGTTTAGCTGGGAAAAAGCGCCGATCCAATTGAGGAACGCAATTGCGTTGCGTCATCACGAGACAATTTGGACTTTATCCAGACGACACTGTTTTATGTTTTTCGAAATCACGCGCTTTTCCGATTATTGTCATATTCTCGCTTGTGACATTTTATTAATTTTCCGTTGCTGGCTTGGGTGAAAAAGCACACCGTCATGGTTGAGAATGAGTAAAAATAAAGTCTTTCACAATAATGGCCAAAGTCTCTATTGGCATTTATCACACACAGAGAATTCAACTTCAACTGTGCCGTGGAATTTGATATTTTGCCCAATTATAAATACATTTCATAAATCAGGAAGAATGTGTGACTTTGGGACTGAAGAATGCATCACATTGAGTGAATAATTGGTTTTCTTTGGCAACCGTGAAAATGGCAAAGGTTTTTCAAGTTGACTAATAGCGGTTAACCCACGATAATACCGTGAATACGCTCGTGATTTAATCTTTGGGCATCATAAAGTGTCAATTAATATACACAATCTACTCATACGGTGTCCTTTTCGAAGATTAAGCAAATCAAATAAAGCTTAGCATGTAAGTTTCTTGGTTAAACAAGACAATTTACATAATCTAAGAAATAATAATAATAAATAATAATAAATTTATTCTTCCTTCTTTTTCTTTTGTGTGCGGCTGCCGCCGGCTTCATTGCCGACCTCCCCGAGCAAACGGCAGAAAGCTCGGCTCTTCGGTCGTAATATAAATCGTAAATATATATAAAGTGTTGGCACTTTACTGAGAAGATTGAGACACTCAAATTCAGACTTTAAAATTTAAACCATAACGAAAGAAGATCTAATTGTGTCTCTGTATAGAAATTAAAACTTATCAGTAAATCCTTAATTCATGACATTTTGACAACTCAGAAAATTACAATGTAACAAGTTTAAAGCGTATAAAACGAATATCAACGTCGTACTGAGCCGATTTTATTACCGTCGTCTGCACTAGGCATAACTCTCGTGTCCACATTAAGATCATCCTGAAATCGTGAGTCAAGTGTGTGTAAATAGCATGACTCGTTAAGACCCCAAATGCGGAGTATCCACAGGATTTCCCTGCGGATCGTTTGGCGTCTGAGAGCAAAAAGCACGTGCTTTTGGGGGTTTCTGGTGTGGGGCGCCCTTCACGTGTTGCCGCGTGAGCGCCAATCGCGGAAACTGCCCCGAGATTTGCTCCAATCGCAAAAATTGCCACGCAGAGCGCATGTCCGGAAGGGAGGAGCGCGCCAGTCGAACCACTCAGCAAAGCTCCACACACATGACTTGAGCTTTTCCCATGCCAAATTGCGTCTTAAGGCGCAAGAAATCTCTTCCCAAAAATAAAGTGCAGATGAGATTTTTCTGCCTCGATGGCTTCATGCCATCCCAACTTTGAGAGACTCTTTCGCGGTGAACACACGCGATCAGGCATCGAGACGACGATTTTTGGTGCTAATTTTAGCTACTTGGCGACCGCATTGAAGAGAAAATCTAATTTAGGCGACACGACAGGCACTTTTTTCTCGCGTCTTAGCATTTTCCCTCCCATTTTATTTTTTGTCCTCTGATCATTAGTCAAGGCTCGAGAATTGGACAGATTCTCTTGTTTCTCATGGTAGGAAATTGCTGACTACATAGAGATATTGCCACAGCGCTCAGAAATTGACCGCCCAATCAATAAATCATCCAACGAAATCCTGTGCATTATTAATTCATTGCAGGAGGGAAATGTGTAATGAATGGTTTTTCCCCAATGTTTGTCCACTTGTCAATTTTGACGGTGAAAATTCACCTTGGAAAACTCCATATATAATTCTTTTAGTTCAAAGAACCTTTGAACCTCTTCCACCATCACTCTCACAATTATCGCCTCGTCAATTTGCTCTTGTGCAATGAAAAGAGCCTCCAGAGCTTCATATAGCTTTTTACTGTGCACAGCGAATTAAGGCCACGTGAAGCACTCAAATCAATTGATAGAACAGCCCTATCGACAATCAGGGGTGTTTTGTGTTTGTGCACACGAAAAGTGGTGTAAATTATGAAGCCACATTAATTTCCCATTTCCATTGGAAGTCACTTTTTCACTCTTTTTCCACCTCTGCACAAAATAACATTATTTCAACTTGTCCTTCCTGTAGAGCCGCGCAATTGTCGCTTTTTACTTCTCATCACGTTGAGCCATTATCGTTTTTAATCCATTTAGAATTATAGAATAAAGTACGGCTTCACTCAAGGATGATTGTGTACACCAAGTAGGCGGAGCTTTAGAGTGGGCGGAGTTTAGCAAATTGATAGAAGATTCCATACTAATGCCTATTCTATTTATTTTTCTCTAGAAAGCTAGTAGAAAGTATGCATTTTAATGTCTTTTAAAAAGATTCTGATACACAATTAAGAGTATTTAGTCAATCATTATGTCCAATATATTGCCTCACTCTTCTCTATTTAAGTGGGAATGCACAGAAAAAAAGTCAAATAGAAGAAAAAAAAGAACACATGTACACGTAAACAAATGCTGTTGAAAGTGAATAAATGAGAGTTGATAAAAAGAAATTAGCAAATTGATGTCCCATCACCAGCTTCAACTATTTCATTTTAAAATATATGGTTGAAGTGTAAAAAATCGATAAAGAAAACTTCACACAAATTTCTTAAAAAATTTGATTGCTTTCTATAACATTGCATGAAAGGAGAATAAAAATCTCATATAACTTCATAGAAAAAAGACTATGTTTTATATTTATTTTCTTTCTTTATAGTGTTAGCATAACACAATCGATCATGAGTAACAAATTATCATTGGTCCTCAGTTTTCAGATTATCCGCGATCACAGTGAAATTATTTAATTGCTACTCTTACACCACAACACTATTATTATTATGTCAACATCAAGGAAAATGTAAGATAAAAAAAATCTACAAGAAATGTTATTGCTGGCAAAGAAAAAAAAACACATATATTTTCCCTTGGGTTAAACAATGACTCAACTGTTGAAATTGCAAAAATACCAATTAGACCAATTCCTTTCTTTGATTTTCTTCAACACCAACGATACGTCAACAGACCAAAAAAAAACGGAAGGATCGGGATTCTGATCATCTTTTGCACTTTAATGTTTATACACATTTTGAAATAAGATGTCAAAGAAGTCTCAAAGAAAAAGAAAACCTCACGCAACACACCACTAAAGAAAAACAATCAAATTTCTCAAGAAAAAACACTGCTTTTATGTAAAAAAAAAGATAAAAAGGTAAAACTGTAAGAAAACGACAAACGTGTGAATTTAGCACCCAATCTCTTTTAAAAATAAATCTCTCTCTCTCTATTAAAAAATCTCAAGATTTCCACTCACTTTCTTTCACGTAGAAAGATATCGGATTTTTTCATTTAGATTTTTGGGTGTGAATTTATTTTGGGGATTCCGTAGATCGCAACTGATAAGAAAAAAAGAAGAAGGATAATAGAAAGATATAAAAAATATACTTTTTTACTTTCATTTCAAGAGTTTTGTTTGGAAGAATTTGGAAAAGTTCTAACCAATGCTTAGAAATCTGTCAATTTCACTCTTTCTGCGAGTTTCTGTTTTTTTTTGGTTATTACATTACAAAGCAAATTGAGGAAAACATCGGAGAATTTTGTCTCAATTTCACTTTAAAAAAATCACAATCTAGATGAATACGACGAAAAGAGCAAAGAAGTCTGTCTTCACGGAAAAAGAGTGAAATTGTCGATTTGAAAGCGTTTCACAAATCACATTTATTCTGCCGGTTTTTTTTTTCTTGCACCAAATCTCTTTTCTCGTCGCACTTTTTCACGCCCAGAAATTTACTGGAGATCCAAAGAAAAGAAAATCATAGTATATATATGGACAGAAATATTTTGATCAATTTGTTTTGCAAAGTCTCTGTGCCAATTATTGCCTTTCTTGCGATGACATGAAAAACGAGGAGCTTTCATGTGTGATTAGAGGTGTGAAAACACGTGGTAAGAATGCAAAGAAACACTCACCCAAATTGATTCTGGAGCACCGGATATCCTGCCCGAAGTCCTGCAGTGAAGGGAAATCCTGGGAAGAGAGGGTGGAAAAAGCCACAGATATAGAATTACAGCCAATCTGCTTGTGTTCTTGTGATATTGATTCGGAACACAGAGAAAAGCACAGAATTACACAAGTTAACAGTGATGGTTAGAAAAGTAGAAGCAGTTTTGTTTGCATTTTCCGCGCATTATACGCGGAAAAGCCTTTCTTTATATCCATTTGTATGAATGGCAACGATTTAAAAGTGTTTATATTTAACAAATTTGACTTAATGTATATTCTTAGCTTGTTTTTAATCCCGTGCATTCATAAATTTCCTCCCACCACTGTACATTTTTATGGTTAATTCCTTGTGAGTCAGCGTCGGAAAATGGGTTTTTAGTAGTGAAAAATTAATAGAAGAACACCACAATGGTTGAAATACAGGGAAAAAATGGAGCAATTTGAGGTGATTTCGCGGCTTTTCATCGCCAATTACAAATCGTGTGTGGAATCTCACACAAAAGCCACCCAACCAACAATGCAACAGCAAAACTCCAGCTATTGCAGCAATTTTCCACTGACAAGAACTTCTCGCGACTATAAAAATTGATAAAGTGTATTTAAATGGGCGATCGTGCTCCACTCTTCCCTCCACCTGCCCCGCGCCTGTGGGAGCCGCGGGGCGTGAAAGGGGGGCGGCGGCCCAATGCTCGTGGTGTATGGAAAATTCTTTTGTCAAACTCTCTGTGCCACAACGAATTAATCGGACGAAAATAAAAGATATGTCGCACTATATTGTGCGATGATTTCCGACCGGAAATGTTCACGGAAACATTTACAAATGCTACGGTGAACTGGCGATGCTCCAGCGATATTGGCCTGGTAGTTGTGAGCGCCCCATTTGCATACACACTTTTCATTCCTACAGTAGATTATTCTTGTGCGGAGCAAAAATATTTCCAGCACGCAATGAATTTTCCCACCCACTCAATTTGTCTGCGAGTTTGCGGCGACGCCAAGCCAAAGAGGGGGTTGTTGAGGAAGAAAGTGAAAAGCGACACACTCACGCTGACCTTTGGCCGTCCTGATTTTCTCTTACCTCCAAATGATGCAGTGGACAACTCACCTGGTGCTAGATTGCCACGCGGTTTGGCACCAAGAATGGCCAAATTCACATTTGCCTTGCGACCATCAATGATGGGATTTGGATCTTTGCACGCCCTCTCGGCGCTCCCTCGATCACCCATTATCACCTGCAAAAAGGCCAAAGAACATGGAGAAAATTTAGCGAAAATATTCCATACTTCAAATCAAATTATCTTATGAATCAACTGAAATTGATGAGCGCGAAATTTTCTGACTCCCCTTTTTCGATATCAAAGGGCTGAATGAAGGCAAAGCGAACTTCGCCGAGAACTGCAAATTGTGGTTATTACATCATCAGCTCCACTAAAAGGAGTCGACAAATTCTAATATTGTCCCCAAAGAGCTGAGAGCTGTAAGTAAAATTCATTCGCAAATTGCATTGTGCGCTGAGAGCTGAATAAAGAGCAGAATTTAGGCATTCGATGCGGAGGGAGGAATGCGAGAGGGAAGCCCAGAAGAAGGGAGAAAAAAACACCCTCGAGGGGTGCTCTTGTGTGTGTGGTGCAACCCCAAAAAATTATTCTTCACAGTGCCGTCAATGGATGGCATTATCATGAGACGTACGCAACACAAAATCACGAAGGGTGGGCCCGCAAGCCCACGAAACGTTCTCCCCTCGCTTCACGGCTGGCGAAACCACCCTCCGCAACTGCGAGTTCGGAAACTCGAGCTCGGCAACAAAGCAGCATCCTTGCGCAAAGGCACTTAATTAATATCATAATTGAGAGCGATTTTTAATGCTGTTTTCCTTTAGGTGCTTGCCGCTTCTGACATCACTAAAGGGAAGATCGCGTTTGAGCTTGAAATGTTGTCAACTTTAAATTCTGTGTTCGCCAGTTCAATACATATAAACATTTTATTGATGCATTTTTAACAAGAAACCATATGCCAATTGCTTTTTGGCACGAATTTGAAGGTAAGTTGAACAGATTAAGTGCAACTGATTACAAAAAACAGTCACTTTCTCAATATCATTGCTTCAAATCTCAACTGAACTCTGGCAGATTTTTAATTTTAATGATTTTAACCACTCTAACACTAAACCATGAGCCTTTGATCATTATCAGGAGAATGAGTAGCCCATGACAACTCATTGAAATTACAATTTATACGCACAAAAATAACCAAATTTTCCCTTCATCGACATGAAAATAGAGCTTCACAATAACTTACAGATCTCTTTAAATTTTACAAAAGACCGAATGTTTTGTCAACCAAAGAAACGTCTTAATATCGGATTAATGGGTTAATTTTGTCTTTTTCCAAAAATCTTACGCTAATGTTTTGAATACTCACAAATCCATAGCCTCTGCTCTTGTTGGTCTGTCTGTCCGTGATCACGACAGCTTCCTCAATTTCCCCGTAGACGGAGAAGTGCTCCCTCAGGCTCTTGTCCGTGGTGTGATAAGGCAGACCGCCGACGAAGAGCTTCGTCCACGTGGTGTCCTTCTGCTGGACATTGGGCGCCGACAGGGCGGCCGCGGCGGCCGCTACAGCGGAGCCAGGAGGAGCCAGGCCAGCGCCTCCTGGAGTCGAGGACGCCACCAGCGCGGCGGCCTGGGAATTGGCCGCCAGAGCGGCCAATGTAGCGGCGTCGGCTTCTGGGGCTCCAGGCATCAGCATTCTGGGATGAATGGCGGCTATTTTGGTCACTTGTCACTCCAGACGCCCGCGCCCTGAAAGGGGCACAGAGATGTTCATGAGATCCTTGCTTCCGGGAGACAAGCAGACAAAGGGACGTGTTTTTTGCGTGGGGTGAAAAGTGTGTGTTTGCAATGAGCGCCCATGATTTACGCGCGTCTATTTCCTTTTAGGGAGAGAGACTCCTTCACGGCTCGCGCTCTCCTTGTTCCTCCGCGCCATCCTGAGAAGGGATTGGAAACCTTCGATTGATGTGAAATGCCATTGAAAGTCCCAAATGTACACGGCCGTGTGCGTTAATTAAAAACAAACCCCCGGCGAAACATGGCTGGAAAAACACAAGTTCGATGAACCTCCTTCCTCTCGAATTATAGAGAAAAGAGCGCGGTGAAAGAGGTTAAAACACCCCTGAAAATGTGAGTTTCCCCTTCGCGACATGACTCAAAATGAGATTCACAGACACTAGCGCATGATAAATGCATTGAGTTGAGGCCGCATGAGATATGAAAAAGAGGGTGAAACTGAATCAAATTCATCCATATGTGCGCTCCTAATTTCTCTCTTTCGCTCGCCAACCCTCCCAATATTGTTGTTGTTTGGCCAACGAATTGGGGTCCTGGATATCGCTCTCTCCCTGTCGCACTCGAGGCACTGCCACGGGGCGCACAGAAGGGATCAGACGGCACACCAGGCAACCAGTCAACCAGAGACCCATTGTGAGCATGAACGTGGGGTAGTTTTCTCAACACTGATCCTCCTTTGCAGCCCAATGCTAACGAACACACATGCGAGAAATTGAGGAACTCACATTTTGCTCACAATGTTGTATGGCTCCGAAGAAAGGGGAAGTGTGTACGTGTGTACTTTTATCTTCAAACACGAATCACTAGTCCAAGTGTGTTTAGGGTCGCTTTTCTTTGTTGTATACTTTGCCAGAACACAGAGAGGAACACCACGCAAAATAGATAAACGCGGATTAGATCAGTGTGATTAGTCCATGAGTAGAGAGATGAATGGGAAATTAAAACCCCATCATTGATAATGGGTAAGAAAAATTATACTTTTAGTCCTATTTTCTTCGGAATGAAGTGCTTCAAAACCGGATTTTGTTAGCCTTGGCAAAGATGGCCGCAGGACGCTGTGGAATCAGGATCTGTTGAGGAAACAAGTGAAGTTAGAAGCGAATGAACACCTTATCAAAGCGCAATTAAAGCCATCAGCCACGGCCCTGCAAAGGTGGTCATCCTCGAGAGCGATAAAGGCGAGTGTGAAACCGTCATTTTGCTCAATGTTCCTCAATTGTTTTCGCAGCAATAAAAAGTCCACTGCAAGAGCATAAGCAATAAATGTGCCATCTGGTATCAAATTCAAGGCTGAAATCTCTGTGTGTATGTGCACAATTGCTCGGCACTGTGGGCCCGAGGGGGCCAAAGAGGTCCGCACCCATTTGTGTGGGGTGAAGATGCTGGGGACCCCCGCAATGTCACACTGTCTGCCTCACGGAGGAACATCTGTTCGCGCGCGGGGGGCGACGGAGCATTTCCGGATATTTGCAATTATGTGGCGCGACAGACCCACGCACAAAAAGGTCGGATCATCGGTGTTGAAATACCTGAGATGTTTTTCCAATTCTGCTACTCCCCAGAAGATTTGTATTATTGTGAAAAGAGAGTCACTGTGTCACTTTTTTCCTCACACACCAACTTCTTTCTTCTTTCACGGGGAAAAAATACGCGCGCTATTCTGACGATCCACACAAAATTCTCTTGTTCCTCGCCTCACACCATTTGTGATATCTTCCACACACACGCAGTTGTTTCAAAACACAGTATAGGAGGAAAGAGGAAAAAATCACACTTTTCTGGCTCCCCAGAAGATGTTACGGGCCAACACAACAAAGTAACGAGGATTTGTGCGTCCCTCAATTCTTTCTCGGTCTCTCTTCCTTTCTTCACACGCACACAGAGACGCAACTTGGGCAATAAATAGGAGAGTCACCCTCGGGCTTCAGCACGATGCCTCTGCGTGATGTCAACGGATCGACGGTCAAAACACAACTGAACACACCATTCGCCTCTCTGGCTTGCTCTAGTTCCTCTCTTTCTGGCCCTCTTTCATCACAGTGTACCCGATGTCGCTCGGCTGACGACACGCATGAAAACTGCCCGCCAACAGCGCACTCGCTCGTGCCTTGCCGCCAAAAATTGCCAACGGAGAAAATACGACGGACCCTCGCGACGTGGCTTTCCACACTTTTCGCCACTGTGAAACATTTCGCGGAAAAGATCCGCAAATTTCGTGCTTTGATTCGCGCCCGAAAATTGCCACAGAATCAATGATCAAAACGACCAAAACACCAAAAGTAACTTTTAAAGCTATTTATCCTGTTTTTGACATTTATTCTTTATTAAAAAAAAAAAACTATGATGATTTCCACTTTATGTCTTATTGGCCTTTTTAAGTCAATCTGAAAAGAAGAGAATGTCGAATGTAAAACTTTACATCTCTTAACATTTTTCATCTTTAGTGGGAATTGATCCATTTGTCTCCGAAAAACTTCAAAAATAAATTCTCAGACGATCTTTCGAGGACTCGGCCTGATTGCTTGCGCTACTTGTTATGAGGTTAATGCCCATGTTAATTACGGCCTAGCCAGAGAAGATCTTTGTTTAGATTTAGAAGAAGACCAAGAATTTTTGCCATCGCAATGTGTGCAATTGTGGAATTTTCTCCGTTAACAGAATGTTGGGAATTTGCAAATGGATCTGCTGATGCGTATTTCTGTCCCGTGTCACTGATGAAAATCGTGGCGGAGAAGAAGAGGAGTTTTGGAGAGTGTCTGCGAGTGCGAATGGGGAAGAGTCCACGTGGAAAGCCGCGAGTGAGGATCACAGGCAGGGGGCTTTGAGTGTCTCCCAGGGAAGTCGCACTGTGGGATGTTCTCCACGGCTCTCTCTGTCTTCTCTGGTCGCTATTTATAGCCGCGTCTCCCCTTTGGAGTGAATATCAGGGACCGCACTCGAGACGCCACTGTCGAGGGGGCGCTCCGATGCGCGACGATCGGGGCGCACCAGCTGCACTCTGGGCCACCTGGACGCCCTCCCAATTCGTGCCTGGTGCTCTGGGTGAGCCATAAAAAAGCCAACCACGACGACACTATGGCGAGTTAGGTAGCACAGCTGTCGCTCGATCACGACGATCACACATTTTCCACGCGCGCGCGCGCACTCACACGAAGGCGCCCCATTCTTCGGTCGCCCCAGAGAGTGCATTTCCCATTGTGTCCACGCAGACACTCGCGCTCAATTGCCATTCCGGCCGACGAATTGATCGGCGTGCGCTTATCGTCGAGCAATTGAGGGGAAACTCTAGCAATAGTGAAACAAAGTGAAACAATTAATTGAATTAACTCACTTGAAAATGGTCACAGCTCCGCACTCTCAATTTCATGCCCATTTAATTACATGTCGCAGACACGTAGTAAAATATTTGGGATCGTGCCGCGCTTTGTACGCAGATAAACCCCAGCTTTTTCACGGATGACTCTCTTCCCAAGCCATGAGTCATGGCAATTTGCAGTGGCTGATAAACCATTTGGGGACTGTAAACTCGATGAGGTCGGTTGTATCCAGTTCCGAGATAAAGAGTGATAATCGGTCTTGAATTTTTCGACTCTTGCTATCAGCAATCGGTGATAATAGCGCACAAGGGGTTACTAATGTCGGAGATGCTGAGATGCTGTGGTACACAAAACCCACATTAGCACCCCCTTGACTTTGCAACATACAATTCAGTCATGCTCTCAAGAAGCATTTTAACTGTAATTTAAATCAAAGTCTCATTCAATATTAAATCACCTGTGATGCTCGATGAATATTTCACGTTTGTAGAACTGTAATCAATTGACAAAAATAGGAATATTATCTAATTGAGAATTCTCGCCATTGTCGGTTATCGAGATGCCAATCTTGCTGTTCTTTATTCTAATAAGTCTTATTCCGAGAGTAGCAACAACTCAGAGCGCGAATGCGAATAAAAAGACCAGAGAAATATTATTATTAATTTATTGGCGTAGTCAAAATAGTTGTATTAATTGCATAGTATCCGTTATCCTGGTATTTCTTCACAACTTGCCACATTTCTTTCATGAGATCGTTAGTTATTTGAAAAGTGAACATAATATTTAGGAAATAGTTTGTTAAATGCATTGTATTTCCTGATTTTCTATAGAGCTGCAATGACTTCACTAGTTTCTTATCTCTTTTAAATTGTGTCATTTTTATGTTTATCTTCTCTCTGAGTATGCCCAGCACATAAACATCATCCACCCAAAAGAAGGGAGTTGTTTCTGCTGCCTTGTGGAGCTTCTGAGCCACATCAGTCGTCAGAAGGATTCCCCATCCTGAACAGTAGGCAGGATAAGTCTCATTTGGATATTCTTCAGAAGTAACATACCATTTGGAGTTTTTATCACGAAACACTTTACTGTCCGAAATAACACGGCAAGTTATGAAATTATCCAAATGACCAACTCTTTGGATGAATTGCGAGATGTAGGGCGTATTCACGAAAACATCATCGTCGCATTTGAAGATGAATTGAGTTTCTGGACAGAATTCTGTGGCCCATTTCATTGCCATGATGTGTTTGTAGGAGAGATTTCTGTAGCTATCCACAAAGTTGCCTTGAACAATGTCTTGGAAGAAATCACTTTCCGTCTGGATTTCCCTCTGCAAGTCTTCCGATTCGACGGTTCCCAAGAGAAAAAGCACGCGATGGTCGATTTTCCATCCTCCCCAGCTTTGCCGGATGCTATCTCTGTTTTCCCGTCTTCGCGGCGCGCTGTGAATCAGGATGATGAACTTTGGTTGTGTACTTAATTGTCTGCATGATTTTTGGTTGATGATATAGTCAAAGTCTCTGAGATCAATCAGGAAGCGTCGATCAAAAATTGCAAATTCACTTTCCGTGATATTCTGGATATTTTGCACATAAGTTTGACATTTTCCCACATTCCAAATCACACATGAATACATGAGAAACGCTAGGACCAACAATATCCAGTATATTAATTGTGCTTTGAAGTAAAAATTTCTTCGAACAACTGAGCAATTGAACATTGTGCTGAATACAATCCAACTAAACTATTCACCAAAAGAAGTCTGACTTTAAAAGTATATTCTTATCGGAATTAATTATAAATTCAAAAATTTCTATATCACAAGCAATTCGTCTAGTGTGCCATTATTATACTCCACGTGCTGATAAAGTCCAAAACTAAAATTTCCTTCATCGTTTGTTTTTAATACTTCTTCATGATAATTTCTGATTATATCTAATTTACCACACAAATTTAACATGAGTTCTTCTTAGAAGTGCTAATCATGCGATATTCATATCTAATCTACAGTAGAGAAAACCACTTATTTCCCTTGTTCAACTCTGTTAAAGAGAATCATCTGATTCAAATAAAAGATTCCATCTTTATCAACACAAAATTCTCATCCAAATCCTGACCTTTGGCAATGGTAAAAATGTATAGCGAAAAACTTTGCTGCACTATAATTTACAGCCTTCGTGTTTCTCGCATGTGGTTTGAATTTCTGTTGGGACTTTCCCAGTCCTGAAACTTTTATTAGGGGTGCGCTAATAATTCAAGTCGACTTCAGGGATTTGCCAGGGGCATTTGGCCAGACGGAGATCACACAAAGGGCATATATTTGCACCCTTTGCAGATGTGGGAATTCCCCATCTTTTACCATCGCTCAGGCACTTTTCATCTAACGATCCAGAATGAGATTTTCTCCTCCAATAGCTTGGTTTATCAAACAAATCGTCACGAGAGTGAACAGAAGTGCGCTCGTCAAACAAACAATCGATGCTTATTGGAGTGTGGCGACAAGTGATCTGTGGCAGATGCGAGATCCGTGGAATGGTTGGAGAAAGTGTCTTTTTTGGCCAAAAATTCTCTTCTTTTCGCGCTTTTTTTTCTGTCACTTCCGCCCAGTGAAAATCAATCGTGGAAATTTGATGCGGCGCGGCGGAACAATAGAGCCAATGAAGGAGGGATTGAGAGTGATTACCTTGTGCCCAGGACGAGGAACGTGATGAACAATCCACTCTTGAGCGCTGCCTTTTGTCGGCAGAAGAACTCTATGGAGAGTACTTTGATTTTCGCATGGCACTGAGAAGAGATTTTTATGTTATATAGCTGTTAATGTACAATTTATTATATATAGTTGTTCATGTACAATTCATTATATAGTTGTTCATGTACAATTTATTTATTTGCTCATGTAGAGCTTATGAGATGCTGGGAAAATGATGTGAGTTTCGGGTGAATTCTTGACCATCAGGAAGTCCTGTGACGACAGGTGATCCTTGTACTTCTGCAGCTTTCGCGCTTTCCGCAGCCTCTTCCTCTCTTGCTCCTTCTTGGGACTCTTGAGATTCCCCTCCATGGCCTCCCGCACCAGCACAGCCACCGCGTCCATGATCCTCACCGACGGCGGGGTTCCCGGATTGTGCCTCTTACTTCTCAGATTTCCCCGCAATGACTCATCCACCACTCCAATTGTGTTCCAGTAGACGTCATTGGATGCCGCTCGCGCCTTCCTCGTGCTCGCCACGGAAGTCATCTGCAATTCGCGCGAGTTGAAGATCGCCCTGAGGATTGGGTGCATCTGCTGTCGCGGATCTCGCCTCGCCTCAGCCTCCACTAGGGGCCACAGTTCACCGTAGATGCTGCGAAGCAGAACCTTCTCTTCGTGTGTCACTCTCTGCTCGCGCATCTGCTCCACGATGTCCGGAATGATCCTCAGCATCTCGATCTCATCAATTGAGTCCGGGTCCTCGATCGTAGCCTCCGTGCTGGACATTCGAATCATGTCGTCAGAGGGAAGATCCATGCCGAAGCGATTCTCAGGCTCGTCAATGGTCAGAGATTTCTGGGGCGTGATTTTCTCCACACTTTTATCAACTTCCACTGGAGTGTCTGAAAGATTGTGCTTCTTCAGGATAGCCTGCTCTTGGAAGTACTTCTCGGGCTCGAAGATTCTCTTCCACGGAATTTCCACGAGGATTGGATAGATGACATTCTTGAAGAAGCGGATCTTGAACTTCACCAGCTCTTGTATGAAAATGTCAAATCGATGGTGTCGCGGATCTTCGGTATCTGGAGAAATCGAACACTTTGTTGTAGAGAAAATATGCCGAGCGATTAAAGATATTTGTGTGTTTTCTCACCTGGAGATTTAATGAAGAATCCGTCGGTGGTTGAAAATATTGAACAGACAATCAAAATAACAATTACTCTTGACCACTTCATAATTACACTTTGACACGTTTCTCGTCAGGGAATCACAGATCTTAACAGCACGACTGTTTGCATGCAACTGTGAATTCCGCAGGGACTCTTCGGTGACTTTATATCCTTTCGACCACATGCAAAACATTACATGCCAACCGAAAAACTGGGATTCCCAGGCTATTAGCAGCAATTTGCAAATTGCTAGACTTCTTGGCTTCTGGACTGCAATTGGTGTGTCTCAGGTCAAAGGCTGTTAAAATCTAGATCTCTATCGTTATCCCTTTAAAACTACCAGGAATCTGCTCAGAATTAATAGTGCGCTTAAGCACGGAATTCCCTAAGAAAGCAAATTCTGTTGATCTTCTGATTTTCCAAGAATGAATCAAATGGATATTAAAAAGTGATGTTTTGTTTTGCAATGTGTATGTTATTGTTTTATTAACTCAAGATGATCTTTAAATTAGGTAGCAATTTGTATTTTATTTGCAACCATTCCTGACCATCTGTTGAGATGCTGTATGAAAGAGGAATAAAAATAAAGGAAAAAAATCTTCGCACACTCAATACTTTTCCGTCAGCTTATTCTTAGCAAAACATTAATACTTTATAGCTTTATTGTCTTCATACAAAAATTCCATAATTCCCCAATTTGACCAGTAATTGCCCTTATTTATCCTGAAGAAAATAATCTCTCAGCCGCGGATTGTCGTCATAACTTCTTCAGCAGCTGCAGCGCTTCCTCCTGGCACTTCTTGTCGTCGTAGTTCCTGTGTGGAAAACTCATTTATTTCTTGCTCCAGAACATCTTCTAAGTGAACTCACTTAATCGGCGCCGTGGCTGCAATGTTGAGATGATGCTTGGCCTTCTCGGGATTCTTCAGCGCCGAGTAACACTTGCCCAGCCACAGATGGTTCGTGGTGTAGAACATGGGCTGCAAGTTCTCGGCGCGCAGAAAGCACTCCAGCGCCTTCTCATACGTGCCCGTGGGCGGCTCCTTGAGGATCTTCTGCACCAGCTTCAGCACGTACCACGACATGTCGGCGATGCCGAACTCGAAGCATCCCAGGATCCACCAGCTCGTGGGATCACCGGGATTGCACTCTGTGGCGCGCACCATGTGGTGCTTCACATTATGCAGCTGATTCACACGCTCCCACATGCCATCCTGTTCACTCTTCGCGTCCAGCAGCACCGCGTACCACTTGTGCACGGCATAGTGCGTGTCATTGAGCTCCAGGGCGCGCTGGATGAATTCAAAGCCCTTCCGGACAGTATCGCCCTTCTCCGTCTTGTTGTCCATCTCCTTGGCGGCCTTGTAGTGGCCACGAGCGATGCGCCACAGCACCTCAACATTGCTGTCGCGCTCCTGAAACGAATAGAGAGACATTTTGATCATCTCTGCACTACACAGATTTCTGCGCGTCAACAACTCACGGGATGATTGAGAAGCACTTCGTAGGCGTCTTTGTACTTGTTCTCATCAAATAGCTGGTCAGACTGAGGAATAAGTTCTTCCGTCGATCCGGAAGCAGTCACAGTCTTCTCACTCATCTTGTCCTTCGATCCCCACGAGTATCCAAATACCGAGAAAGCGAACAACACTGGCGATGCTGGCAACCAAGTTTTTCCTCCGAAAGACTGCAAAATATGTAAATTCTTTGCTTACTGCACACTTCCGACACAATTGCTCGTCACGCTCGTGATTGCTGGACTTTGCCCACTAACCTTGGTGAGAGAGATTGTCTGCAGGGCGCGCGATTGACCTCTTTGTCCGGCTGGAGCGCCCCGTAAGCCACTCTGAACGACTCTCCGCAGCAGATAAAACACCCTGTTCACCATGGATGGCCACTGATTAGAGAGGAACTCGAAGAACTCCTAATCTAATCGCTGGAGTGGTTTTGTCTGCCTATCAATTCGTGACAGTCACAATGATTTGAGCTGAAATTAGATAAAAAGACCCTTCTCACTCTCTCCGATGACTTGCGTGCCTCTATACTCACTATTTTAGCCAGGAAATTGAGAATATATTGATTAATTTAGCAGCTCAAAAATTCTTTGTTATTATTTTCCTCCACGAAAACAAATCGATGAAGAATCGATGAGATTGCAGCGCCTCGAGTGGCACATTGAAAAGATCTTTTGTCGCTCGCCAAGAAAATATTTAGAGAATATACAATCGACACAGCAAATATAAATTTTCCATTATCGATCTGCACGTTTTCTCACCAAACTTTTGTGAATTCTACTTTGCATTCGATTTTCCATCCGTTAAAATTTCATATTGCCAATTCCACCCAAAAATGGCGCCACCACGTGTCCAAAACGTCAAGTCACGCGCTGACATTTTCATAGTGCGACAGAGACAGCTAGCTGTGAACGCAGTATATTTGTTTCACGACAAGCGAAAATTCTGGCGAGGAGCGATAAATACGCTGAAAATGCGATATTTGCCACTTTTTCGCGGATAACCGAGTGGATATTGTGTGTTTCGTGTACCTTGCAGGCACTCGCGTTGAGTCAGAGTGTGAAATTAGTGCTATTGCGTCGCTGCGTGAGTCGAACAAGGGAGTTTTCATTCTCGTGGGGCGCCCTGCCTCGAGAGGCCATCTTGTTACTTCACACCTCTTGGCTGGGCTTATCGCATTCGCCTGGGAAAAGAGCGTCTCTGAGACTTTTCGGCCGTATTTTGTGGTGTTTTCTGGTGAGTTTTTGTGTCTGTTTTGTGCATTTGGTGGAATTTTGGCTGAAGAGTGGCTTTTTCAGGTGTGAAGGAAGGTGTCTCGTCATTGTCCGGAAGGGAGTGTGCGTGAGGCGTATTACAACTCATAGAGGTGATATTTCGTCACTGCTGACGCCACTAGCAGCGTCTATCTCGCTATCTGCGCCCCACTGTGTCCGGAAAGCTACATTTTGGCCACCAAAACAAACAGATGCTGAGATTTGAGGTTAGATCCGATTGAGGAGGGAAAATTCAGAGGTAAGCTGAGAGCGCTTCGCAATGCCTTTGTGGAGATGCTAATATCGCTTCTCTGGTTTCCTTGTGTTGCAGCGCGTCACAAATGGAGAATCCACGTCCCGAAGGGCCAGAGAATGGTATTTTCGGCCAGCAATTCCCCAGGGAGAACTTGATGGACACCGCGCCGGTCAGAGGCTTCAGTATCAATGGATTTGGACTGTTGGATCTCACTCATCACATTGAGAATGACACAGTTATGTCCACATCATCCTCCGCGTCTGGCGGATTGGTTATTGATCACGACCTCGATGCAGAACCGCAGGAAAATTGTACAGAAGTGGCCAAGAAGTCTACGATTAGCAGTAACGGACGTCCGGAGGTGTTCCCAACGCCACAGCCGAAGCGACGCTCCAGCGTGTGGAGTGCAGAAAAATCTCTGGTGGTGAGCAACACGAGAGACTACTCACAGTACTTAGGAATGCAGCCGTCAGTGAAGTTCAAGTGTTACAAGTGCTTAGAGTCAAATTTCACCACGCTGAGGCATTTGAAGGAGCACCAACAAATCTGCCTCACCCAGAAGACCACGACGCCTGATGTGGTGAATGGGCCGAATGGGCGGCGAATAAATGGGGAATACAAAGCGCCGACAGCGGAAGATCCCAACACGAAGGTTCGCATCTCGCGCAAAGTGTTCCTCTGTTCGGCGTGTGGCACGTACTATGAGAACTTCAATTTGTTCCTTCACATGCGTGAGGTGCACAGGAAGCACATTTGTCTGCTGTGTCTGGGCATGTTCCCGTCCGCTGAGCGCCTGCATCAGCATCTGGAGGGCCGGCATGGCATCCTGTCGGCAGATCTCAACACACCGGACACGCTGCAGAGTCAGCTGAATTCACAACTCTTCTACCTGATGTGTGTCACATGTGAGCACATCTTCACGGAGCACGATCACTTCGTTGGCCACAATTGTGATACCTTCCTGCAGCCGTGCAATCTTTGCCATTTGCGCGGCAGTCATAGGCCTAATTGCAAGGCCAGCGCCAGTGAAGTGAAGCCCAAGCGCAATGGACAGGCGACTGTTGAGCCGCCACAGCAGAAGGTGGCGGAAGCACACGTGCCAGAGCCGCCGGATCCAATAGGGGAGCTGTGGAAGAGATACCTCAACGGGGATGCGGCGGCTGAGGGGAGAACAGAGACACAGCCAGTGGCTGGTGAGGTGACATCCACTGTGCAGGAGTGTGAACCGCGTCTTCTGGTGCCAAAGCTCAAGGTGAAGATCCCGAAGGAGTTCCAAACCAAACTGAACTCGCCGGTGTCGTCGTCATCGTCTGAAGCGGAATCCGAGGAGGGTGAGGAGGCCAATAAGTCATCTGAGATGAGTGAAGAGGTCACGCCGCAGGACGAAAGCGCGTCCCATTGTGTGAAGGAGGAGTTGGAGAAGCCAGAACAGCCTCAGCAGCCGATGGAGGTGCAGCAACAGCCACCTGAACAGCAGGAGTCAAATGTCCCAGACGCACCACAAGCAGCAATTGAGGGATGTCAATCGTCAGCAGCGATGGAGAAGGAAATCGAAAAGGTATGTTAGCTCATTTCATGTCCTTAAGAAGTCTATTGTAACAACTTCTTTTTATTGTCTGTTTCTCGTGTCAAAGGTAAAGGCAGAACCGAAGCCCGCCGAAGAAGAAGATGAGGAGGATGAAGATGGCATTGTGATTGCCAAGAAAGATGCTCAAATGTTCGATTTACGTCTCAATCAGCCGCTGGATCGCATCGATATGGTGGATTTGCTGAGGATCTGCCTGAAGCACACAATCCCAATTTGTCTATACTGCAATCATACCACGAGAATTGTAGTGAATGCGAAGTATTTGGCGCTGCACTTGATCGGAACGCACAGATTTAGCGCCACTGTGGATAGCATTACGGCAGAGGAGTTGCTGCCAGAGACAATTGTGGCGCGTGTGAAGAGATCGCTGGAGGAATTGGAGGGAGTGTACATCAATCTGGAGACATTTGACAGTCGAGATGCTGATAAGGCGCTGGCAAAGCCATGCGATCGCTCGTTCCACTGCTTTCAGTGTCGCCTGACGGCGAAGATACACAAAGAATTGTATCAACACAACAGGAAGATGCACATGAAGACGGTGATTCTATGCTTGATGTGCAAATCCGCTTTATACAGTTACAGCGAATTGCTGTATCACATGTGTCCGGGATACACGAGCACAGCGGCGGAGTTGAGATTCCGATGTGGCTTCTGCAGTTTGCACAACATCCCATCGGCCTTCCGGCTTATGGTGCATCTGCGCAAGAGACATGGAATATGTGAGATCTGCCTGGAAGACTGTGGGGATCAGTTTAAGCTGTCGAATCACGTGTGGAAGCACAAATTGCAGCACTTATGCTTCCGCTGTGGCATTGTCTATCGGAATAAGCCGGACATTACGAAGCATCTGTTCTGGAAGCATGGCACAGAGAGTGTCACGTGCAAGAAGTGCTTGCAGAAGAAATGGCCACTGGTGTATCACTTTTGCACGCCACCAGCACAGTTCACGTGTGAACACTGTCCGCAGATTTTCACGCGGGCAGTGTCACTGACGGTGCACAGGCGAGTGCACACGGGTGATTTGAAGTATGCGTGCGAGGAGGAGAATTGCGACAAGAAGTTCATCTCGAAGAAGTTGCTGGAGAAGCACACACTGAAGCACAGTCAGTTTATAGCTGATGAGCCGGTGTTTATCGGGGCGGAGGAGAAGCACACGCCGGCGGAGGTGGAAAAGGAGACGGCTGTGGTGGAGAAGGACGAGCAGGCGGCCGGAGTGACAGAGAAGAGCGACAAGGGAGAGAAGAAGGTGAAGAAATCGAAGAAGCGCGAGGTGGATTTGATGGATATCGACTTGCCGGCACCGAATCTCTCAGAGAGTGACAGTGATATGGATGTGGACAAGGAGGACTCGACCGATGTGGTGGTGGTGAAGGAAGTGGTGCCGCAGGAGGCGCCAGTGGAGCTTCCTAAGCCGGCGGACGTTGAGGAGAAGGACAAGACAGAGGAGGAGGAGGAGGAGGTGAAGACGAAGCCCGTGCCGATGGATGTGGAGGAAGAGGAGGAGAAGGCGGCTCCGGTGGAGGGGATTTGGGAGAATTTCAAGACCTACCAGACGCTGCAACAGCAGGCCAGCAAAGTGGAGGATGAGGAGGAGGCGGAGAAGGACGATGGCGAGGTGTCTGTGCCAATTCTGCATGTGTCACAGAGTGATCATGACTACTGCTCAATCTACAAAGTGGCTGGAAAGGGGAAGCCGGAGGAGACTGATGTGAAGCCGGCGCTGGAAAAGCCCCAGGCGGTGGTGAAGTCTGACTCTAGTGACTCGAGCAGTGATTCAGGATCGAGTTGCACCTGTGAATCCAACTGCAGTTGCTCCAGCTCAAGCAGTTCGGGCAGCTCGAGTACATCATCATCATCTAGTGATGAGGATGATGCGAAGAATCCGGGTGAGCGCAAGAGGAAGCGCCTGAAGAGGCGGGACAAGGGCGCCAGCAGGGAGATGAAAGAAGAGAGTAAGGTCAATCCGAATGTGATTGACGTGGTGACGGTGGAGAAGGGTCAGGAGGGTGATGAGAATTACGAGGTGTTTTACGAATCTGACCTGGTGACTGATGAATCAGAGACGGATGAGGATTTCTATGATGAACACCCGCAGAAGATCGCCCGGGAGATGATGATGGCGTGGAATAGGAAGTTCGACGATGAGTCCAGGGAGGATGGCACGATGGCGGCGGATGAGGCGGAGGAGGAGGTGCCGATGAAGCGTGAGAAGCCGGTGAAGGTGAAGCGGAAGAAGAAGGAGAAGCGACACCAGAAGTTGCCGCCACTCAAGCTGAGTTTGCCACCAGTGGCGCCAATACTCACAGCTGCCCTGATGGCTTCCACGCCACTCGTGAGCTCAAGCCTGACGCCCGGAACGCCCAGCAGTGCCACGATGAGTGAGATGAGTGCTTCGGGTGTTAAGAGGAGCAAGAGACGGAGGATTCCCAACAAATTCTACGGATATTCGAGTGACGAGGAGACAACGGGTGGCTCCAATTCCAATACACCTCATCCGCCGGCCGTGCTGAAGCCCATTCAGCCGCCGAATCTGGTGTGGTGCAAGGAGGATCTGCCACAGAGTAGTGGCAATGCCAAGATGCGCTCGCCCAGCTTCCAGTCGCTCCTCATGGCGAAGAAGTCGTCGCCGAGCAGTGACTTCGCCACGTACAACGTCCAGCCGCCGGCACAGCTGCCGCCGCAAATCTTCGCCTCCACGTCGCCGGCGCCCAAGGAGTCCACGCCCACCGTGCAGCCGCTGCGGCTGCCCATCCCACCCGTGGTGCCCGTGAATCGCTCGTACTCGGACATGGCGGAGGTGCAGACGAGCGGCGAGGCGCCGGCGTCGGGTAGCGGCGAGGAGGGGGAGGAGGAGGAAGAGGAGGAGAGTGAGTCCAGCGATGCCAGCCACCTGGAGATCCGCGACTCCACAGCCAACAGAATGTCATTTCCTGGCCAGCCGGAGGCGCGCAAGGCAGCGCCGGAGGAGAAGCCCGCGGACAATGTCTACTGCTACTGCCGCTGTCCGTACGACGAGGTCTCCGAGATGATCGCGTGCGACGGGGAGAACTGCGCCATTGAGTGGTTCCACTTCGAGTGTGTGGGCATCATGGTGCCGCCCGTGGGCAAGTGGTATTGCCCACAATGCAAGCTGAAGCAGGAGAATGCGGCGGCCGCGTACTATTAGCTTCTCCCCGTTCGCCCTCATCGTCGGCGTCACCGTTTTACTGTTCAGGACATGAGAGTATATTGTATCAATGTATAAATTTTATGTGATAATGCATTACAATAGTAACATGCAGTTGAATGGATAAAATGACTTAGTAATGTAAATGCAAAAAATAAAGTAGGTTTAATTGCAGCAAACTCCACTGTTTTTTTTCTGTCTTATAATTTACGAACGATATATTTGATTTTGTACAATCTTAGCGGATACAGAGACACGATGACAGTGGATGCGACGCGCCGGATGACTTAGCTGGGCATCTCGTCCAGGTCCACGTCCTCATTCTCACCGTAGCAGCGCCTCTTGTAGTCGCTGAGCAGCAGCCGCTTCGACATGGCGCCGCGGTCAATGCGAACTGTCTGGGTGGTGTTGCTGGTGGAGAGAAAGGGTGGGAAGAGACTGTGACTTTTGGGTCGTGGCATTCGTGGACGCATAGTACCTGGTCTTGGTGAGGATCGCACAGCCGTCGTTCAGCTGCATGTTCAAGGAGTAGAGCTTGGCCAGATGCGACAGCTTCTCGTGCTCCTTCACATTTGACTCCGGCAGTCGCAGCTCCATTTGCTGGCCGTCCTGCAGGAATCTGCAAAGAGGATTCTCTGTTATGCTAGTTGTACAAGAGAGAGAGAGAGAGAGTGGGAGTGATAGCGCAAAAGTCAATTCTCCAAGTCTATAAATTGTCTAAACAAATTAAATTGAATAGGGAAAAACAGGGCAATTTCTTCACTTAATATTCTTGAGACTAATAGAAAGAATTTCCTGCGAACGATCTGACCAGTCTGATTAATTAATATTTTAGAAGCATAAGCATTGTGCTTTGATCTGGTTTTAACTAAAAGCACTACAATGTGAAACAAACAAAATTTAAAAATTTTACATTTCACCTTTTCTGACCATTCATTCATTAATTTCCCGATCAAAATGATACAGAAAATAACTCAAAGAAGCATTATAGACTAGGTTTATTATGGAATTTACACATAATTTGTTTACAGTCACAAATTTACAGTGAATAGCAAGTCTAAAAGTTCACTTTACTTGTGATTTTTCATGAAAAATAGTTCATGCTTAACATAAAATACCATTTTCTAAAATAAAATTTGTACAGTCTTCATGCTCTCTCTTCAGTCTCTCCGTTAATCATGGTCAAGTATTTTCTAAGCCTACTATTTATTCGTAGAAGGAGAAAGACTGCATAACTGATTTATTCCATCTTCAATCGAAATCAGTCAATTTGCGCTTGACTCTCCCCCAAAGTCTGTTCAACACACCTGGAGAGATCCTCATTGACGCTCGTGATGATGGAGAAGCCCGGCCGTTCCTCGCGGATGCGCCGGCAGCCCGCGCGGATTTCGCGCACTTCGTTCAGCGTGCCGGGCGACGAGAGGAAGTGGTTGGATGTCTCGCCGGACATCTCGCTCTCTATCTCCGGACAGCCGCCGGCGCCACTGCTGTACGACGAGCCGCCAGCGATATTGATGGGCTGCGTGGCAGAGACCGGCGCCCTGCCGCCCAGCAGCATGTGTCCGGTCAGGAGGGGCAGCGGCTGCGCCCCATCTACGCTCATCATCACCGCGTCGCCGGTGCCGTCGCGCGCCTCGTGATTCGACCGCGTCTTGGTGAGCTTCGGCGGTCGTGCGCGCTTGAAGTCGTTCTTAGACGCGAAATTGATCATCACCTCATTTCCCGGCCAGTCCGTGAGCTCGTCGTCGCCCTCATGGTCGCTCTCGTTCGTGGCGGCCTCCTCTGAGTCGCTGCTGCTCAGCGAGCTTGAGCTGAGGAACTCACTCAGGCTGCAGTCCATGAAGTTGGGGTCGTCGAACTGCAACTGCATCTTCATGTACTCCTTCTTGCGGCCTCGTCGCGGCGGCATGGGCTCCTGGGATGCGTGGTGGGGTGGCAGGAAGGCCTCAGCGCTCTTCATGGTGTCCTCATCCTCCGTGGCCGCCGGCTCGGCCACGAAGCCACCCACTCGGCTGTTCGCAAGCGTCACCGTCGACGTGCTGGCGGTGGCCGAGGATTCCTGCGAGATCTTCTCGATCTTCGACACGATGGTCTTGTTGAGCGGCTGGATCTTCTCGAAGGGCCGGCCGCCCATCTGCCGCGAGCGGCTCTTGAACTCCAGGTAGGAGTAGCGCGGAATGAAGCAGTCCCTCTGTCTGGGCACGCTGCTGGAGTGCTGCTTGTCGTACTCGGCGCAGCGGTCGCGGTGCGAGCGCTTTCGCTTGCCGCAGAAGTACAGATTGGCGCGGAAGTTCTCCTGGCACACGTGCCGAAGCACGCGCTTCTTGATGGCGCCCGGGAACAGGGGGCTCACCGTGGACGTTCCGGGCGTCGTCGGGGTGGTCTCGTACTCCACAGCCATGCGCTTGAACTTCCTCTTGCGCCGCGTGTTGGGCCTGGCGGGACTGAAGTTCTCATTCAGCGAGTCCGACTCGAAGTTGCCCACGTCGCGCGACTTGATCAGCAGCTTCAGCTCGCTGTGGTCGTCGGAGTCACTAAGGAAGGTGTTGGTCAGGGCGTCACCCGTGGCCGTGGCACCGAATTCGGGGCGCTTCGACGGCCCGTCCGCCGGACTGCTGGAGCTGTCCTCCGTGGGCTGCGGGGCGCTCGCTGCAAGGCACAACAGCTACACTCTCTCGCACCCCTGCCAGAATCTTATTGGATACTCACGCAAGTTCCCCGTCGAGCGCGTTCGCCTCCGGAGCCCCCAGCGACTCGTGTGCAGATTCCCGATGCGCGACGTCTCCTCCAGGGCGAGTGTGAGGTCGTGCGAAAACTGCTCCATATTCCAGGCGCTGCAATTGTGGCGGAGAGCGCGCCCCCGAGGGGGCAGAAGTCATTTGGTATCGCAGAGAAATGGTGACAGAGTTGCCCTCGGACACTCACCTCTAATCTGCAGGTCAGGTGTTGCTCGATACAACGCACTACCAATCGTAAGACACGTTCATCTCTGTCAGCAACCACTCGCGACCACAATCACTGCACTTTATCGTGGGGAAATTGCAAAAATTCACACTTTTTTCTCGTGAGTTATCATGGCAATGCAAGAGTACCTTGTCACACACACTGTCCCACACTCGTCTGGCACCCCGAACTTTGTGCACATTCAAACAGCCAAAAGCCAACGGAAAAGAGAATTTCTTTGAAAAATAAAATTATATTTTTTTCATCTCGCCCCTCCTGGAAAAGCTACACATTAACAATTTTCCCCTTCTTCTGCAGTCTCTTCACCTTCTTCTTTAGCTTATCCTGAGACTTTTTCTTTTTGTTCTCCTCCACTTTCTTAGCTCTGGCCTCAATATTCTCCTGCACTTTCTTCTTCCTCTCCTGCCACATCTTTGCCGACTTCTTCTTCTGCGCCTCCTTGCGATCCATGGACTTTTTGAGGGCGAACTTGTTGTCCTTCACCTTCTTGCCTTCGTTCCTGTCGAACGCTTTCCTCCACGCCAAGTCACTCTTCGCCGTCAGTGCCTTGTCAGTCTCTCCAGACTCCATCATGTGTCTGATCTTGGCCTTTGTCTCGTTCAGCTTCTCCAGAGCCTTCTCCGGATTGCGAATTCCGCCCTTAGACTTCTTCGTCTGGTCAAATTCCACCCTGTTGAAGATTATCTTCTCTCCCTGATTGAATTTCGGCTTCTCATTCGCGTTCTCTTGCTTAATTATCGCTTCCTTCTTCACGGCGACTTTCACAGAAATTGCTTGGGGTATTTTGCTCTTCTTATTCTTGTTTTTCAACTTTCTATCCCTCTTCTGGTTCGGATTTTTAGTTTTCCGGTTCTTCATGGCACTTTCTGTCCGGGAAGCTCTCGCATCTGCTGCTGCTTTCAATTCCGCGGGGGTCTTTTTCAGCATCAATTTCATACGTTTGGCACTCCTGGAACCCCCAGTGTCTTCTGCAATATGTTTATCAGAGGATAAGCCCGGAAAATCCTAGAAAAAAGCACAGATTTTCCTTACCAAGAACATCGTCATCTTCATTCTCTGGATCTGGCACATCGCAGAGCAGCAGCAAATCGCTCACAAAGGCATTCTCAGCCACCAGCAGCTGCTTCAGTTGTTTCCGCTTCATCATCATCACTTTTCTGTCCAGAACTCCCTCAAATCCACTAAGAAAATGCGGAAAATGCGAAAGAAGCACCTCTTCTCCGTCGTGCTTTTAGTGTTTTGAGGTTATGTGGTGGTCGCATGGCGATGACAGTTCTTTTGGGTGGGATTTTTGGGTCACATTGGCTCGTGTTTTGTAAACAAGAAGTGCGGAAAAGCGTGAAAATCACGATGCCACAGGGAAAAATCAAGGTGAAGACGAAAGTCCCGGACGCCGTGAAGAAGAGACTGCAGAAGAAGAAGGGTGTCGCATTCACGAGGCGTGCCAATGCGCCCATTCAGCCCCGGAAGGCGAAAATGCAGGAGACGCAGAAGATCAAGCAGATGCTGAGCAAGGCTGTGAACAAGTCCGTCGAGGAGGACATCAGAGCTCGCGCCCAGGAAGGAGAGATCAACTTCAGCAAGGCTCAGAACGCTGTGGCGAAGCACAACAAGAACATCAAGGCGAGTTCCACGGCGGAGAGCCAGTGACCTTGAAGACATCGATTTGTTTTGACAGTTTGTTGGCCTGGGAATAAAGAGGGAGTTGTTTTCTGGCGGATTTCTTGGTGTTTCTGGGCAGGATGTTGGGACTGGTGAAGAAGATTTCCATGCTTCAGTGCGTGATGGTATTTGTGGCTGTGTTGGCAATTTGGAGGCCTGTTTGGCTGAAGGATTTCTGCAAGGAACACATTGTGTCACACTTGTTTGCCAAATCTCTGGTCAAGAGCGCTCCAGGTGAGACGCTCTTCACTGTCGAGGAGCTGAGCAAGTACACAGGGGCGAATGGCAGCAAGGGGCTCTACATTGCCATCATGGGGACGGTGTACGATGTGGAGAAAGGCAGGAAGCATTACGGCCCAGGAGGAACATATCACTTTTTCGCAGGTTTGAGGGAATTCCGTGATCGCCATTCTGGAATTTTCCAACTAAATTCACTCTCTGTACTTGCAGGACGCGATGCCACGACTTCATTCATCACCGGGGAGTTTGAGCAGGTGTCTGAAGATTTGGATGACGTGCTACAATTGGCCCCTCGGGACCTTCTTTCTGTGATCCAGTGGAAGGAGTTCTACGACAAGGAGTACAAACGGATGGGAAAACTCGTCGGGAGATTTTACGATAGTGGAGGCGGTCGGACTAAATATTTCGGCTATGTAGAGGCGAAAATCCAGGAAGCCAGAGAAGAGCAAAAGTCGAGTGAACGCATCAAGGAGGAGTTTCCGCCGTGCAACACCGAGTGGAGTGCTGATGCGGGCACGACGTTCTGGTGCACGAGCAGGAGTGGTGGCAAGGAGAGGAACTGGGTCGGTGTGCCCCGTAAGTACTTCGAAGTGGGGCGTTCAGACTACAGATGTGCCTGTGTCCATCCGGACCGCCTGGATTCGCCCCAACTTAAGGAGTTTCCTGACTGTGATCCAACAGCCGAGAAATGTGTCTACAAATTTGATGAGGCCACGGGATCAAATTAGGCCCTAAGTACTTAGTTTTCCACGGAAAACCCCCAGAAAAAGGGGGTTTCGCTGCGAAATGTGAGGTTATGTTTATAGTATTTGGAGAAACTTTCATGATCAGTTGAAAGGATTCCCCGCAGTGTTGGGCGAGGAGTCGCAAAACTCTTTTCTCGCATTTCCTGGCAATTACAAACAATTTTCGCAATAAAATGCTACTAAGATTTACTCGTGGGAACGTTAGTCTCCTGGTAAGTTCCTGAAAAATCTCTTTTGGAGGCTGAAAATGGAGGAAATGCTCAACAGTGTTTGAGGTTATGTAACTTTGGGGCTCCTTTTCAGACTCGAAGACTCTTTTGTGATAAGAAGCCTGTGGTGGAACTTCCGAAGAATGTCCTGGAGCCTTATCAGACAGCGCAGAACCAGGCGGAGAATGGGGTGATCTACGACAAGAAGCCCTTCAAAATTGAACTGGAACAGAGTTAGCGATTGAGACTCCGCTTTGGGGTGCATTTCACTGATGTTGTGACTGAATTCCAGGCAAGCTCTACTCCTGGTGTCTTTGCGGCAAGTCCAAGAGCCAGCCTTTTTGCGATGGCACACACAAGAATGTGTTTTTGAAGATTCAGCTTCGTCCTGTGCGCTTCCAGGTGGAGAAGTCCGGAACTTACTGGCTCTGCAATTGCAAGCAGACCAAGACTCGACCCTTCTGCGATGGCACACACAAGCAGCCTCACATCCAGGAGATCATCAGGTAGAAGAAGCGGCATTTTGAGGGATATGTAGGCATTTACTGAGGTCAATAGAGAAGTCACAGACCACACAATTCTATTGGGGGTGGAACTGTTGGGATTTTCCCCAGCACGAAGGTGTCTGCCTTGAATGCCTCGAGGTCCGCCGGCGTCAGATTCTCAAGTTTGCTATACAGGGCAGGATTTGCAGAAGCTGCCGGGGGTTGTGGCGTGGCGAAGAAGGTCGGGTTTGTCTGCTGCGTCTGCTGTTGAGGCGGTTGCTGGAGTTGGGGAAGCGGCAGTGCTGGAGGAGCAGCCGGAGCGGCGAAAGGAGAAGGGGCGCTGAAGACGGAACTCACTGGGGGTGGCGGAGGAGGTGCAGTAGCCACAGTTCCGAAGACAGACGCCGGAGCAGACTGCTGGAAAGTGTTCTGCACGGGCTGCTGAATGTTCATCTGGCCGAAGACATTCGTTGGCTGGATTTGAGGCGATGCCGCTGGCTGGCCAAAGACACTTTGCGGCGCAGGAGTGGCAAAGGAGGCTGGAGCCAGCACAGATGATTGACCGAATTGGGGCGCATTCTGGCCAAACACCGTTGTCGGCTGAGAGAAAGATCCGCCGCCACCGCCCCCGAAAATACTGTCTGTGCTCATGGGCTGCGCCTGGGCGTTGTTGAATCCTCCACCAAAGATTGAAGTCATCTGTGGTGGATTCGCAGGGGTAGCGAAGGCGTTCTGCCCGCCGAAAGTCACTTGCTGCGTCTGCATCGGCTGCGCGAAGATATTCCCGCCACTCGCAGCCTGAGGTGCTCCCAGTTGGGACATTTTGAAGAAGGAATTTGTGGGTTGCACGGCCTGAGTTTGTCCGAAGATTGACTGCGTGGCCTGCTGAGTCTGCCCAAAGACACTTTGCTGGCCGAAGATGCTCTTCTGGGGTGTCGCAGAAGTTCCAAATGTGGATCCGCCACCGAAAATCGAGCCTCCGCTGAAGGAACTGCTGTTGGAGCCGCCAAAGGTGCTCGTTTCGGTGGTGGCATTGCTGGAGATCCTGTCGAAGATTGACCGACCGCCACCATCTCCGGTGGCCATACTGAAGGCGTTGCCGTAAGTTCCTCCCGCTTTCATCTGCCGATGTCTTCTGCCATTCACTCCGTAAATGTCTATCAAGTAGCTCTTCACAGCCGCGTCGGGGATTGAGAGTTTCGACATCTTGTCAAATGCCTGCACTGTGGCCCGCTTGAACTCTTCCTGGAACTGTGGTAGGCGATTCTCCACCTTGGCCAGCATGAAATTCCAGCGCACCTCCTCGTAAGACTGATCCTCCAGGAAGTCCGGCAGTGAGGGCTCATCTTTGAAGGGACTGAAGCTACTCAGTGGCCACTGCTTACCGTGAATAGATGTCTTCATTTCGTCCTGGATAACATGACTGGGAAAGAGAGAAGCTGTGAAAAGGCTGAAGGGACTGCAATAAATCGTCTCACTCACGCCACGTCCACATGACTGTTGTGGCATTTATTGCCAAAACTGCACTTTCCACTCACGAAATGTGCACAGAGAGGCATGGCTGTATCTCAGGATTCCAGGCTGATTTTCAGGAAGTTCCACTCCTCCACTGATGTTATTGTTTTGGTGAGAAGTGAGGTTATGCTGCTGTCATCGCTTGCGAAAAAAGATTTCCCATTTTCTTCACTAAAAACACAGAAATTCTCGATCTTGAAAGTGAATTTAGACATAAAAATTATTTTCGTGTTGATTTACAGTCAGCAATTAAAAATTATACTGCTCTGGAATTTATTACAATCGACAAAAAAAGGTTCGTTATTTTTTAAACCCAAGAAAGCAACCAACTGTTAAATGGAAGCATACCAATTGTGTGATAGTGGGGATCCGTAGTGGGGAGTGTGTGGTGAGAAAAAGTATTTCTGTGATTTTTTCCGTGTCCACGTGAATTTTCTAGCCAAAATTGTGTGTTTTTATCAAAGCATGTATGCGGGGAATGCGGCAACGGTGAGAAGAATAGATGTCCTGACGAGGATTCTGCGTGGGCGGCCGGATAAAAGTGTCGTGAGAGGAATCTCGGGAATCAACAAAGTCACCATTGATGGCGTCTCGAAAGTTATTAAACCGTCCTCAAGTCCAGAGTTCATCCCGCGACAGTATCGTGAGTTGATCAAGCATATCATCTTTGGTGACTTGTTCTGCAGCTCGTAGTTGTGTTTTCCAGTGCGGCAAGACGCTGAGGGATTCCTCGATGTCTCCCAGACGATTCTCCATCACCTTCGATGGATGCTGCAGAAGGATAATTTGGGACAGGATATCTTCCTGCTCGGGCGTCCGGGGCCGCTGCGGCGGAATGTGGCAATGCAGTTCATCGAGCTGACACAGCGAGAGCTGGAGTACGTCGCCCTGTCCAGGGACACCACGGAGAGTGATCTGAAGCAGAGGCGCGAGATTGAGTCCGGAACAGCAAAGTACCACGACCAGTCGGCCGTGCGGGCGGCTATCAACGGGCGCGTGCTGGTGATCGAAGGTGTGGAGAAGGCTGAGCGAAATGTGCTGCCGGTGCTGAACAATTTGCTTGAGAATCGCGAAATGAATCTCGAGGATGGAAGATTACTGATCCCAGCCGAAAGGTGAGTCTTCTTTATTCAACTTTGTCATCCTCCAGACTACAATCTCCAGTCTCGAACTTCTCGTACCATTTTCTGCACGTCTCCTCGTTCAGTGTCCCTTCGCCATACACTTCGCAGATTTTCCTGGCAGTTTCCTCAACACTGATGCCGCGCCTGAAGTAGAATAGCATGCAGTGGCGTAGGTGCTCCTCAGTCACTTCCATTGCGTGCGGAATAAACACTGAAAACTATTCACATTTAGATATAAAAGCGGAATCAGAAAATTGACATTTGATTGTCGGGATTTTTCGTATGGGAAACGAATGGCAGCCGAAGGAAATTCAAAATATCAGTTGATTCTCAGCAATAACTGACTTGATAATTATGTAGAAAAATCCTGGCCACGTATTAACAGTTTTGATGTCTTGAGATTCAGAAAATCTGCTTAACAAATTGACTGAATGGTTTTGCTGTAGTAAAATTGTTTATAGCTTTATTAACTCTCATGCTTTTTCAGATACGACAAACTCATGGAGCAGTACGGAGCGGAGGAGCTGCGCCGATGGGGCCTCGTGCGGGTGTCTGAGGACTTTCGCGTGATCGCCCTGGGACTGCCGGTGCCGAAATACCGTGGAGCTCCGCTCGATCCGCCGCTGAGATCGCGCTTCCAGGCCAGGGATGTGACGAATCTGTCCTACCAGGTGAGCGAATGTGTGTGAGTGTGTGTGGCATTGATCTAACTGTTGGACTTCTTGGACAAGTCGCTGCTGACGACGGTGCTGAGGCAACTATCGCACTCCCCCTTGGCCTTGTTGGGCATGTTGGGCATGAAGATGTGCAGTTGGCGCTTGGCAATTTGTGTGTTGCACGACGTCTCCAGGAGCTGCCGATGGATAATGCCTCGGTATTGATTTTCAATGCTGTCGCTCTTCCCTAATTTCCCTCCCGTTGACGACGGTGTCACCGCGCTGGCAAATGGCTTTCTATTTTTATCCCTGGTCGCGTGCTCAGGCAGCGTCTTCTTGCCGCCGCTTCCCATCGCTGAGCCTTTGCTCTTCGCCGTCTGCACGGTGGAGCTGTTCATGTATGTGGGCGGGGAGTGGAGGCGATTCCTGTAGGAGCTGTGCGACAGGAATTTGCGCGAGCAGCGATATGTCACGGGAAAGAAGTCCCCAAACTTGATCCTCGGCGTGGCAGAGGTGTCCGAGCGTGACGCCTCGCCAGAGTCCTCCTCGTTCAGTGTGATGGAGAGATGATGCACGGATTCGGTGCGCTTGAGGCAGGGCGACGCGAGATTCGGGGCCTTCCTGTTCACTTCGGCGGTGAAGATGCGCCGCTGCGTGATTGCGGCCGCAGTGGAGCCCTTGGGCACTTCGCTCTCGGGCCGCACGAGGGTGTTCTTGCCCGCGAGATCCAACCACTGAAGCACTCTCTCAGTCAATTGGTTCTTGCTCTGCTCACTGATCACAATCACTTCACTGTCGCGCAGATTTCCACTGCCTGTGGCGCCTTCCTCGCCACTTTTGCCACCCAGGCGGCCGCCCAACTCCTGATGGCCAGTCCTCACGCTGCCCGTGAGGTGCTTTCGCAGCACTTCGACACTGTAGCGACTCTTGAACAGCTTTCTGCACAACTTGTGCTGATTGCGCGTCAAGTTGGCCTCCTTTATGGGCTGACTTATTGTGAGGATGTCTGAGGATCCCACCAATTCTAGTGGGTTCTGCTCGCTGCCACTCTCCTCGCCAAGGTCCCGCGCATTTTCTGTGGTAAAAAGACAAAAAGGAGTAATTAAAGTCCTTTTTGTCATGTCTAAATTTCATCATGTCTTTATTTTTATTATTAAATCGATATGAGATTAAGCACGACAATTCAGGAGACTTTTCAAGGGAAAATTGTCTTTTTGTGTGGTGATGGTAAAGAAAAGAAAAGTTTCTAATCGAATTACAACTGCTAAAGTTAAACCTTGAAACTTTAAAATTGCTTTGAAGGAATTTTGTGGGTGGGTTTTCTTTTTCTTTTGGGAAAGATGCTTTTTACCTCGTCGGATTGTGGGACAATTGGGGCGTTTCTTTGTGGTGACACCGTCCAGAATGATGTGCCGATAGCCCTGATTGTCCAGCCACACGGATTTGACAAACATGGGGCGTCGCGAGGCCTCCCAAATGGGTGGTCGAGCCCCTTTAGCGTTTGTCATGCGGGAGCAAATCACATTTGGGCGCGCAAGAAAAAATGTACAACCGACACTGTCAACCGTTGATGGGAAATTATAATTTACTTCCTCACGACAGAACCGCAGAGAACACGTGAAGAAAGACTCACGGAAGCGCAGGAATTGATTGTGAAGGAGGAGGAGGATGAGGAGGAGTGGGCGGACAAAGCGCAAAATTCAAAATTTCTGCTACGGATATTTACCAGTTAAGAAGTTGGGGAGGGTCTTTCGAGGGATGTGCTTCCGCCGGAATTCTCCGCGTGGGACTGAAGACACGACGGACGTGGCGGTGTCTCTGGCTGTGGTTTCGGCAGCGTCGGAATGTTGTATTTATACCATGTCAGGGGGTGGGAAGCGGTGACTCAGTGCTGAGACGATCCGCCCAGCAGTTGACTCCTCAATTCCTCGTGGAATTATTGTGCAAAAGACAGGGCACACGTCGTGCCACATTTCTCAGGGCAGGTGCATTTAATTGGGGGGCTGTGCTCTACTTTGGTCAGGATTTTATTATAGTAGAATATTAAATTTATCACCAAATTGCAATAAAAATACTGAGTTAAATGCTTTACTCTGTTCTTCACTGAAAATTTCAGTGAATACTTTCGCAATATCACGAGTTTAACTGATTTTCTCAAGTTTTGAGAGACTTTATTTATTTTAAATGAGGTTTAGATTAGAAAAGTACCATTTTAGTATTTTTATCGGCATGGAAAGTCTGGATAAACTTTCTAATTTGAAATTTTAAAGTTCACCTGCTTCCATTCCAATATGAATCCTTTAAAGCCTACTTGGTGTGATTTCTTGAAACGACTTTAAGTCGTTGTTAAATCTGCGACGCAATGACAAGAGCTGAAATTCTCGCTGGTTCCTGTGAAAGTTCCATCGAGTGTTACCCTCGCGCGCTCACCCCAAAATCTTCGCGTGGCCCTTCGCGGGTGGAGACGCGAGTTTGCAGGAGTTGAAAGGCGCCATGGCGAACGAAGACACCGCGGCGACTCTTGGGTGGTTGGAAAGTTCTGCGGGGGTGGCGCAGAATGTGGGTTAAGCGTGTCAGTGTCTCCACTGGGAGTCTTGGCGCGCAATTGTTCTGACGCGTCTCGCAAATACACTCGTAAATGTCGGCATTTAGCCACTAATTTCCCTCCCAGAACGGTGGCAATGAATGGTTTGTGGGGTGGTTTGGCTCGGTGGACTGGGTGAAGGCATGTGTTGGCCCATTAAGTCGAAAACCATTAATTGAATCTGATGGTGAAAACATGCAATCTCTCCGTCTGGCGAAGTACTTTTGCCCAAAAAGGTAGGAAATTGCGTGCATTTTACACAAGTTGCCGCAATTCAAATAAATCACCATCATTTTCACGATATACACAACAATTGTACATTGCCGTGAAGAGGGGGTGGGAAAAGCGCTCTGGAGTTCACTCTGCATTTCAAAACCTTCTTCAATGCCTAATTGCTTTGTGTGTGTTGGAAGCTAACAAGCGTGTGCCTTTCCGAATGTTCTGACATAGTTTTTGGACAAATTTGTCTGTATTACAGCAAATAAATCGGAATTGTACATTTTGGGTTCATTGATCCATCAAAATGGGGTGGGATTTATGATTTTTCATCCACACTAAAAATTCCATTTCGTTTTATCTTGACATTCGCCTATAAATTTCATACCTCAAGAAAGGCAAAATGTCTTTCATTCTACCTCACGTGATTAGTGTATTTTGGTGGTATTTTCGCTCATGCCATAGAAAGACTCCGGAGAATTGGTGCAAATATTTGATTTTATGTGCTCCTCCCCCCCCCCAAAATGTATAGGGTGGAAGTTCTTTTTGTATGAATAGTTTTCCCTCCATCCATCTGAATTTTTTCTGCTTCCGTTTTGTGTAAATTTTGATTAATTGACGACTAATTCAATAGACCAACACAAGCCGTTTGGCGAGAAATCAATCACTTTTTCGGATTTGTATTAGTGATTGAAACACACCCCCTGAACTGACTCACACACCGCGCTCGGTGAATTGTGGCAAAATGCGGAATTCCCACTTGTTTGATGAAAAGGGGTGAAAGTGTAATAGACGCGAAAAAAAACCAACTCATGACTGTGCAGAAAACAATACGCTTATAAATTCGTCATATTCCGCATAGAGAATTCCTTCCTATAAATAGACTGCAGTTGTCATGTCTAATTTTAACCACGCGGCGTGCTTTTTATGTGAAATAATTTAATTGTTCCTAAACAGATTGGTTAAGACGACATGTCGTGAATGCATTTGGGGTGGAATTTTCACAGTGGATCATCGGATACTGGCGGCCGATGGAGCATGTAGAGCACGAAGATGGTCGAGAGCGCACTGACCAGGAAGATCACGTCGAACCATCGGTGGTAGAAGTTGAAGTGCAGTCCGCCGAGGATTTGTGTGATGATCACACGGTACTCTGCTGGCATGTTCATCCGCATGAGAAGAACAGACGAGCAGAAGTACATGCCCATGATCTGGGCGAGAACCAGTACGATGATGTTTGACGACTTGCTGGAGGAGATTTTGTAGAAGAACTGCAAAGAGAGAGAGAAGCGCGGTATTGCGTGCAATTGTGGAGTGGGAAGTGAGGCGGTGCGCACCTTCGTGAGTGTGAGAAGTAAGCCACGAATTGAGGTCACCACGATGCAACCGACGAGGAAGAAGGACACATGCTGACTCCAAAAGGCGATGTCCATCTCGAAGCCACACCAGTGCACGGCAATCTCCAGGCCACGTGTCACGGGGTCTTTCTTTCCCACGCGGTCGAACACGATGTTGATGGTGCACTGGACGAAAGGAAGAGAGAGATTATGGCAAGAGTTCAGGCGGCCAAAGGCTTCGGCTACTCACAATCAGGATCTTCCACATGCAGTAGAGACTGAAGAAGTGTCCCAGGACGTTGAAGTACTTGCCCTGGAGGGTCATGGACCACCGCTGGCGCTCCTGCATGTTCTTCAGCGAGTGCACCTCAAGGAAGAGTTGTCGAGACATCTCCTCCAGGGCGGAAATCTCCAGCCGAAGCTGGCCAACATCTGTGAATGCCATACACACACAAGGAGTTAGTGTAAATGATGAGAGATTAAGGGACCCGAAGGACTCACTCTCTGCGCCGGCCGAGCGGTTTGTCACGGAGCTGATCATGCCCCAAATGCCAGGCTTGGCGGATGACGCCTTGTTGCGGCGCTTGTCGATTGCGATGCGCTTCTTTTTCAGCACCATCATGTCCATGGTGAGCATGAGACGGCGCTCCACGGCGAGGATGTCGCTTTGTGACACAGAGCGGATGAAGTAGGCCATACTGGTGTAGGGATAGTTGACGGCGCCGAAGCCTGAGAGGATCGCCATGACGGTGACTCCGACCACGCCGATCCTCGACACAGCCTGCTCAATTGTGAAGATGCCCTTGGCGACACTGAGCAAGGGAAAGGGGTCTCCGATGCGCCAGAAGCCGTACACATAGAGAAGCCACAGGAGAGTGGTCAGAGGCATGACCCAGCGTTGTGGCACTGTCCGGGAAGGGAAAAGAGAGCAGCTTTAGCATCGCTGTCTGCACAAGAACAGAATTTGCACTTTACCTATGCGAATGTTGCTGATGCTGGAATAGGCGATGTAGTAGGGTATCAGGGCCACCACCATGAACAGGAGCAACGTAAGTCCCAGTCGCCAGTGGAAGTATCTCGAGCTGGTCTCGAGAAAGCCCACAATCTCGAAGATGATCAACTCGAACATCGTGAGCGACAGGGCGAATGTGAGGGAGAAGATGAGCTGCACCAGGATATTGCGCACCTCATAGTTCCGGAAGAGCTGCTTGACAAAGAATATCCAGCCTCCGGTGAAGAAGAGCACCTGAAAATGCCCCGGAAAAGTCAGACACAATCAGCCGGGAAACTCATGTCTCGTCACCTGTGATACAAAAACGATGATTGTATCCTCGAGGAAACCCATCGCGTTGCGGGCAAATCAAAATTACACTAAACTAATGAGTAATGAGGATTTTTGGGTACTTTGGGCTCACATTATTATCAAAATGCACCCTTTTTCAAGCACACCAAAACACTCGAGTGACGTGTTGATAAAACATCGCGTGAACGCGCGATGTTTTTGTCCGTGGAGGGGAAATTGGCGATCATTTAAATTTGCTGTGAGTTTTTGAATGGTCAACAATTTCTTAACCGCATCGCAATTTTCCTTCGCTTTTCCACCTTCGCAAGTGATAATTTACAAGCAGAGGTGCTCAAAATGGAAGGAACACATAAATTAGTGGCGAAAGGAAAATATTGCGTGAATAAATGCGCAAGAAAAGCTAATGGTTGGGCATGACATTGAGAAAAGTGATTCATTGGGGGTGGAAAAACAGCTCATATCTATTAATTTTTGCCTCCCTTTTCACAGATTTACGATATGTTGAATAAAGCATTTTAAGACATGCAATGACATTTTTATGTATCTTCTCTGGAAATAGATTTATTGGTGTCTTTCTTATCCTTTCGCCCATAAAAGTCTTATCTTAAATTTTCGCTATTAACATTCTTTTTGTTTTCTCTCTCTGTCTCTGCAGGAAATATTCAGCGGGATGCGCTCTGTGGCACCGAATGCTGACCCGGAAAAATTGCGGCAAATCCTGTCGTTCGGCTTTGCCATCCAACAAGCTGATGCCAAGACAAATTTGCCTGATTTCCCAATTGATAGCGCTTACAGTGCAGCCAAAATCCTGGTGAGTTACAAATTGCACGCTTTTATCGTTATTAAATCGTAAAAAGTGGGTTTCGAGGAGTCATTCTGCTTGTAGAACATAAATAGGCATTCAATCCCTTTCATTTAAGTCAAGATTAGAGATAGGTTCAATTGAGGAGTCCTTAAGGAATCGATAAATTTTTCCAAAATTACAAATTGAAGACAAAAATCTAATGTGTCTAATAATAAATTCTATTTTCGGATATTCAACCTTCACTGCAATTATACTAATTTCAATATTTTCGTGTCTCATTTGTATGTTACAGAACAACAATAAGTCTCTCAGCGCCTTTGACGTCATCTACCGTCTTTATCCATACCGGAGTTTCATGCCTAAAGAGAGTCACGAGGCGGTCAACACACTCCTCAAGTCACTGAACATCAAGGAGAGTGAAGTTTCGGGCGACCAGGAGATCACTCATGTGCATTCAGAGGGCGAATCCGTGGCCAGTGTGACTGTGTCGTCGCATCGAGTGGGAAATGTGGTCGTTGCTGTGCCTTCGGGTGGACGCAAGTACAATTTGGACAGTCCGATGGGCAGATTCGTGTCCACGGGCTACCAGAACAATCTCCTGGCGGATGTGATGCAGAGCTTTGCGGTGGGAGATGTGTGCCTGCTGGGGCCCAAAGGATGTGGCAAATCGGCTCTCGTGATGGAGCTGTGCAATCTGCTCGGGCAGTCTGTGGAGTCGATGGTGCTGTATCAGGACATGACGGGGAGGGATTTGATTCAGCAGCGAACGACCAAGATCAACGGGGACACCATTTGGCGGGATTCTGCTCTGTTGAGAGCGGCTCTTGCCGGACGTGTGGCAGTTCTGGATGGCATTCATCGTATTCACAATTCCACCGTCTCGATTCTGCATCGCTTAGTGCACGACAGGGAGCTTCAGCTGTACGATGGACGAAGACTGGTCAGTCACGAGAGATTCGATGATCTCCTGGCCATGGGCGCCACTCCAGGCAGCCTAGAGGCGAAGGGTGTGTTGAGGATCCATCCGTCTTTCAGGATTGTCGCTCTGGCTGAGCCGCCAGTTCTCGACACGGGCGCCAATTGGCTTACACCGGAAATGCTGAGCCTGTTTACCTTCCACGAAGTGAGGAATCTGAGTCAGAAAGAGGAAATTCACATTATCAACTCACTTTATGGAGAAATTGGACCGTCTTTAGAGAAGATTCTGAACTTGGCGCAATTTTTGCGCGATGCGAAGGATCCGATAATGAAAAATCTGGCTGGAACACTGTCCACGAGGCAATTGTTGAGAATCGCCCATCGGATGTCAGTGTATCCGCCGGAAAAGGTGGGAATCTTTGCGAAGCCCGTCGAGCATCCACTGAATTCTGCATATGAGACAATTCAGAGGACTTTCCTGGCCAAGTTCCTACCCGCTCTGCCGCGAGCCACGCTGGAGAGCGTCCTGGAGCGCTTCAAGATCCACCAGAGGCTGGAAGCGGAAAGCGGAGTGGAGAAGACGGAGATTGAGGTGGCGAATGGCAGAGTGAGAATTGGCAAGACCGACACGGAGGTTTATCGCACGGACGCCGTGACCAAAGTGCCTGACATCCTCTTCTACGATGTGCCTCAGCATGTGGTGCTGATGGAGCACCTGTTGCAGGACTTTCTCATTGGGAATCACCTGCTGTTGGTGGGGAATCAAGGTGTGGGCAAGAATAAGATCGCTGATCGCCTGTTGCAGGTGATGAATCGCCCAAGAGAGTACATTCAGCTGCACAGGGACACAACTGTGCAGACTCTGACGCTCCAGCCGGCCATTAAGGATGGTATTGTGACGTACGAAGATTCTCCGCTGGTGAAGGCTGTGAAAAATGGTCATGTCCTGGTGGTGGATGAAGCTGACAAGGCGCCGACGCATGTTACGTGCATCCTGAAGACGTTAGTGGAGAATGGCGAGATGATTCTGTCAGATGGCAGGAAAATCCTGCCGGCTGCGATGGCGGGAAAAGAGCAATCGTCACCTGATGTTATCTATGCACACAGGGATTTCCGAATGATTGTCCTCGCCAATCGACCGGGATTTCCTTTCCTGGGCAATGACTTTTTTGCCTCTCTTGGCGATCTCTTCAGTTGCCACTCGGTGGACAATCCATCGACGGAGTCGGAGATTTTCCTGCTGCAACAGTATGGTCCGGATGTGCCACGCAATGTCCTGGACACTCTCGTGAGAGCATTTGCAGAGCTCCGCTCCATGGCGGATGTTGGCCAGCTGAGCTATCCGTACAGCACTCGAGAGGTTGTGAATATCGTGAAGCATCTGCAGCGCTTTCCCAGTGAAGACATGTCAGAATTGGTGGGAAATGTTCTGGATTTCGACAGATATTCTCCGGAGGCGCTGGAATTGGTGACGTCTGTTCTGCAGAAGCACGGGCTGCCGATTGAGGGATATGCGAGGCATGAAATGGCAGCGCTGAGGAAGAAGCGGGAGATTCAGGTGACGGTGGAGAGCAAGAGTGGCAAGAGTGTGTCTGGCCCGAAGCATGGCAAGGTGGATCCGAAGAATGATCCACATGTGGGTGGAAATACGTGGGCTGGTGGCAGTGGTGGACGCGATACGGCTGGCTTGGGTGGGAAAGGTGGACCGTATCGTCTGGACTCAGGGAATCCGGTGCATCAGTTGTCGGACGAGGAGAAGGATGACATTCCGGATGAGGTGAAGAAGGCAGCGCGTGAGATGAATCGGCGTGCTTACGAGGAGCGCCTCAGGGAGATCAAGATGTCAACGTATGATCACTCTGTCTATGAGGAGTACAGCTTGCCAGTGCAGAAGCAAGTGAAGGAGCTGAGGGTCGTCCTGAATGCGCTACAGGCGAAGAGCAAGGAGCGCCACTGGCAGAAGCACCAAACCACTGGCGAGTTGGACGACACGAAGCTCGTGGAGGGAATCACGGGTGAGAAGAACATCTATCGCAGGCGAGCGGAGCAGGAGCCCGAGCCTGGACAGCCACAGGAGAAGCCAAAGCGCCTCAAGTTGGTGGTTGATGTCTCAGGATCGATGTACAGGTGAGCGAAGCGCCTTGTCTACCTTCAAATATGTCGCTAAGAGGGTTTTCTTGCAGATTCAACGGCTACGATGGGCGCTTGGATAGAGAGATGGAGGCCGTGGTTCTTGTCATGGAGGCTTTTGAGGGGTTCGCGCACAAAGTGGAGTATGACATCGTGGGCCACAGCGGAGAGACATACTATATTCCCTTCGTGGACGCCAAGAAGCCGCCCAAAGACGATAGAGTGCGCTTGGAGACCATCAAAATGATGCACGCCCACGCTCAGTACTGCTGGTCGGGAGATCACACACTCCTGGCCACGAACCATGCCGTGGATCAGCTGGCGCAAGAGGAGTGCGATGAGGCGATCGTGGTGGTGCTGAGTGATGCCAATCTGCAGCGCTATGGCATTTCACCGGCTAAAGTGGCTCAGGCGCTGCAGAAGCGAGAGCCGAAAGTGCAGGCCTACGTTATCTTCATCGGCAGCATTGGCGAGGAGGCGGAAATGTGAGTAATTTTTTTTTTTACATTTTACCATGAATTTATGGTCATTTTTTTGTCCTCTTTGTCTATCAGAATCAATCAAAAAATGCCGCCCGGAAGGAGTTTTGTCTGCATGGATTTAGCACAATTACCACAGATTCTGAAGCAGATCTTCACGTCTTCCGTACTCTATCAGAGTGCACTGTAGTGATTGGGATTTTAGGGCAATTTAGAGGGTGACTTGACCAACGAAATGCATTTATTCGTATAGGTGAATTTAAATAAATCTTGTTACATTGTTACACCCGAATGCAAATTGCGGGCCAACGACTCCTGAGCGGACGGAGAATGCCAGACGGGAGACAGTGGAAAGAGTTCAATGTCCATAAGGACGCGCACAATCGCGTGGTCAGGAACTTTCTCCGCTGTCTTGTTTGCCTTTCAACCGGGCAATCAATGCCCCGCACGAGAGATCAATGACTCTTGCTGTCCACTGTCCAAGTCACTCCTTTGTCTGAGAAAGTGCACGAGCATTAGTGACACACTTCTTCCCTTTCAATAGCCACTTTATTGAGGGGGGTGAAATTTTGTAGGAATTTCACGCAGAAGGAAATATATTTTTGCATGATGAAATGCCATATAATTAAGTAAAGAGAATTGAGAGTTTTTCTCATGTTTATTCATGAATTACGTTCTTCTTGAAGTGAGAAATGGAGTAGAAAAGGACTTAGATATAAGATGAATTAGTAAGATTGCAAATTGTAGAATGATTGGAGAGGTTTCACATTTAGCCAAGCGAAACATGAGGATGTGAACAAAAGGCAAGACAGTCAAAGTGTAAGATGATTCTGAAGTTCTTCTGTATCTAAGGATTAACAACTCTAGCGTGCTGGTGACGAAAAAATCACTCTGTGTGTACACTTTGGTTGTCTCCTTGCCAACCGCCGTATACAATTTGGCCAGGATTGTGTGGCAATGCCACGGAATTCCTTCTGGCTCAATCACACCCGTGCTAAGCGTCTCTCAAGACGGTCTTTTCTCTGATTCCTTCCTCCGCGTGTGTGTGTGTGTGTCTCAAGTGCAAGAAGGCAGAGGTAAATTGGTTTGCAAATTGTATCTCCTTAGTCAACAAGAGACTTCAATGCGCCGGAATCTTTAAATTTCGCCGTGGATATTTTGTGGAATTTCCTTCGGTAACTCAGTGACTCTGTTAAATCAATTGGATTGCGGGAAATTCCCTCAGTCCCTCGGGAGAAGCGTGTTTCTTTTTTACTGCCAGGCACTATCGATTAAATATGTGGTCTGTAATAGTGAAGAAATATGAAATGGGTAGAAATATTTCTCAGGAATGATGAATATCAGAGGTGAACGATTCTATTCGCGTGTGTCCTCAATTCCCCGTACTCGGCAATATTCCTCAAATTCTTGTTGACCGGCTTTGGTGTCCTTCTTGGTGCCACTCTAAAAGTGGCAAATAAATTAGGAATTCACACTGAATTAATTCAGTAATTTATGAATTAGAAAATTTCACATTTCCAATTTATTTCTCCACTTTGACATCTTCATGATCGATATTGGGTTGCCAAAGAAATATGAAATTCGGCAAGTACAAAACAAAGAAGGGAATAAATCAGATAAAAGCGCTAATATTTGCATAAAATGTTATTTATGCTCGTGCCACAAATATATTCCAATATATTATATTCAAATGACTGAGATTTGCACAGCAACGAGTTATTTTTGGGTGAAAATTGTTGGGTTTTTGCCATCAAATCAGTATCATTTTCTCCTTTACAATCCCCGATCAAATTACCTGTAATTTGTGAAAAACGGACACTATTTTCACTGGCAAAATGTCCGCGTGAATTCAATCAGCATTGCAATTGATTTTCTTTAACTCACCTCTCTTCAGACGTATCGTGTGAAGTATTCATAAAATGGCCCTTTTTTTCGAAGGAGATTATTTTTAGTCAGCACCAAGAGAGACGGAAATTGTCTTGAGGCCCTTGAAAAGCCGACTTCCTGTTCTCTATTGATAAATGTTTGCCTTTTCCTGCAATGTAATTTTTCTCCCAAGTCATGCTTCTGTGCGAATTTCATCGTGTTATTTAATATTTTTGGTCGCTAGGCTTGTGTTACACGCATCCCACTGTGTCACTCATCGTCAATTTATTGATCATTTATCAACGCACAGAACGAGCTAGAGAAGTACATAAATTCCATAAATATCCCGAGTCTGAAAGAAAGTATAACGATTAAATATTCTTATTGAATTCTATGTTCATTTCGTGACATGCCAATTGATTTCACTGCAAATTCGCTTTTTTGCCACTGCCTATTGTGGAAATTTGTTGCGGAATTTCGATGCATTGGTTTTTGTGAAATGCACTGAGGAAAATACTGCGTGTAAGAGACAAAGGATAACACGAAGCATAGTAATGAGCTTGAGAGTGGGTGGGGCTTCCAAATGGGCGGGGCATAAAGGAATAATCATAGTAAATCAAAATGTGTGATCTCAATTGCTTGATAATTGAAAAATAGGCTCTCTGAGTGACTTTTCCTGGGTGTATTCAAAAAATAAATACGATGAAATTTGTGTCTGGGTCACAAAAGGTGGGCGAAAGTGCGGCATGATTTACCAGAGCGGCGGAAATCGCGAGCTGAGTTTAGTGGAGCAGAAGAAGCGCCAGTGGCAGAAGGAGCGTGAAGAGATGGCAAAGCTCGGCGACTTTCCCATAAAGATTGTAAGAAATGCCTAAGTTTTTACCCGTTTTTTTCTGGATGAAGTGTATTGCATGGTGTTGTGCTTTTTCTGGGGCAGGAATCGCTATCGAGTACGAAGTATGAGAAGACCAGTATTCGAACCTTCTATGCCAGCAATATGGATGTTGGGGATAAGTATCGTGGAAGCTACAGGAAGATTCCCTCACATCATGGCTCCTTCTACGACGAGGACAATCGCAGATTGCGGAGCCCGAGTCTGCCGCCCATCGGCAGGCAGAAGTTCAGTCATCAGGGCAGCGTCGTGCGCCAGAGCACCACGGAGGACGACACTGGATACACCAGTGGATCGCCTCAGCACTCGGACAGCAGCGGAGGAGCGGATGTGTGGACGAACACTGAACCGCAGGCGGCTAAGCATCGTCCGGAGGAGGCTGCTGAGGACAGCTTCTCAGAGACCACCACGAACAAGAGCAATCCGCAGCGCGAGAGTCAAGGACACAAAATGTCCCCAGACAGTCTGGATCTGGAGCACGAGACGGAGTTCTCAAAGTGAGTGGATGTTAATTGGCCATTGGCGTGTTTCACGACAATCCTCTTTAATGTGTGCCACAGGTCGCTGAGCACTCCGTCATCCTCGTCTTCGGGTGGGCAATCGTTCGCTTCCTTTCAGCCGCCAGACTTTGCGGGGTATCACAAAGTAAAGGAGGAGCGCGCCAAGTGGGGCGATCGAGGAGTGACTGTGGGGCACTTGTATGACCCCATTGCACGCGTGGAGATGGAGAAGTCGGCCAGGAGTGTGCCGGTGTGGCTGGAGAAGGGCCTTCATGAGATGCGCGACAGCGAGGATGAGTCTGTGAGGTGAATTTCCGACGTCTTTCCTTGTTTTCCAATTGTCAGGGTGTACTGTGTCGCTTGCAGGTCATTCATCCGTGGCCAGAACACTCCTATTGATCCACAGGTGTTGGAGGAGCGCGCCAATCGTCGGCGGAAGGCGATGGAATTGCAGGATGCCATCAAGGAACAGCTGAAGGAGCGCGAGAGACAGAAGAAGTGGGAGAAGGAGAGGCGACTCCGCGAAGAGCGGCTAGAGGAGGAGCGTCTGATGCACCAGATGGAGATGGAGAGGGCGCGCTTCGAGTATGAGCAGAGGCTGCAGCAGGAGAAGCTGGAGAAGGAGCGCAAGAAGCATGATATGATGCGCCGGGCACTTGTGAAGGCGGAAATGGATGCGAAGATAGAGAAAGACCGACGGAAGCACAAGGTGTTCCACAAGGAGGCTTCGCCACCTCCTGCAAGGGAGAGGGAGGAAGCTCCGAAGGAGACAGAGAAGTGCGAGGAGGTGAAACAGGAGGATAAGCTGGAGGTTCCGGAGGAGAAGATGTTGATTGGCACGCCAATAAAGCTGAAGAAGCAGGTGGTGTCGCAGGAAGAGGAGAAGGAGGCTGAGGATGCTCCACCGGAGAAACCTGTGGTGGTCATTGACAAGAGTCGTCCAACGGATATTGATGGTATTGCTTTGGTGCTCCAAACCATGACACCAGTCGTGCCGTTGCCCATTGCCAGTGACTTTCTCAACGCCACGGTGAATAATCTTCAGCTAGCACTCCTGCTGGCAGCGCAGCAGCGTCCCGGAGGTGTTGTCCAGGAAGCACAAGTAGCTGCGGAGCCCGAGAAGATCTCCATGCGAGAGAGTCACAACAGAGAGTGCAGCTATTGCTGCAAAATTCATGGAATTGCCTCTAGTCCATCTCCACCCAAGGAGGAAGTCATCCAAACTGAGGAACCAGTTGAGGTAACAATCCATCATCCATGGGGACATTGAATGTTGCATTAAAAATATGCTTCTGCTTTCAGGAAGTTCCACCAAAACTGCCCAATGAAGCCACTTTCATCAAAGAGGATCTTCCATGTAATGAGATGAAGGTTGACGTGGCCACGAGTACAACACTCGACTCCTCTGAGGCGGACAAGACGCTCACGCCCAGGAAGTACAGGCGAGACTCTTCTTCGTCGGTGGATGTGGGTGTGCAGACGGAGATTACATCCAGAATGTGCAATCTTTGCTGCCATCACAAGCTCTATCTCCAGGAGATCTCCACAGTGACCACGTCGGTGACTTCGACGTCCAAGAACAAAGTGCTGGGAGAGAGGAAGATTGTCCCGGAAGAGGAGAAGAATGTGGAGAATGAGACCATCACCACAACGACTACCACAAAGACGATGATCCGCTCGAAACCAGGAAAGGGAAAGAAGGCGGAACCGCGACCCAAGTGGGGCGTCAATCGGCCCCTGATGCAGTACATCAAGGCCAGCGAGAGGGATCCGTTCTGTCTGCGACAGCGTCGCAAAAAGTACCAACAGAGGAGCTTCGTGAAGGAGGAAGAGGAAGAGGAGGATGACAGCTCAAAGAGCTCCTCGAAGCACAGGAATGTCTGCACGGAGATTCTCCCCATTAAGACAGATTCCAATGGAAGGATTTTCCTGAACTTCCACGAGGCGAGTGTGATGATGAAGGAGGATCCAGTGGTGCAGGGCGCTGTGCAGGCCAGACAGCGCATCATGGGTAAGCGTGGGGAGGAACAGGAGAGGATCTTCTCGAAGGACAACAAGAACTTTTCCAATCTGGCCATCGTGAAGGCCTCCAGCGCCAGGCGGCAGAGTAGTTGCGAAGATGTGGACACTGAGGAGTGCACATCAGAGATTTCTAGGGATTAGAGAGCACATTCATAGACTGCACAAGATCAGGAATGCACAACTTCACCATGTTCTTGGGAAACTGAATAAAGCCCGTGAATTCTCTGTTGGTACATTTATTTCCTGCTCAATCCTCCTTATGTACAATCTCAAATCTACAACACGTTGTATTTACATGAGCCTCCGCAGGATGTGCACTGTCGCCACAGTGATCAGTGCCAGAGCGTCTCTCCGGATCTTCTGGGCGGAATTTCGTCGCACATTCTCGAGATTGAAGTCGTAATCTCGGCTCGTGGGCGTCTGATTGTAGCTCCTGTAGTACCAATCCATGTCAGAGCGGCTCTTGGGGTCGAGAATGTGAGGCTCCACCACGGAAGTGCTCGTGACGAAGTCATTGGAGTCCACCTCATTGTCCTGTCCCTGACTGTGCAAGTACTCTTCGGTGGCGGGCAGATTCTGCACAGCGATCGGCGCTGGCGTGAAGACTTTCGTGATTGTGGACTTTCCAGGTGGGCCCTTGAAGACTCCTTGCTGCGCTCCCGGCGCCACGAGGGCGGACAAGGAGCTGGCCGTGTCTGGGGGATTCTCCCAGAATTTGTGCTCTTTAGTGAAGTCCTGAGGGCGAGGATAGGTTGAAGCAGCATCTTCGGGGACAGGAACATCCAGTTCCTCATGTCGCGAGATATCATTGAGATCGGAAATGACGTCTTGGACGGGAGAGAGTGTGGTTGTCGGCACTGGTGGCTCTGAAAGTGTCTCCGTTCGGGTCACTTCGTCGTGGACTCCAGTTGAAGTTTCTCCTGTGTCAGCTTCCACGAGGATTGGACCCCTCTTCACGGGCTGTCCCTTCACAATAACCCTTCTGGGTGATTCCGTGACCAGAGGCACTTCCTCGTGGAAATCCTCTGGCCAGGAAGACTCGCTCGTGGAGTTCTTTCCTTCGATACCTGGAAAAGAGTGGAAAAAATGGTAAGTTCATTGATGAAATAAAATCACTTTGAAATTGTTTTACTTGTGGAATTTGTGGCGTTGAAAGGATCGCTGATGGGTTTGAATCCGCCTGCAACTCCTGGCAGCATGGGCACAAATCCGCCCGTCTGCACTTGAGCGGGCTCGTGAAAGGGTGTCTGGAAGTAGGGTCGGTAGAACTGAGGACTCTCCTTGGCCACTGGTGCTCCAGGATCCGGCAGCGGAGGCTTCTTGGCGGTTTTCCCCAGAAGCTTCAGCAGCTCAGGATCATCTGGCCGGTATACTTGTACTCGGCCACGTCCTCGTGATCCCACATTGTCTGATCTCTCGGTGTTGCCACGACTCTGGCCCCACAAGCGCCCCAGTCCGAGGGTTGTCAGTGGCATGCCGAAGAAGGTGAAGGCGGCGCCGGGACCAGGAGGCGGTGGCGGAGGCCTGAGATTGTCGGGATTCATGTTGAGGATAGTGTGCGAGAGGTTTAAGGGTGGAGCTGATGAGGTGTTCAACAGAGGATGCGTCTCATTGAGCGGATAGTCCACGTACTTTTCGAAGTAGTCGCTCTCTTCGGGAGATGGAGGCAGATTTCCCTGGTACTCCCCGTAGGGGACTTCCTCGCAAGGCCCCTCGTCGATTTGCCTGGCGAAGATGTCTCCGTGCTCATTGGTCAACGGTAGACTTAGCTGACTGTTGCGTGAGTCCAGATCCTGGCAATCTGACCGACTCAGTCGGATGTCGCGCAGCATTGACCCGTCTCGACAGCGCGGTCCAGGCAGTTGCAAATCGTTCTCCAGCAACCACGAGCGGTACCACATCAGACCGCAAGAGCAGTCCAGCGGATTGCCATCGAGATCGAGAATGGCAATGTTAGTTCGCAGATTCCTGAATGTGGACTCTGGCATGGAAGTCATGCGATTGTTCCTCAAGCTCAGCACCCGGAGGCGAGGCATCGAGGCGAAGGGTTCGCCCTGAACTCTGCAGATGCGATTGTTGTCCAGATTAATCTCCACAAGCCAATCCAGCTGCCTCAGTGGTGAGGAAGACACTCTGCGGATGCCATTGTTGGACAAATCCAGCACTTCGAGACTCCGCACACTCCTCAATCCCGTCTGCTCCAGATCCCGGAAGTTGTTCGTGGAGAGATTCAAGTAGACAATCGAAGGGGTGCGATAGAAGCTGCTTGGCGCGATTGTTGAGAGGAAGTTCTGCTGCAGATGAACAGCTTGGAGACTGGGGAGATTCTCAAACACCCTCTCAGGCAAATCCTGCAGGTGATTATCCGCCAGGACGAGTTCCTGCAGCTCCGGGAGATTCCTGATGGCACCCAATTGCATGCTGCGCATCTCATTGCTGGACACATCGAGATACTGCAGCATGGGCAGATTCCTGAAGGAACCGCTCCGTAATTCTGTGACCTTATTGCTAGCTGCCCTCAATTCCTCCAGACTCCGCCACGCTGTCACAATATCCGGAGGCAATTCCGCGAGATTATTGTAGCTCAAGTCAATTTCCCGCAATTCAGACAATCCCGCGAGACTCGGCGGAAGTTCTCTCATGTTGTTACTGGAGAGATCGAGCGCCTCAATTGATCGCGTGTGCCGGAAAGTCTCGGGTGGAATCAGTGAAATGCTGTTTCTGGACAAATCCAGTCTCTTCAGCTGTGGCAGATTCACCAGCAATTGACTGTTGATCTCCTCCAGGCGATTGTTCTGCAGATTCAGATCAACTAGAGTGGGAATTGTGGCCAGACTCTTCTCGTGCAGATGAACGATGCGATTGTCTTTCAAATCCAGCATCTCAAGCCTCATCAGTCCCGCCAGGCTATCATCATCGAGTCCCAGAATTCCATTCTGCGCTAGATTTAGTGACTTCAGCTGTGGCATCTGCTGGAATGTTCCTCTGGGCAATCTCTGGAGCATATTCCCGCTCAGGTCCAGCATCCTCGCATTGGGCAAATGGAGTGTTTGTCCTTGTCCCAGATTCGCAATCTTGTTATTGCGCACTGTGATGTGCTCCACTGCGTGTGGGAGGCCAGGAATAATCTCCTGAAGGTGATTATCACTGATATCAATCTCGAATAAGCGATCGAGATTCCTCAAAGTCGCCGGATGGAGGGCAGAAATTCCATTCCCGGACAGATCAATCGTCTCCAGCATTGGCGTTCTCATGAAAGCCGCCGGATTGATGTCAATCAAGGTGTTTCTGGACATATCCAGGCGTCTGAGAGATGGCAATCCCAGCAACAATTGTGGCTCTATTTTCTGGAAATGATTCTCAGACAGATCCAGACCCTTCAGGCCTGGCAAATTCCAGAAAGGCATTGGCAAAATGTCCGATAAGGAGTTGTTCTTGAGTCGCAGCTCACGAAGTCCTGGCATTGCCATGAACGCGTCCCTGTCAATCATCCTGATCATGTTGTTGTCCAGGTACAATTGCTCCAGAGTTCCGTGACCACGAAGTGCCCCAAATGGGATCACCTCCAGCTTATTGTGACTGAGATCTAGGAACTTCAGCCGCGGAAGAGCGTCCAGAAGCGATCTCAGCTCCTCTATCCGGCCTATTTCATTCTCCTGCAAGTGCAGCAATTCAACGCCACTGCCTGAGGCCTGCAGGAAGGATTCGGGATGAACGCGGCGCAAGTAATTGCTCTCAAGATGGACAATCTTGAGATTGGGCGTTCGATGAAAGGCTCCGTGGTGGATTTCCGTGATGGCATTGCTGTTGAGATGCAATTCCTTGAGCGATGGCAAATCCACGAAGCTTCCTTCGCCCAATGTCGTGATTCTATTGGAGTCCAGCTTCAGCACCTCGAGATTGCTCAGATCCTTAATCGCTCTGCCCACCATTCCGGCATCTGTGATCCTATTCCCGCTCAGCTGAAGCACTTTCAGCTGTGGCAATCGGGCGAGGGCTCTCAGATGAATCCAGTTGATGCCATTATTCGACACATCGATGGTCTTCAGGCGGGGAAGATCGTGGAACAATCCCGCCTCCAGGCGATTGAGCTTCCCACTGCCTGTGATGATCACCGTGTCGAGATTTATCAGCTGTCGGAAGCCCATCGGCGACAGTTCGATGAGAGAAGCGCTCTGGATGTTCACATAGCGCAGTCGCGGGAGATTCGAGAAGTCTGGAGCTCTCTTCAGACTCTCACTCTGAATGGTCACCGCCTCGAGCTTCCGCAGGCCCACGAGGCTGTCGATGGGGACACTGCGGAGATTCCTCTCCACAATGAACACCTCCACGAGACTGTCCTCCAGATCGTTCAGCCAGCCACTGGAGAGGCGCTCCAGGCCGTTGTGGCGCAGCATCAGCCGCAAGACGCGCAGCGGCGAGAAAGCCCTGCCTGGGAAGGATGGCAGCAGATTGTTCTCTAGAATCAGCTCGTCGATCTGTCGATGATTCATCATCTTGGCCACGGATTTGATGCCCGTGAGAACGCGCGGCAGATCCGAATGAGAGCACCTGAAACAGACCAGAGAGTTTAGAAGACAATGGCAACAGTTGAAAGCAGAGCTGCCTTCCCACCATATTTGCACTTCATCCCCTCGCTGGGAGCAACGGCAGGGCAGAATGATCTCCTGAGGAGGGCAGTAAGTGTCTCGCTGGGCGCCAGTGATGGCCACACTTGTGGCCAGCAGTGCCAGAGTCACAAAGAACATTGTTAGCATCGTCGGCGTCCAATTAGGCCCTTTACATGACTATTGAGAGATCGTCCCAGCGATCAGACAATTGACAATGGTCAGCAAATCAATGGTCATCGGCTGCCTTGGCCACTTTGCTCTCTGTTGTGCCTGCAAAAATGACGTCAATTGAAAACTTCACAATAAATCAAGACATTTTCCAGCGAAATTGTTCTCAGTCAATCATCCAAATCTCCGGTCTTTTACAATTTTTTTTGTTTTCAACTACACAAAATCTAACTTGGGTGTCATTCGCCCGAAAATCTCAAAAAAGAGCGGGCAGAGAATTTCTTCACATGCATGCGGCATAATTTTGCAATGATTTGCCATTCTGTTGGATCAATTCATCAATTTCTCCGTTGCGCTCAGCGTGTCAATCATAATCGATTGATTATTCCAACCAATTCTTCGCCAAAGTGCATTCGCAAAAATGTGGCAAAATCATTAAGTAAGGGGATCTTACGCAAGATATTAAATGTATGCACAAATTTATTACACATTAATTGGAAGGGAAACTTGAGAAATGAGAGGTTCATTGAGAGGTTCTTCAGCAGAAATTGTGCGTCTGGCAAAGAGCTTTGTGACATTGAAAGCAATCTTGCGAATCTTGCAGAGGGTGTCAAAGAGGAAATGGCCAACACTTGAGATGCAAATGAGATGTAAAATGTGTCAAACATCAAGGTGAATCCATAGTTTAGAGAGACTGTTTAGAAGATTGCGAGATGGGAAGAGAGATTAAAAAAGCAATTACGGGTGAAGCCACTGAATGAATTCGGTTCACAGAGCAGAAAAGAGCCCATCGATTAGCGTCACTTGAAACGTGACATTTGAATTAACAATATATATGAATTGGCAATTGATGATGTCAATTGAACTGGGCGTGCAATTGCAGCATAATATGAAATGAAAATGACGCCAGCGGTGGTCATCGTGAGGTAAAATGTAGGTCTGCAGGAAAGAAAACCGCATAATCACTTTCTCAGTCACGCTCGTTGGACAAGAGACTTCGCACTCCCTCGCAGTTGAACAAAATATACGTATCAAACACAACGATAATTGCCCTCATGTATTAATTACACACTTTCCACCAGCTCCGAGAGATATGATGTTAGCGCGATATTCGTGGTCAATGTTTGGCGGAAGTTGAGGAAATTTCTCTGCGCATTTTTATAGGAAATCTTGGGCAGAATATTTGCATGACGAATTTCATGCCTAGTTTCACCAACAGTCGCTTCATATATGTTGACACAATTCAGATTTGCGCTGATGACACTATAAAAGTGGGATATAAAGCAGACAATTTGCCGCGAGGAACAACTCTTGAGATGAGGTACAAGACGCGCCAAGCGCATCTAACGACAAGAACCGCAAGGATTTTAACGGGTCACAACTTCTTATGCTCAGAAGCCACTGGGTTTTTTTCCATTCCTTAGGCGTGGAAGCAATTGCGAAATATTGAAATACTAAATTGACTATGCAAAGTGGAAATTGCACAAAAATATGTGGAATTTCGACATGAAGTCGCAGTGCGAGGAGAAATTATTTAACACTCCGTGGCAGGGCTTTCAATGAATGCATAGGTAAATAAAAGAAATCATACTCGAAGTCATATCTTCGAAAAGAAAAATAGAGAAAGAGAAACATTGAATGTCCGGAAGTGTTCAGCCCGAGACGAATTTAATTACCAGAAATTAAAAGCTCTCCGACGAGTAATTCTTCACTGTATAATTTTTTTTATCTTGAATGATCTTGGAAGTCTCTAAGAAGTTTCGAAAAAAGCCACTTTTTTTTAAGAGAGAAAAAAATTATTTGTTATATCATCAAGAGATTTTTGTTTTCCAACAGAATGACTTTCCTCAATAAGAAAGAAACTTTCTCTTGTGCAGCACGGGAAAAAAGTCCTGAATCTCACTCACTTTCTCACACAAACAGATTGTCTCTTGAAAAAGGATGTGGAAAACTTCTACAAGAGCTTTTCGTCAACTGAATTGCGTCCAACTTCTTTTCACTTTTTATATAACTCCTCAGAGAATCACAGAAATCACGAGCGAAGGCGTCCAGTGGAGCCCAACCGACACTGAGCACTCTTCGGAACCAACTGAAGGTGTGCGCGCCTCGTGAAGTGCTGGAAGAGCTGCTCAATCCTCCTCCGCATTCGCTTCAGCGAAACCGCACTCGAGAGACAATGAGCGCGATTTTCCTGATGGCTTCAGATGGCAACAAACTGTGGCGAGTTGTCACGGAAAGCCTGTAATCCAGGATATTTCATCGTCGCAAGGCAACATAGTGAAGACTAGTGAGTCATCCTAGGCTGTTCAGTGGCGGCAGGATGAAAGTAAAACTGAGATTTATGGGCTAAGGTCGCCAAGATCTCATGGTGAAACTCACCGTGGACACTTTTGCAAATGATACAATGGTAATAAGAGTGAGCAAGAAGCTCACTTCTTCAGGATCAGGGAAGCGTGTCGCTCGTGCTCCAAACAATAGTCTTTCTTCTCTCTTTATTCAATTAAACTCCCTCACTCGCTTAAGAAACAAACTCGCCTGTTTTCAAATGGTGACGAAAATGTTCCGCAGAAGACAATAAGGGGTGCATAAGTTTCACTTTATGGCTCTCAGTCTTGAAATATCTTCACATCCGAGACATCAATCATCAAGATCTCAAGGCGAAAATTCCTTGATTTGCAATTAAATCAAGAATTTCCAACTTAATGCACTTTTTTCCAATATTTCTCACTTATTTGGCGTCAATTAATCAATCAAATTGAGCGAGTCCTTTAACTGCTTTTGCAAAAAATATTGCGAAATTTCAATTGAAATCAATAAGAAATGAGATCATAACTTAATCTGCTTAATGCCTTGCAGATTTTAAAGTTCGTTTCTGAGTGTTCGTCGCGCAAAAAGTGAAAAGAATAATTCTTTCCGCCAAAAATATGAAATGCCAATAAAATAGGCGCGAAGAAATTTAATGATTTCAAACATGTTTCAAGAATGTTTCATAAGTGATTTGAGAGATTTTTAGCAATATTTTTTTTACAGTTTTGCGTTGAGGAATTTTATTTTTTCATCCTACTCTGAAATTAGCAATTTGGAAACCGGAAATGCCCATGTTCTGCACTTTCACTATACCAAGAAAATCTCTGTTGATAAATGTTTTTCCAGTGTATTAACGGCAGATTCGAAAATGCTGAAAAGTCAAATATTTAGTTTCTTCAGGTTCTGCTTCGGGGCGCTTTTTACTTGGAGAAAAAATGCTGCAAATTCTGTTTATCAACGTGTAATTTGAGTGAAAAGTGATGCAACAATGCCTTGCGCGTGTTCTCTGTAAGTTCTGCCTATAATCTCCCTTTTCTGACCATTAAATACAGCTTAAACCACTTGTTTCCATCCTTTGCAGGTTATGTACAATGACAGCTGGGCTGTTTTTCACAGCAGTTGCCGGAATTTTTATCCTGCTGCTCCTCAGAGTACTCTTCAGCGGCAAGAGGACTCGCAGGGTAAAGGAGCATCCGGATGCCACGTATATTGGCCTGTTCCATCCGTACTGCAATGCAGGCGGCGGCGGTGAGAGAGTGCTTTGGTGCGCCGTTCGGTGTCTTCTGAAGAAGTGAGTTTTCCAGGAAGATTTCCACCAGGACAAGAATTGTAATGTTGTTGATTTCGCAGGTATCCCAGTGCGAAGATTATCATCTACACAGGCGACGTGGGAGTGACGCCCAGAGATATTCTGAAGAAGGCCAAGAACACCTTCAACGTGAGCATCCAGGAAAAGGATGTGCAGTTCGTTTATCTGCACCGCAGGAAGTGGGTGGAGGCGGTCAAGTATCCCTACTTTACTCTTCTGGGCCAGAGTCTGGGTTCGGTGTGGTTGGGCTTGGAGGCGGCCTGGAAATTCCCGCCGGACGTCTTCATCGACACAATGGGCTATGCTTTCACCTTCCCGATCTTCCGCTTCCTGGTCGGCGCTAGAGTGTCCGGATACGTTCACTATCCCACCATCAGCAGCGACATGCTGAGGAGAGTTCAGGCGAGGACTCTGTCGCACAACAACAAGAATTACGTAGCCAGAAATCCCTTCCTGACTTGGATCAAGCTCTTCTACTACCGCATGTTCGCCAAGGTGAGTCTTGATATTTCTGTGCTTCTAGGGAATACGTTAAGAGAAAATTTACTATACAAAGAAAATATACCTTTGCTATGCTGTAGATTGCAAAATCCTAAATCGGGATATGCAAAAACTGTTCCACATAAATACGAAAAATGTTATTAAAGGTGCATGAAAAAGTGCTTTATTGATATAGCAATAGCGATGCGTTGAGGAATTACATCGAATCTTGCATTGCTCTAATTTATAATACTTTGCATAATGGCGCAATAAGTGAAAGATAGCTTTAGGATCTGAAAGGAGAAAGTCTTGTGAGTAGAAATAATTGATAAAGATGTTTTTCGACCACGAACCTGAACGAACGTCATCATATTGATGCTGTAAACGCCTGCAGCTTTCAATCCGAAACTTTGCTGGCTCATTTGCAGACACAGAAGGAATCTCTTGCGATCCTTCAGACTCAGATTGTACCAATCTGTTTGCCAGAGTTCATAGGAGATTTCTTCGGCTTCTGCCTCAAGAATTTGTCCGAGGAGGCAAATCAGGAATGCTTGTGAACTTACGCTAGAAATAGCAATTCGCAACACCCAGTCAACGGGAGATGTTCGGTCGATGTAGAGCAATAAAAGCAGAAGAATGACACTATTTGTGACTTGAACGAGAAAAACTTGAGAAGTAGCTTCACTGAACTTCTTGAAAGTCTGAATAAATTCAGAGTACGATTCGTGAAATACTCGAAGATTATCTTTGGATGAGTCTTCAAAGATCTTCGGCACTTTGATCACATCTTTGACGATGCGCGAGAAGAAGATGATGTGAATGCCAATCAGAAGATACATTGCGTCGAGAAATACTGCCAAAGACGCACTGATATTTCCGTAAATGGTTTGGAACGTCAAGACGAAGAACGAATTGTCGTTTGATGATACGAATGGGATTTTCACGTAAAATCCTTTGGATGGAATTCGTTGTAATGTTAGGCAGAGACAGACAAGAATGTAGAACACAATGTATGGCCTAAAATAGGGTAAAAAATAGTGTTTCTTATCTCCTTTTTGATGTTATATGTAAAATGAAATATAGTTTTTACCTTAAAATTTTAAGACTATATTTTCTTGACATGCTGATTTGGTTTTTGGCTGATTCCTTAACGATATTTTCAAATTGTCGAACTCTCAAATTTTGTAACCAGTTCATGAGAATATTCAGAGAATCGCGATATAAAATAATTCCACAAGATTTACACAATGTTTGTAAAACTGCAAATATAGCTAGTCTGTTGAATAATACTATTTCATTAATTTCAATCGTTTGAATTGATGATTCAATGTGAAATGAAAAGTAAATTGTGAAAATGTAGCCAGTTATGAGGAAAAAACCGCAGAAAATGGCGAAAACACAGAAGATTTTCTTCGTAAATTTCCCGTGATAAGTTGTGTTGAGAAAGAAGAAATTAAAGAGTATCTCAAAGTTCTCGTAAAGCATGATGACTGAATCGTTAGGCAGTTTCTATCAAACTATTCAATGTGAGGACAAGTGTTGAAAGAAATTGTGGAAATTGCTGTGGTTTTGAATTTTTTATTGCACTGATTAATTATTCGATCGTATTTTGTAATTCTGTGAGGGGAAAATAACAGGTATTATTTCTTTAGAAGAAGCAATTTGCATGTGCTATATAGAAAATAGGGACACAACAGACATTGTGAGAAATATTAGTGTAATTAGACAACATGACATCGATTTCTGTTTCAATTTATAATACTTTGCATAATGGCGCAATAAGTGAAAGATAGCTTTAGGATCTGAAAGGAGAAAGTCTTGTGAGTAGAAATAATTGATAAAGATGTTTTTCGACCACGAACCTGAACGAACGTCATCATATTGATGCTGTAAACGCCTGCAGCTTTCAATCCGAAGCTTTGCTGGCTCATTTGCAGACACAGAAGGAATCTCTTGCGATCCTTCAGACTCAGATTGTACCAATCCGTTTGCCAGAGTTCATGGGAGATTTCTTCGGCTTCTGCCTCAAGAATTTGTCCGAGAAGGCAAATCAGGAATGCTTGCATGCTCACACTGCAGATCGTGATTCGCAAAATCCAATCATTTGAAGATGTATTTTCCAAGTAAAGCAGTAGTAAAAGAAGAATTGTACTATTCACAACTTGAACGAGACAAACCAGCGAAATAGTGTCACTGAATTTCCTGAAAGTGTGGATAAATTCGCAGTAAAGTTCATGCATTGTGAAGAGCGTTTGAGACGAGAAATCTTCGGATTCGGAAGTGTTCTTCAAAGACTTGATCACATCTTTGACGATGCGCGAGAAGAAGATGATGTGAATGCCAATCAGAAGATACATCGCGTCGAGAAACATTGCCAAAGACGCACTGACGTTGCCGTAAATTGTTTGGAACACCAAAACGACGTACGGATAATCAATTAGGGACACAAAAGGCAGTGATACATAGAATCCTTTCGATGGGATGCGTTGAAGTAAAATGCAGAAGCAAACGAAACAGTAAATGGCGATGTAGGGCCTGGAAGAAAGTTGATGACATTTTCTTGTTCTTGTTATGATTAAAATTCAACTTTACAGTAGTAGATTGTTGCTGTATTTTCTTGCCAAGTTAGTTTGACGCTTTGCTGACTCTGTGACGATAACTGGAAACTGCCTATCGCGTAAATCTTGTGCCCAGTTTAACATGTTGTTGAAACGATTGCGGTAGAAAATGATGCCACAAGTTTTGCAATATGTTTGACTCACAGCAAACGATATAAGTAGGTTAAAAACTATGGCTTCACTAGTTTGAATTGACGAATTGTCGTCAAACCAGAAATAAATTGAAGAAATTAATCCAATTATGAGGAAAAATGCATTGAAACTGGCGAGAGAGTAAAACACTTTCTGTGTGAATTGACCATAAAATGTCGTGTTGAGAGAAAAAAAGTTAAATAGGATTTCAAAGTTTCTGTATAAGCTCATTTTTCAAGACTCTTTTCAACACTGATGACACTCTTTTCACGTTTTGAAGTGATGATTGCATGACTCGTGGGGGCGTTTTATAGACGAAACTTCGTCTAAATACTGAGTTATTTAAGGTGTGAAAATTTAATTGAAATACAATTTGTGTAGTTTTGATTTAATGACTTAATTCAATAAGTTTGGATATTTATATAATTTTATGGATTTGTTGGAACTTCAGTTGTACGGCCTCGTGGGACGCTGTGCTGACATCGTGATGGTGAACTCGTCCTGGACAGAAGGTCACATCAACTCCCTGTGGCAGATTCCACTGACGACTCATCGTGTTTATCCGCCATGCGAAGTGAGCGATCTCAAGAAGCTGCAATTCCTTGGGAATGACGCTGAGAGGATCGTGATAATGTCCGTGGGACAGTTTCGCCCTGAGAAAGATCATCCGCTGCAATTGCAGGCGATGTACGAACTTCGCTCGCTGCTGGTGAACGATGAGCCTCTGTGGAATCGCCTGAGACTCGTGATTGTGGGCTCATGTCGCCACGAGGAGGACGTGGAGCGGATGAAGAACATGAAGGATCTGAGCAAGCATCTGTCGCTGGAGAACAGCGTGGAGTTTCGGGTGAATGTGACGTACCAGGAGCTGCTGCAGTGCTACCAAACGGCGAGGATGGGCTTGCACACGATGTGGAATGAGCACTTTGGCATCTCCGTGGTGGAGTGCATGGCGGCTGGTCTGATAATGGTAGCAAACAGATCCGGTGGACCGCTGATGGACATCGTGGAGACGTCGCCAGCCAGTCAGACGGGATTTCTGGCTGTGGACGCGGTGGAGTATGCACAGTGCATTGCGACGATCTTGTACAACGAGCCAGAAGACAATGATACAATCAGGACGGCGGCAAGGTAAGAAAAGGCCACAGAACGTGCCATGAATACGTAATAGTGTCTCATCCTACTTCCGAAATGCATGACTTTCCGACTGAAATTCCTCTAAATCACACGAGATTATCTCAAATGTTGGGCGGGTGAATTGAGAAGGGGGGGAATTATCTAAGCTTGCTTGTCGGCTTTTTTTCTTTCTTTCTTCTTAACACAAAGTACAGAAACGGGAATGCTTTTGCTGTTCGGCTCTCAGCAAAATATCAAATTTAAATGATTGCTCAAGAGCAAAACCACGCATTGCACAATTGGGGTAAAGTTAATTGGTTTTAGTGAGCAAAGAGTATCACTTTCTTGGTACGTCAGAAGGAGAATTCGTGTGCTATTTCACTATGTTGCTCATTGGAATATCCTGGACGGTGTGTGTAATTGAAATGGAAACCAACACAAAGGAGTAATTATCAAATAGCAGGAAATGGAATTATACCATGTTTAATTTGCTGTGCGGATTATAATTTTTGCTCTGTGGTGAGATTTTAATGGGAAATGCACACTGCATTTTGAAATGTTAATTGAAATTGGAATTATACTTATTTGGCTCAGATATTTTCATATTCTCAAGTGGGCATTTGATGTGTTCTTGATAAGTTGTGACAATTAAAAAGATTTGTCATACAATTTGTCATGAATTTGCGTATAGAGAATATTTCTGATAGAAGTTTTTCCTTCCTTTTAATTAATGTAATTCTAGAAATTACAGAATTGTATTATACTTTATTTAATTCGCTGACTAAACTTTCAGTTCTTCAAACTTAATGGTCACTGTGTTGTGGCCACTTTTGGTGTTAGATAAATTGTCACTGCAGGCATCGAATGACGCTTGCGAGCGCTCAAACTGCCCTGAGGGTGTCCACATTGGCGTGGCGAGCGTGCAATACTGATCGGATTCCCCCATTTGTGATATGATACGGTGCAATCAAATGACACTAACTCAATATTGCTGCTTGGGCACAAAGGTTCACTCCCTTGCATGTATATTGGTGATGGTGAATTACATGAATCAATGGTCACAATTGCTAGAGACACCTCAAGGGCAATGGCAAGTGGCCATTAGAAGCGCACTTTCATTCGGTCCCTTGCACCCTCTCATTACTGCCTCATGACTGTTGGAATGTGCGCTTCCCGTGTGGGGTTAATTGGAAAATGCCATATTCAGCGGTTTGGTAATTGTATCACTTTGTATTATCATGAAATATATTCAACACTCTTTTGTTTTGCCATGTGAGTGGATGGGAGAAATATACCAATCATTTTTTCTGTCAAAATTGCATTTTGTTTGTCAACATAATGCAACAATTAAATTCCTCTCGCTCGAGGGTTAACCTGTCGGTGTATTTTACTCTGGACATCCGCTGTGTGCTAGAGAGAGGGTCGCGAAGGGGGTGGGAAAAGGCCGAGCGAGAGTGGAGATACAAAATGATTTTAATGTGCCACATAATTTCTATTGTTGAACACATTTTTGGCCTGGAGAATGGCTGCTTGACTTTCTTTTTCATTTGGCGTTTTGCTCATTTTTTTTGTCCTCCACCTGGCTTTCCTGCTCAGTCTCATTTTCTTCACCCCGCACTGGTATAAGGGGGTGGTTTGGGTGGGGTGGGAGAGATTTTCCACCCACTTGGCTGTACTGCCCCAAACCGTCGGCATGCCACCTGCCGGGCTGATGATAATGGGCAGTCGTTGGGGGTTGATTCGATGATGGGAGAGAAACGGAAAGAAGTGGAGGTTGGCTGAGGTGGAAATAACAGTAATTGATTTTTATGTATTCCAACTGACTACGAGGTTGGTTTTACCCTCAATGGACTCCACGCTGTTGTCCCCTTTTTTTCTTTCTGCCCTTTGGCACACCATAGTTCATGTTTACAAATGCTCCTGAGCGCTCATTTGGAGGTAAAATGGCACAAATCCCAGAATAGCCAGGCTTTTGAGGTGTATGATATTTTATTTCATGAGATTGAATCAATTGCAATCCAATTGAACATTGAGTGTAAAATGTGAAGCAGTGGAAATATACGCACAGAGCACGCCTCTTCAAATGCTCCGCCCACTGACAGGGAATATTCATATTTTAACAATTGCTCACATTCAATCCAACACTCAACATATTTCAACATAACTTTCATGGATGTTTGCAGGCAAATAGTGAGCTTTTATAGAAACCATTGCGCATCAGAGGAATTTCCATTTGATGTATTTTTCTCACTTTTTGAGTAGAACACGGGAAACTGTCCTGTGCATCTTGTTTGAAAAGAGAAGCTTTGCATAATTTAGCTTTTTGTTATTGCTCTTTTCACTTCAGGCTATAATTCAGTTGCAATTTTAATAATATGAGTTTCTGTGAGAAAAACTAATCCTTCGTGATAATAAACAAGTTAGCTTTCCTGAAAGTCAATTGCACAGTAAAACCACGTCTGTGTGGGGTGAAATTTCTGCGGATTGCAATTTCATTTTATTAAAATTGTAACAGATTTAGTTGAAAATACTCTTTTCATTGCTATTTTCCTCTGTTTCAACAGGTTTATTGTTTAAATGTATTCTATATCTCTGTGTTTCGTGGCTTGTAGAAAATTTTGGATGAATCGTATGTGTGTGTGTGTAGTATCATGTGTTGATAGTTTTGTTCTCTGGCTAAGAAAGGGAAAACCTAATTGAGCAACAGCATCGCATCATGTCCAGGTTGAAAATTTTCTAGTGTGAGTTTCAACGAAGAACAAGCGAATCATACTTTTTGCTGAAACTGTTTGTGATGAAGGAGAAATTGATGATGTTTGAAAGGAAACTTTTCCACCAATCTCTCTCTTCCTTCACGTCGGTTTCTTTGCTTAAGATACTCACCTATAGATTTTCACCATGCACTCATGGGTTCTTGCTTCCTTTTTCTGTGAGATTCACGAGGTCTTTTGCTAAATATTTTATTTCACTGCGAGCTTCTCTTTCACTGAATGTGGCCAGTGATAAAAGTTCTTTTTTTCCACTTCGCGCCCTCTCGAAGTTCTTGTTCCACATATCGTGGGATTTTCCATATAGGGAAAATGATGAGAAAGTGCGAGGAATCCATGAATGCTCTGTGGGTGAATTGCAGAGGGGGTTTATGGGATGTGATGGTATGAGTTTTTAATATATACTTTGTCGATGAGAAGAGAGAACAGAGAGAGAGAAAAAAGGGGAGCCGCTTACATTGGGGAAAAAAAGATTATAAAGTGGGAATTGGTGTATGAAGGATCTATTTCCACATATAAATATGAGAGAGGAAGGGAAAATCCCCAAAAAGAGAGATTTACTCATGAAAATCCACTAGAACAGAGGATATTTTTGGTATTTAGTGATTCTCATGTAAACCAATTCGGGAAATGTTTCTCTTTATTCAAGCTTTGCGGCGATTAACAGACATATTGCATACATTTTTTTTTAATTGTGACACAGAGTTTATGATAAGCATCATGTAATAGTATTTATTCAATCTTGGCGAGTGTTTCTTTGATTTCCTCCAACTTTGCGATGCACTCTCTCATTCGATCTGTAACTTCATCGAAGCGATGCAACACTTGATTGTTGTGCAGATTATCTTGGCGACTCGGATAATTAGAGTTGCTCGAATTATGACGCCAATTTTCGCAGTTTATAGCATCATGACGTGCTGCTGCAGTTGTCTGATTCATGTCATTTTCCGCAGCAGCAGGAGCTGTTAAACAATATCGGTTTTTGTGACCAAAATGTTTGCAGCGAAAGCATTGAATATGACGTGAATTATACGGATCAATTTCTTTCACAAAGGGTTGCCATTCCACGCAGACACTATTGATGTGAGTCACAGTTCTAAGGTGATTCAGCTTGATTGAGCCCTTTCTGAAGTACACGATGTATTTCACATGTCTTGCATTCCCTGTTTTCACCATTTTGATGTGCACAGGAAAGATGTTTTCTTCTGCCATTTGAGCATTGAGATGATCAATGGGCATTCGTCCGAGGCCAATGAGGATGAATTTCTTGAGATTGTCCTCCGAAAGTCGAAACAGAAAGTATTGCCTTCGGTCACCCCTGAAGCGTCGAATGATGAGATCAAAATTCTTCCAATTAGTGATTTTTAGCAGAAATCCAATTGGCAAGACTTGAATGCTGTAGTCACTTATGTTGAGTGATTCCATCAATTGAGATATATAAGCACAATTCACATTTGTGATGGTTACTGGAGGGATTTCAGCAGAATCGAGCTCTGTGGGTAGTTGTTCCTCTGCACTCAACCATTCCAATGAATCTGCTTTCACTGAATTGGACACATTTTCAGTTGGATTTTCAAACACATCTTCAGCACTGGATTTTTCCTCACAATCACTCATGTTGTTTGGATACAACTTGGTCAATGATGTTAACTTTACCGCGGAAATAAATAGAATAAGGATATCTCAGGAACTCAGCGTCTATTTATAGCCACTGCGGAATATGCAATTGAGTACCTGATTGAGTAGAAAAGAATGAAATTTTATGGAAAATACAGAAGAGAAAATAATATCTGCGAATAAATTAATTCAATAAGCATGCATTTTACTTAATATCTCGGCGTATTCAGTGCACTTGTGGCTGAAAAGCAATAAAATTGTATTTTCTCGATATTCAATATTTGCTGCCTCTCCAATAATGCACAGAAAATTGCTATTGGTTTTTGATTGATAATAAATAGATGTCTAACAAGAAATCTTTCCTCAAACACATTCGTAGCACAAATACTTGTGTGTTTCTTGTTCTTAAAATCAATCAAACACATATTGAATGTTCTCTTCTAATGCTAAGGATTTCTCTCTAGTAAATTACGAGGAACTCAAATTTTCCAGAAACTTCTCTCTGGTGGTCTTAAATGCTTGACTTGTGATTCGTGACGAAAAGCACGTTCGACAACGATTTCTTTATCAATTTCGTGAGCTGTGAAAGTTTGACAAAAAATTACTCTGTCCTGAGATGAGAGAAATGTAGGATTTACCTCAATTTACCCCAGCCGTGGTATTTATTGGTGACCCCGGCGTGAGTTTTTTTTTCGGTGGGAGGGGGAGGTGAAAAGGTGCATGAGGCGAACTGTGAAAAAATGTAGAAAAATTCTCCTGCTTTTCCACAAAATTTATTTCATACTCTTGACGTTTTTATTTTCTTCTCTGTGGGTTTTTTCGATGATGAAGGTGTTTTTAAAAAGTATTCTCTCTCTCATACTCTAAATTCTTTCTTTTTTCCTTTAGTGTTTTATTCTGTTTGAACTTTAGCTTTGGCAACATTCTTGGTGGGTTTTGCAATATCTTGGGAAAATTCTGTGTCCAGTTTTGGTTGCGTTGTGTATTTTCTGTTCTCTTTTTTTCTCTTGTTCTTCTAAGTCACACTTTTTCATTCATAATTAATTATTCGCATTCTCTTGTTTAATGATTCTCATTTGTCGTGACTGTTTCCATCGCCTTTTCACTATGCAATTTCGTCTGTTTTGTGTGACAAACAAAAGGCGGTATTAAAATGGGAAAATTGAGGTTTTGTCGCACGATGACGGAGCGCATTTGTGAAAAAATTCAATTAAATCACAGGTCTCCCTTTCCCCATGTCCTGCCTCAATACATATGTATCGAAGGGGGGGGTGTTTGACGGGGTCGAAGAGGCGACGTACATATATCATCAAGTTCTCCTCTGCTAATGTTTGTATCGTGCTTGGCTTTAAATAAATTCCCTAAATTACATTTAAATTGACGACTATGACTCTGTACTTTCTCACCTTTCCCCCTCACACATTCCACTCTGTCTGGCTGAGGCTCCACTAAAGGCTCCGGGGTGGCTTTTATATTTGCCCAAACAAAGCCCCTCTTGATGAAGAGTGCGCCACCCGTTTTGCCTTTTAGTCGCTGTGACGCTTTTTCCCAATGAAATATTAACGAACTTTCCAGGCGCGTGTTTGTGTGCACAAGGGGAAAAAATAGTGCCATGAAATAGTACAGTATTTTACGTGCTCTTCAAACAACACCAAACATATATACAAGTGATAAAAATAATATATATATTAACCTAATTTGGTGCGCGCAAAAGTATACTTTTTGAAGATGTTTCTATGCGAGGAGAAACAATCTCAATTCGGATGTTTTTCTCTCTGTCGATTGGCGTGTCTAATTAATGATTTTCAGCTTCACTGTTTCTGCTGTTGGTGTGGAATTGAATATCTTATGAATGAGTCACAATTGTTCTGTGAAATTATTTGATACTTTGAAGGAGATGAAAATTTATACACTTTTTCCCATCATATCAGATACAAAATGGGGTTGTGATTGGTGTGTTAATTAAAAGTTTGTTAGAGAGCGAATATTGAGAAAAAAAATGTCATGCATTTTAGTACATAGTGGAAATTTTGTTGGGGAAAAATTTAGTAGTGGTGAATTGGATGAAATTCAGAGCATGCGGGCGATTTTCCGCTCCAAAAATTACTATTTTCCATACAGAAACAGAAAAAAAAAATTCCATCCACTTCATTAACACTTTTGTTTTTCTTCCCATTTCTCATCGATTTTTTTTTATTGTTTCACTGCCCCAACAAAATGTCCATTTTCAACTGTCCTTGTTCAATTTTATTTTCTCGCATTGCATTCATATTTCGCATTATTTAACAGTGTGAAAAATGTAATTTTTTGCCAATCACAGCATCGGCGTAATAATCAAAAGGTAGGGTGTTTTAATGTAATGTGATTAAATTACCATTAGTGGGCTTTGACATTGGTATATTGGCACTATCAAAAACAGGACTGTGCTTTTGAATTTATAATTATTTTTTAATTTTTGCACTCAATCTCAGTACTTTGTGTGTTTAATTGTATTGAATTATATAGAATGGTGATAAAAATCGACAGGTCTTTCAAATGATTTCATTTCAATGGTGAACAAAGAATGATTTACAGCGAATACGATTTAAAAATCGCTCATAGAGAGTGATGTAATTAATATTATTATTATTTTTGTTAAAAGGACTGTTGAAAATTGCATTTCCACTGAAAATCCGGGATTTCCTTTGATTATTAATTCCGAGAAATATTATTAAGGAGTATTAGATGGGGAAAAAGCTGCTCCTGTAAATAAATTTTGCCTCTAGGATGGAATTATTGAAGTCTAGCGATGTATTTATAAATATTGCATTTTCTGTCTCTCTGTCATTTTCCCTTTCTCTCCCTATTCAAAGGGTTTTCTATGTTTTTCCACAGTTATACAGGCATTCTTTTCTTTAGTATTTTATATTCGCGCTGCTTTGCAGGGCGTCGGTGGATCGCTTCTCAGAGTCGGAGTTTGAGAGTGCATTTTTACGAGTGATTGCACCCCTCATTGAGTTGGAGACGCCATCGAAACATGAATGAGATGGAAATTCATAACAGCACACACACAACAGAGAGAGGGGATGCTATACAAGGTCTTCTTCAGTTCCTCACATGCGATTTCCTTCTCACACTCGCACGTTTCGGCTCTTGGCGCTGCATCGCGGCGAATCTTGCTGCACGTCTCCCACCCACAATCGACGTTCCGGAGGCGAATGCCGAGTTGGGTGGATCCCCGAGCGCTCGAAATTCAATTTTTCCCGGGGCTGTGTGCAATAAAAATGTGAGTTCAATTGGAAATAACAATAAGCATATCGCACAGTGGCGGAGATGGAGGGAGGGTGAGCAGGAAATGAAGAATTTTCGAGGGGTATGAAAGAAATGTTCGGGAATTGTAATTGGAAAAGAGTGATTTCAATTTGAGATTGGATAATAACTGAAAAAAGGGACTAGAAATGCAGTGGAGAAGTTGGAAGATTATCGGTTTTATAGAGGAGAGACTGAAGAAGTGACTTTCAACCAAATGGATTAAATAATAAGTAAGTTAGTTTGTGGTTAAGCTCAAGGATATGTGTTTATGACTTTTAATTAGATGCACAATAAAGTTCGCTGCATGACATAATGTTGGTTGTCTTTTGAGACTGATGAGAAGTGGTTTAGAAGAGAATTTCTTCAGGTATTATCCTTGGCCGCGTCGCTTTTGGAAGGAATAAAGTAAAGTTTGAAAGCAAGATATTTGAATATCCTTGTGATATGTAAATATGTCTTTGAGATGAAGTTCTTTGAGACGACATTGATCATTGTTTCCTGCTCAAACAGAAATCTGCAGTTAATTTGGCTGATGTAGAATCTGGATCAACTGGTGGAGGTGGAAAAAAACTCGACCTGGTCGGACGACTCATCTGTTCATTGTGCGATTTACAATTCAAGAATTCATTACCAGGAAGGCTAATATGATGATTTGATGCGAATACAGTGAATACGATGTTTCATGTGTTTCTAAGAATTATTAAACAATAAGACATGCCTGATTGGAGAAGCAAAGTTTTAAACCTATGATCTTATGTCAGAGTGTTTGATGTGTTATTCCGAGTGTCATGAATGGAGTCAATTGGTTTCCCTTTCAGAAGGTATTAGGGTTGAAATATGCATCTGATTCATTTGTGCAACTCAAGATGTGGCAGTTAATCCAACCAAAGTCACTATCAGCGATTTGAGATATGCCAATAATAGAAATGCCCACGGAAGCAAAAGTCGTGATGATTAAAAGTCCAATTAAAACTGGTGAACAAAAGGTGCGGAGGATTCAAAGTGGAAAAATGCAGGAGAGTGGAAAAGGGATTAAAAGTGGTCGAGTGCAATCCAACCATCATCTCGTGCCGCAATAATAACCCCGGCGAGTAGATGGATAAAAATGATGGGGAAGAAAGGAAAGAAAATTGTTTTTAATACAAATACCGACATAATTCAAGAGAAGTGAGACTCTCAAGTGAGAACGACGAGGGTGGCGTGTGATAAAATCAAATTCAGAAAGTCATTTATTTGAATTGCGCTCTCATCCACAATTGAAGAGGGAGAGTGAGAGCGGTGGGGTGGGGGCAGCAGGGGGCGGAGGACACCACCCCCAGTGACAAGGGTGAGGGCGGAAAGGTGAGCAAAAAGTCAGCCTGGGTATTGTCTCACCGGAATTCTGGGTGGTGGAATTGGAGATGTGATATATTGAGAGTTTTCGGGAAGAAGTGGAGGACGAAATGGCAAAATGTCGCCCGGCAAAAACAATTAAAATTATGACTTCTCCTTCCGATTGAATTCATGTGTTTTCAATAAGGCATGCGAACGCTGATGGGCGTTGCGAATTCGGACAAACTCATCCCCAAAAACTCATGATGGTTTGTGCTTTTGCCGGTGAAATCCGATGAGCACTGGCAAAGCTGAAAAGCGTGAATTTCACAAAGTTTCAAGTGCCATTGAAATGGTACGCACGTTTCCTCCCATGGCAATTGTGTGCCTTTTTGCCGTGCCACTGTGGAATTTAGAAGGGGGGCGGAGGGCCGTCTTGGGGATTTAATGCATCAACTCATCTCTATGGCATGAAAAATTATCAGCAGAGTTCAGTATGAAATCATCCCACAGCACACTTTTGCCTCTGCACGCAAGCTGAACGATGAAAACACGGTCCTTTGTCAATTTACAGGAGCAATTTTAGGGGAGTGTGTGCACTCAAACAAAATGCGTGTTTCTGAAAATAATTGGAAGAGGGCAGAGAAAAGACAAGGAGAAGCTTCTCAGGAGATTCAAAAGACTGGAGAAGAGACATTTCCACCTACTGAAGAGAGGATTGGACTCAGAATCAACAAAGTATACTGCAGAAATGGAGCTTAAGTCCCGAAGATAACTGTGAAAGCAAAGTGTGAGGAAGAAAACAGTCTCTCGAGATGTTTTGGCGTCTCTCCTGACCTAGAGAATTCAGTTTAGACATCCTGAATTCTGTCCCAGTGACCACTTTGATTGCCGGCAAGACGATTTTCCCTGAGTGCAAGCTTTTCAATGGTGGGGCGAAGCGGTCACGTTGAGTTGCGCAGAAGCTCGCGCTTCCTCATGATGTATGTTCCTTTCTCTGCGAGGATGAAACTCTGCCGGATTTCCTAGTCGCATTCAGTCACAGTCTCACTGTTGGCTGTATCGGTGGCTTTTTCTCAAGCTCTCAACACTATAGAAATCGGCAATTGTCGCGAAATTATTGGCTCTTCAGCATCACAAATCAGATCTTCTCAGTGTTAAGTGGAAAGAAGCAGACACAATTAGTCTACTGTCGTCATTCATTACGCCCTGTTTTTGTCTTCAACGTCACTCCAGGCGGAAAAGCAAAGCGAAAGATTCACCAAAGGACGAGGAGAACTTGTGGTTGAACGCGCTTGTGTGTGTAAAGAGTTTCGGTGCAGGCAAAACTGGACCAAAATGCAAATCCTGGGGACAATGTAGAGTAATAACTCGACACTAAGGGCAATTGGCACGGGCGATTTTGCGTGTCCCCCAACAATTGAGGCTTCCGCTTGAAAATCCCATTTGCAGCGCGAAACAGACAAACTCACCCATTCCAGCACACGTTCAGTGCGGAAATATTGGGCAAATTATTCGCTGCATTGCAATATTGTGATTATTATCCAGGAAAATCGCGGTGAGTGGACAAATCATTCTGTTAGCAATTTTCATTTTATAGCAAATCGCATCAGTATTTGAGGTTGCACTTAAACAAGGTATTGCAACGCATTTCTGTTGTAAAAAATGTTCCACAATTTTGAGTGTTCCGATGAAATGATGAATTAAACTTATTGAATTTCACGGAATGCTTTGACTGTAAATATTGAAGTTAATACAATTTACTTACACGTATAAACAATTCATAATTCTCGGAATTATTTTATTTGAATACAATGTAGTTTGAAAAATATATTATTACAATATATTTTATGTTTCTAGGAAGGCACAAATATAAGCAATATTAACAAGCATTGTTATTCGAATCAGACATTTTTTTAGGGAGTTAATAATGATGCGAATTCTAAATAATTGTAAACAATTCCATGTATCAGAAAATTGTTTCATAATAACATTGGAAAATGAATAATTCTGGCCAAAACATAGTTTGTGTTCGTGTGAACAAGCAAAATGTCATTATCTCTAAATTTATGCATATGAAATTATGTCTATATAATCATATTAGAGTAGAATCACGAGTCAAAAAAGATTAAAGATGATAATTAATGATATATCAGATTGGATAGTATGAATTTCACTACAATTCTTGCAACTATTCTCTTAATGACACAACTTTTGAAAATGCTTCTGTTCTCAAATTTGGCGTTCACGATATTCAAGAGTTTCTAATAGCGAAAAATTCGCTATTCTGAGGCATTTTGATCCTAATTCAATTGATAATTGATGTAGTATGATTTATATAGCGTAGGTGTAAATTTATTAAAATAATACAATTCATACTCAAAGCATATAATTTGCATAAAGTTACAACTAATCCCTATATGAGTTTCTATGGGGAAATTCTTTGGTATGCCTTATCATATTGGTTATTACAATTATTATTCATTCAGTGGATTCTCGTGACTTAATTAATGATTTACCATGGTTGCAATTCACATTATTTGTTCATGTAATTATACTTTGGATTATGTGGTATCTTGAAATCGATGTAATTTTAAGGCAGAGTTATGATCCTCCACGCTGCGTATCTGTCATTATGGTAAACGCTGTGCTGATGATGGACATTTTTGCATGAAACATGCCCGGAAAATGACAATTTATATCATTTTGTTATAGATTGCGTACAATTATTCATTCATTTATCAATTAAAGTGTGCATAGATTTAATTGACAGATTTTAATTAAAATTTCATTCGCTCATCACGGCGCATAAATACTGTGTGCACACGGTAAATGCAGAATGTCTGGCAGTCAAAATCAGCGATTGTTTAATCAAATTATAGATTTCAATGATTGAATGTCCTATTCATGATTGAGATATATGCATGATATCGATGGTGTGGGTGTATTCTTTCCATTACGTGCTTCCAGGGTAAAAATATAAATGCTTGTATAAATGTTTGGATCATTATCGTTTTAATTATAACTCCTGCTTATTTTGTGCTGCTGTGACTCAAGGGCGGGACGTAAAGTGTCAGCACAGGGATGGCAAGAGCTTCGCGACATGCTCGAAGCCTGTGGGGAGGAGAGAAATAGTCACTTGTATTGACTGTGAACCATTCAGTAGTCAACGGATTATGTCATAACCCTTTTCGCGCTATTCTCTAAAGCACTTCTTGAGTCCGTGAGAGCGCGGGAGGAAGAGAAGAAAAAAAGAAAGTTGCGTGGCGAATGTTATAGTGAAAAGGATGGGATTTGAGTTTGTTTTCTTCCCGCCATTCCATCCACTCGCAACCTCCACAACAGCCACTCGGTATTAATGCTAAATTGTGGAAAGTACTTTTCGCACAGTGCGCGCCAAAATGGGGGGTGGTATTCTGGCCTCCTTTGCACACCATTCATGAGGCTTGAGGTGAATAAAATGCTCTACATAATCCCTTCGCATCAGTCAGTGTGAATGAGCAGAGGAGCAGCAGAGCGCTCCTCACTCTCTCATGCCACGGAAGGCAGTGATATACGAGGACTCACTGCTGGTGGTTCGCAATGGCAAAAAAGCACCCATTTTCCACTCATAGTCACTGTGGACGTGTTTTTCCTCAGCATCTCGTCTTCGGCTGTTCTGGGATGGGGGTGGGGGGAAAAAAGAGCCACGGAGGCACACACACTCTATTTCACCCTCTTGTTTCCCTTAATGGGGACATAGATTTATGAACAACAGAAAGACGTGACAGCGCCGCACGAATAAGATACAATCGCAAATGAATTTTAAAAATATAAAATCACACCCTCTACTTTTGTCACCCACCCTCGGTTAATGGTGGCGTGAAGACTCACTTAGGGCTGCTGGCTCCATTTGGGGCGATGAATTTGTCTCATTCTGCTTGGAAATTTTCTTGTGAAAATGGGTATTTCGCGTGGGGAATTGTCGAGGGGTTTGGCGAGCGTTGAAATTCAAATGTGACGGTTAAATTATGTGGTAAATTTGTCATGCCAAATCTTTCTTGCATAAATTCTCATGGGACATCGTTCTTAAGCATTTTTTCTTATCACATTAAAAATTGCCTAAACTTCAGACAACTGTCAGTGTTGAAATCCACGCTGAAAGGTTCTTTTAGCGAATGTCCATCAAATGGATGAAAAATTTGGGAATCAGAAGAAGCAGTTTCTTATATTTTATTGCGAATATTGCTATACATTTGAGCGACGTGAACTGTTTTGTATGGACATTGTATAAGAAAATGTCTATGACAGTCCCTTGATTTGTCCACTGACACAGTAGGATATGTCATGCGACAATGTGCTTATCCATAGATGATTTTGCGTAAGACATCCAGGTAGAGATCATGAATATGCATTTGACCCCTCGAAAGGTGACGGTGGGTGGTGAGTGGCATTGCTGGGATGTGATAATTCTCAGTGAGTCTGGGAATGGGTGAAAGGGCTCAGGCGAAATGACGACGATGATTGCGTGGGCGGGGAGGAGGAAAAGAGCGAGAGGCGTAGAAAAAGCAGGCATTTCACGAACTCGAGGATTTTCCTTCCACGTAAATCGCACACACGTTTCTCCTCTTTTGACATTTCACCGCCCAGGCACACATTTTGGCACGGAGCAATTTTCATAAGTTTCCATCCTGTGACTCTCCAAGTATTAATCTCTTTCAAGGTTCGCTACCATAAGCATCACCCTCAACTGAGCAAACCCCTGGGAATTCACTTGAGAGTTACCAGCAGAAAGCCTTTTTACCCACATATTTCTTCGCGACGCTGCAATTAAATCTGCAGTGCAATAGAATTTCCGCTTTCGTATTCAATACGTTAGCAAACAAATTTATTTTGTTTGGCGGTACAAACATTTCAAGTGATAGTGACAATTTTAATCAATTCACTCAACCTGAAATTTAATTTCCATTGTATTTACAAGTATTACGGCGGTTTGAAGCCCCTGATGATTGCGGAATATTAATCAGCTTATGCTTTTTGGGACAATAAAAACTCCTATTTTTTTTTATAAATAAATGAAATGTTTTGCAAATTCTACAGTTCAACGGGCAGTGTTCTTCCCCACTATTCCGTATAATCTTTCACTGAAGCCCATCATTTCTTGTAAAAGTTTTGAGTGCACTTCGTGCCATGACATACGGCGAGTAAATGTTTAACATGGCAGCTGAACAAGGTGCTGAAATGCTCCTTTCTTCCCAGGAGTTTGTGAATTTTTTATATATACCAGAAAATTGCCTGGCAACAAAACTCTCCCACTTTTCTCCAACATAAGAAACACTTTAAATTAATTAAATGAAATGGTAATTATACAATGAATTCCATGGAGTGTGTTGTTCTTTTCAATTACAATCAACGAGGAGAAGAAGGCGAATGCTTAATCTCTGCAAACTTTTTAGAGTATTGAGTTTTGTCTTATGCAGAGCAGCATTGCATATATTTTAGATGAGAACAAGGAATCTCGTTGTGTGAATTTGAATACTTTCCGCTTTTGTGGGCGATGGCAACTTATCTGAGTTTAAGCGTAATGTCCCAATGACACTGTCGATTGCACTTGCAGATGTGGTCAAAGAAATAGCTATTCAATTCACGCTCTTCCAATCCATACTTTTCAATTATCCACGCTGTTGGCACTGCATTCTCGGGACTTTCACTTGAATCGTGCACCTTTTTTTCTTCTCTGTAATTTTTCATTGAAATTCAATTCACATGTAATTGCAATATGTCCAAACTATACCGCTGTTTTTCATCACAGCACAGTGTGTGGCAGATTTTAGTTCTCATCCGGGTGGCTTTTCACAATTCTGTTGCTGACTTTTACCTCTACCTCAGTTTATTAGCTGGAACATAGCTCTCAAAGAAGTCATTTCACGTGTAAAATCATATCATATATATATTGCATTTTTATCCAAGCACACCTGCAGATTTGCTAATACGATCACGCTGTGAGCTTTGAAAGCTGTGCGTCGGGTGGTTTTTGCTCTTCTGTGCTGTGGCAAAGTGGGTGTTTTCTGGTGAAAATGAGCGGAAAAGGCACACTTGAACTAATAGTCGTAGAGTCGTGTTATATTATAGGAGAGTCTCTCGTGAATCAAGCCAGCTTCCCTGCAACTTTTCCCGCTTTGATGCTTTCATGCGAGCTCTGGGGAGTCAGAAAAATTGGCGACAAACACGCTGTGACCAGGGTTTGGGTCGATCTTGAGTGGGGAATTTGCAAATTGGGATCTACAGCAGGGACTGCCTGAAAGAGTGAATAAATCTGCTACTTGGCAACGCTCCTAAGCACAGCTTTAGAGACAGTTTGGTAATCTATCTCTTGTATGAAACTCCATTTATTCCCATGTCTGGAACACATCTTGAAGTCAACTGTAATTGATATGGATTTCTCAGGCGAATGTTCTCACTTTTCTCAGTGCACTTAACAAAATTATTATTTTAATCAGCACAAGTAGAATTAATTTTGTCCGTGAGACGCGCGCGCGCAATATTTTGCCGAATGTTGGCCGTGATAATGATATCAAT